TTACACGGATCTACATCATATCCTATTGAGCACTGTCCCTCAGTGTTGATGAAGGCCTTTCAAGACAATATGATCTGTTGGGAATATCTTACACGGATCTATATTCATATCCTGTTGAGCACTGTCCGTCGGTGTTGATGAAGGCCTTTCAAGACCATATGATCTAAAGGGAATATCTTACATGGGTCTATATTCATATCCTGTTGAGCACAGTCCCTCGGTGTTGATGAAGACCTTTCAAGACCATATGATCTAAAGGGAATATCTTACACAGGTCTATATTCATATCCTATTGAGCACTGTCCCTCGGTGTTGATGAAGGCCTTTCAAGACCATATGATCTGGGGGAATATCTTACACGGATCTATATTCATATCCTATTGAGCACTGTCCCTCGGTGTTGATGAAGACCTTTCAAGACCATATGATCTAAAGGGAATATCTTACACGGGTCTATATTCATATCCTGTTGAGCACAGTCCCTCGGTGTTGATGAAGAACTTTCAAAACCATATGATCTAAAGGGAATATCTTACATGGGTCTATATTCATATCCTGTTGAGCACAGTCCCTCGGTGTTGATGAAGACCTTTCAAGACCATATGATCTAAAGGGAATATCTTACACGGGTCTATATTCATATCCTATTGAGCACTGTCCCTCGGTGTTGATGAAGGCCTTTCAAGACCATATGATCTGGGGGAATATCTTACACGGATCTATATTCATATCCTATTGAGCACTGTCCCTCGGTGTTGATGAAGACCTTTCAAGACCATATGATCTAAAGGGAATATCTTACACGGGTCTATATTCATATCCTGTTGAGCACAGTCCCTCGGTGTTGATGAAGAACTTTCAAAACCATATGATCTAAAGGGAATATCTTACATGGGTCTATATTCATATCCTGTTGAGCACAGTCCCTCGGTGTTGATGAAGGCCTTTCAAGACCATATGATCTGGGGGAATATCTTACACGGATCTATATTCATATCCTGTTGAGCACTGGCCCTCGGTGTTGATGAAGGCCCTTCAAGACCATATGATCTGTGGGGAATATCTTATACTGATATAATATGTACATATCCAGTGAAGCTGAAATAAGTCACTGATGCGGTCTCAAACTCAATGATAGGATACACAATACGCTTCATTCTGTATCAGCTACCTGGTAATCAGATGTTTAACAGACTGGTAATGATTGACATTCTAGCATTATTAATTGAAGTCCATTCTGAATCTGATCCTGTTTCAAGATAACATGAAAAGACATGACATGACATTAAAATAAGTTTTATAGAAATAAGTTAACTTTTTTTAATTGTGTTTTATGAAAATTATGAAAATTTGTCCCAAAAAGTTTATTGCAAACAAGAATCAGGTCAAATAAACCCTTTCATGTCATACAAACATTAGTTTATAGTGGTAATGTCCATTGAGTAAATTGATCCCAAGATCATGACAAATATTAAACGTAATAAACTTGGGCAACAACATTTACTGGAGATGATGTTTTTGTGTAACCTGACAGTTAGTTTTGTTCCTGGAACCATTTGAAGCATGTAGTTGTGTTTATCTTGTGTAAGATGACTCTCATGCCATGGTCTGTGCTATGCAAGGAATAATCAATGATGATCCATGTTTCTCTGCCCTATCTGTGTATCGAGGATTCCCGGGTATTTCGGTGGCCTCCGCATCTTGTGTACGCCATCCTCCAGCAGGTTGTTACAGCGTGGCACACGACAAACATGACTGACACTCGTCAAACAGCAAGCATACTTCGTGAGAAACTTATCGATTAACTGCATGGAGACATTTCTATTAAACAAGATGTTTTTGACATTTTCTGAAAAGAAAAAACCTCAAAACCGTTGACAATTAAATTAGGCGAAATCAGTTAGGTGATAATTTGATTTGTCGCCATGTATTCATGATTGAAATAATATTACAGGTATGAAGTATCAAGTATGAATACTGTCGACTCATGGTAGGTTTGAACCAATGGGAAACATAGAATCAGTTCAATATATACAATATTTGCAGTTGAGATAGACAGAGTATCTTTATGAGAAATGTATTTGTCCTATTCAGAGTTCACAAAAGTTATTGTTATTCTATTATTAAATATCAACACAATGATAGCTCTGTATGATCTAGATAAAATGGATTCTTTTTTTCTCTAAACAAAACTTCACTCAAACTGTTTCCAGTGTATAAAACTAAAGGGAGAGGATCTAAGCATTCTTAGATTCCTGAACAGCGTCATGTAAAAAGTTCAAGTGTAAACACAGAGAACAAAAAGCTGGCCTTGGTTACACTGTTACATGTACTACAATCAGGAACACTGGTCACCAATACTTACAATAGGCGGACATAGAAGTCAGGCCCTCACTCTACCATAATCAATTTGGTGCACTGTGTCATGTGATTTGTGTCATGTGATCTCATTTTGTCATGTTGTCCAACTAGGGGCGGTCGGGTAGCCTAGTGGTTAAAGCGTTCGCTCGTCACGCCGAAGACCCGGGTTCGATTCCCGACATGGGTACAATGTGTGAAGCTCATTTCTGGTGTCCCCCGCCGTGATATTGCTGGAATATTGCTAAAAGCGGCGTAAAACCATACTCACTCACTCACTCATGTTGTCCAACTGCAGGGTCATGATTCTAAACAATTGACCGGCGATGAATTACATGCTGTCCCTGTAAACATTGTTTGGAGATTGCAAAACTGAAATTCAAAACTTCTGTAAATAACATGTATTAAATACAGGGCTCGATTTAAGGAACTTTAACTTTAAACTAGCACCAGGTGCATGTTGACGTAAAAGATTTCTTGCACCAGACAAAACCAGGTTGCTACCTGGTCCTATAAATTTATCGAAGTTGAAACAGAATCATAAACTAGTAAAATCTCAGATCTCTGATGACTGTCATGTGTCATGGATTACACGTAAGACAGGGATTAGTGATGTAGTATGGTAAATAAAGCTTAGAGGTATTGAGTGTGTTCAAAGATCGATGTTGCGAGGACATGTAAGAGTTAGTCAGACAACAATTTGAAACTTTTGACATGCTCTTGGGGCATGTAGACTTAAGTATTTTTTAATAATAGGTTGCACTGGTGCATGTTTTATATAACTAAATCGAGCCCTGAAATAACATACCTTCTTGGTTTTTGTAAACATTTCCACACTATCATGTGCTTTCTCTGTACATTTACACTGTCGTCGTCAGTTACCTTGTTCAATAATTTAGTATGTTTACAGTAGATTGACCCAAGTAGTTTATCTTCAGTTTGAATATTGATTTTAAGTTTGTGATACCATTGAAAGTGAATAACACTGTGTTAAGATGCGGAACCTTGTAAGATGACACATGACTAATTTTCATTGTCTGGTGATCAATCGCTGATGTTCTGTGATAGCTGGAGCAACCAAGACTCACCGGAACCACTCAGCTGTTTTATGACACCTTCTCGTTAATATTTGATATACACATTAAAATAGATGGTGGAATGATGCTATTTATATTCAAAGGCTTTTTGTCAATATGGTTGTCTTTGAGATGTAAAATACACCATATTTGAGATGTTTAATGTTGATCCTTTGATGCATTTCCAAAACATAAGCTGCAAACATATGTTGGGATGACAGCTATCTGCATCCAAAGCCCCATGGTTGTTGATCGAGATGGTAAAATATACCGTATTTTATCTATTTTGTGTTGCTCCAATGGGCTGCCTATGGCCATTTCCAAAGCATAAACTGCTATTTGCATCCCAAAATGTAAATGCTTGTCGATGGAGATGGTAAAATATGGACTATTTTGTGTCTCTCTTATTGGCTGCCCATGGCCATTTCCAAACCTTCAAAGCGTTCGCTCGTCATGCCGAAGACCTGGGTTTGATTCCCGACATGGGTACAATGTGTGAAGCCCATTTCTGGTGTCCCCCGTCGTGATATTGCTGGAATATAGCTAAAAGTGGCGTAAAAACATGCTCACTCACTCACTCACTCACTCCAAAGCATATGCAGCAATTTGGGCATCGTATTGCTACACATTGCATACCTGGAGAGATACAATAGACTAGTGGAGCATCGGCAAGTGGAAGATGGGATGTCGGTATCTTATCTACATATATCATAGTTAGAGGCTGTGGGTGACATTCATTTTGACTACCCTATGTTATATTTTTTTCATTTTAACAACTTTGCAACGGCAACATTCATCACCTTGGTTTGGAAATGTGTGTAATACGGTAGGTCTATTAAGTGTGTGGGAGATGTGTTATCTATTAAGTTCAGTTCCAGATTGTCAATCAATTATGTGAAGTGGATATAGAACATCATCGATCACAAGGGTTATGAAATGAGAGTATAGTCATGACGATTGTTTACTGGCACTGGGCTGATAAGATCATCTCCACCCAGTGTAGGTATTTGTCAATTACTCACATTGTGTCAGCAGATTCACGTCAGAGATTAGTGATGGTAGGACAACTGATGGAAAAACAAATTGGAAAAACGCTCCTTTTTACGTTATCGTGTTTCCGCTTCATTACATACATCCTCAGGGGCGGTCGGGTAGCCTAGTGGTTAAAGCGTTCGCTCGTCACGCCGAAGACCCGGGTTCGATTCCCGACATGGGTACAATGTGTGAAGCCCATTTCTGGTGTCCCCCGCCGTGATATTGCTGGAATATTGCTAAAAGCGGCGTAAAACCAAACTCACTCACTCACATACATCCTCATCAAAGAAAGCACTGTCATACTTGCTCGAGAAGCTTTTAGCGTTTGAGCTTCAGTATTCAAGCTGCGTTAATGTCTTGCTGTACATAATTTTTTCTTTTGTCTGAATGTCGCAAAGTTCAGTAGACTTATGAACTGTGTTTTGTATTTCATGTGCGTCATAATTTAAGTTTGACTGTTTTTTCAACATGTTCTGATTTTTTAACAAAAGACTACGAACTTGGAAGTAATGATATTGTGTTTGTTTTCAGGGTATCAATGGCCCAGGGTTCCAATTCAATGGTCACTTTAACCTCTCAGCCCTTGAGGAGTCCCAAGGCAGTGAGAATGGCAGCACACAGGATGTGAGCAGCATTCTGGGTGATAGTGAGGACGACAGTCTTCCTTACCTGGGTGGACGCCCGGAGAAGTTGACCGACACCCCACACCGGCTGGACATCACCGACCGCAGTCTGTCTTGCAAACTATCCTTCCTGGACAAGAGTAGCGGAGACAGCGCCAACATCAGTGAGGCGGAGTCCAAGATGGAGGACTCCCTGGCCTCTCCTGACAGCTTGGAGTTGCCACAGAGCAGCGATGGTGAGCTGGATCCAGCCATTCGCTTCATCTGCAAACAGGAAAACAAGGATATTGGATACAGTAGTGAGAGTCACTCAAACGATGAGATCGAGTTGATGCGGCTGCAGAGTCTCATGGAGGATAAGTTCCCTGGAAAATGTGAGGTTGCCAGTGATTCCCCCTTCCTGAGTGATGTGACCACCAGAGGGCGCCCAAAGAAGGAGTATTACCGTATGGTGTCTGTGGATGTTGACACTACGGATAAGACTGATAATGATGACGGGACGGACACTGGTAACCTTGATGTGAGTGACAGAGCTGGTGGGAGTGATGACTTGTTTGTTGTTGAAATGACCAAGCAGATCTTGGTTGAAACTACTGAGAAGTATACAAGATCGTCCGAAAAATTTGAGATTGATCGTCATAATTGTAATGCTTTGCTGCAGCCGAGTCAGTCAACAAGTGAACAGTCTGAGTTTGAGAACAACGGTGAGTCCAAGGACAAGATTCAGTATCTGATTGACAAGGCAGAGGATTTGGTCCGATCTGCTCCAAAAGTGATTCATACTTCGACACCCAAGGTACATGAGCGGAAAACACCCGAGAAACAGGTCCGATCTGTTGGTTGTAATACAGTGATCATCAGCTCATGTGACGCAAGTGCCGAAGATACAGACAATGAAAGTTCTACGGAAGAGTTCTCTACAGCAACAGATGAAGCTAGTGAGAAACAGTTTGACAGTGTGATCTGTCTGGATTATACTTCAGACTCTAAAAACACCAGCCATGAAAACGTGGCTCTGTCCCCTATCCACTCCTCCCCATTGTTTGAAAATGTCCGACTACGCAAGCAGCAGTCTGGTCCACGCAGACTCAAAGACCGTCCATGGAGTGTTGTGGAAATGCAGGAGTTCTCTCGGAACTTGGAGTCGCAGCCATTTTCCACTTCTGAGAGCGCCATTGATCGTATGATTCTCAGTAAAACTGACAGCCCTAGATCCCCTCCCCCTTCTTTCCTCTCCCACAGGCAAGCCGCAACATTCCCGCGTGAGACGAAAACAAGTCGTGAGATGCGACGATCATTCTCTACCTCAGACCAAAGTTCCCCTCGAGGTGCTAAGCGGAAACTACGCTATTCCTCCCAGAATGACACCCTCCTATCTTCCAGAGCAGCTAATATGAACAACTTGGTGCCTTCCACAGACTCTGAAGATGACATCACAAAGCATATTAGTGAAACTGATGACATGGTGGACCAATTTGAACTGGCCCGTGTCCGATCTAGTGGCAGCAGTGCAGATTCAGATTCAGACACATCAGGTAAGATTCGTTTGTTTGTTTGTTTGTTTAACGCCGCACTCACCAAGCTATATGACAGCGGTCTGTAAGTAATCGAGTCTGGACCAGACAATCCAGTGATTGACATCATGAGTATCGATCCACGCAATTGGGATACAATGACATGCATCAACCAAGTCAGCGAGCCTGACCACCTGATCCCATTAGTCGCCTCTTACGACAAGCATGGGTTGCTGAAAACCAATTCTTACCCTGAATCTTTACGGGATCATCAGATTCACTGTGCAGAGTTGCGTCCCATTGGGCACGCCAGAAACCTATGATTGTGGGTTGGAATCCAGGTTTGCCCCAATTATGTTTCTAGGTTTGTCGGCACCATACCCCTGCTTGTGGGTTTCACCGAAGTGGTAAACGTCTGACACATGCAACACTTCGGGCTTTCCTCTCACATTAAGCTGACGTGCCGTGATATAACTCGAATTCTGTTAAAAGCGGTGTTAAACCCAACTCACTCACTCACTCTTTGAGAGTTGATCCTGAAAAAGCATGCTCTTTCAGTCCAAAATCCTCCTGTGGCACTTCCAGGCAGAATATGTACCCAGTATTCCATGATTTTTGTAAGAGGCAAACGATGAGAATCAAGTGGTTACAATGTGTGACCTGGCTGGTGTGGATCAAAGCTCATTCTATCAACCACTGGGTGGTCTGGCAGAGACTATGATTTGTAGACCATTATTTAGCTAGAATGTTGGTGAGAGTGGAGTAAAGACAGTGGTATCATACTAACATCACAGCGCATCGTCAACTTCAGACAGGTGGATCAATTGAGAACATATGACATTTTAAGTTTCTTCAGATGGAAATGAAGAGAATCAACTAGACTAACATTTAGTCTATGAAATCTTATATTACACAATATCTTTCTTGACTCTAAAAATATTTGTTTGTTTTTTTCCCTATGCTGATTTCATAGTGGAATAGAGCTAGCTTGAGCTGGCTTGACTTGCTTTTGTATGCGTTTCTAGATTGTTTTGTTTTTCTATAAAATAAATATATTCCACAGTCATGGTGCAGGACTAAGAATCAACCAGTAATATGTGTTAAATGTCCTGTTGTTTGGACACTAATGTTGTGTTCTGTTATACTAGATGCCTATTTGACCCCCCTGGTTGAGCCCCTGACGTCGGACAACGAGGATGTCCTGAACAGCACTGGTTCCTTCTCAGAGAATGCCTGGGACAATTATCAGGTAGGTGGAGTCTGATCTGTAGATGAGAAGCTTTATGTTGAGTGTTCTGCTCATGCCTATTCTGTAGGGTCTAATTGGAGTGAATTTCATACAGCATTTAGGTGAAAAAGAAATATTGCTTGAGATATTGTTTTGGTTCATTTCCTCACATTAACTGTTGTAGTGCATGAACCGACCTCTGTCAGATAAAAAAAATATATTATGACCTTGAGTTGAAATGGCTTCATAGAAATGTCAAGAAGAATAAATTTTTGTTCGCCTAAATGTTTGGTTGAGAGTCAAGTGATGAAGAAATGTAAATTTTTTTTGTAAAGAACGGGTTAGAAGAAGTTACATTTAGGAGTTTTTAGATGCTTACTTAAATATTTCAATGCTTTGTATCACAAGCAAGCTCTGCCTTATTCTACCAAGTATCTGGTCTCTTACATGTTCAAAGGGAGATAACTATGATTACTCACAACAACTACAAAAATCATCACCGTGTTTGGATTCAGTAAACCTTTTGTTGTCCAGCACTGCCACTAACCATTATCTAAATACATGGATGTCTAGAGGAAAACATCCCTCGTGGTGGACTCCATGTTTTAAAGTTACTGTGTGCTGAAAGGGTTAACATTCTTGTCTGCCTGCAAGTATTAGACAAGGTGTTGACAAGAAAAACATTCAGCCATTGCCCGACTTTTCCAGTCCCCACTGTACCCGGCGGTGTCTGATGACCCCACGGAGGAGAAACTGCACTGGGAGCCCATTGACGAGATGGAGTTTGATGACGACTTCCTGTTGCCAAACAATAAATCTAGTGCCATTGCTGCTGCTGTTGCTGCTGACAAGAAAAAAGCTAAAAATAAAATCACGGTGAGAATCTTGCAACAATACACAATTATGAATGTGCTGCCAAATGTTTTCAATACAAAACCAGATTGGGTTGATGTCAGGGTTTTACCTTGACCTTCAAAACTAGAGGACACCCAATTACTAATTAAAGGTTCCTTATTGGAAATATGAGGGTCCTGTAAATTAATGAAATGGTGTTGTTTACTCTACTATAAGATCTAATAATGTCATTAGTTACAAGAAGTTTATATTTCTTGTCAAGAATTTGGTACAATGAACATTATTGTGCATCCCTCGGGATGCAAGTATTTTTTTTTCTCCATCCATTCTATACATTTGTACATACTGGACGCACATTTCTGCATCGAATAAAACCCTGGTTGGTGTTCCCGAAAATACTGATTACCAAAGATCATTATGTGAGGAAAGTGAGTGAGTCAGTTTGGTTTAATACCAGTGGAACAGTATTTCAGTTATATCATGACAAGATAGCTTTAAGTGGGAGAGCCAGTATCTGAGACATTGTCCACTTAAGGGGAACCGACTAGAAAGAGTGTGCCGAAATACAAAAGATCAGAGTAAATCTGGGATTCAAGCATTTTTTTCAAGCAATCTGAGATAGTAGCATTTTATACCATTGGTCACTATAGGAATGTTAATATTCCAATTACCGTGACACCTTTATGCATTATAATAAATTCAATGACGATTCCTATTTGATAATGATGCATTTTGTGTGCAGATCCCTGCCCCTGCCCAGTACGATGACAGTGACTCGGACATCGAAGACTTCCACTACGTGTTGGACCAGTCAGCTGACCAGATGAGACTGGCTGACCAATCACTGAAGAAGAAGAGGAAAGACCCGATGGGAACAGGCATCTACCTCAAACCTGCTAAATATGTAAGTCAAGTCGTATTATGTATCACGAGGTGTCATAATATTGTTCAATTTGAGACCCATGCAGTCGGTTGTCCAGAATGTAATAACTTAGAATATGTTGTCAAATGAAGTTCAAGAGTGTTCATACGACTGGTAATCAGTGCATTGTACCCCCAGTTGGAAGACCTTGTCTATTAATACTGTTTTCTTATGATGGTTCATCTGGTGATTAGGGCGGTCGGGTAGCCTAGTGGTTAAAGCGTTAGCTCGTCACGTCGAAGACCCGGGTTCGATTCCCGACATGGGTACAATGTGTGAAGCCCATTTCTGGTATCCCCCGCTGTGATATTGCTGGAATATTGCTAAAAGCGGCGTAAAACCATACTCACTCACTCATCTGCTAATTGAAATTGAGATCAAACATAAAGACCTAGTAATTGAAGAATTTTTTGTAGATTTAATTGATTTAATGTATATAAAATATAACTGTATTTATCCTACATCTGAGTTGTAACATTTGTTTATCCTATGTCTGAAGTATGTGTTTATCCCATGTCTGAAGTATATGTGTTTATCCCATGTCTGAAGTATATGTGTTTATCCTACATTTGAAGTGTATGTATTGTACGCCTATGTTATAAATCTGTCTTACATGTGGGGTTGCGTTGTGTTGCAGGCGGAGATCATGGCGACCTGTGTGACCAACATCCGGTGCCTGGAGAGCATCAGTCAACACCTGGAGCCCACGGACGTCACCATGGACGACTGCCAGCGCATGCAGGGTAGGCAACTGATACAACTACATAGAGAAAAGACATGAATTGAAATATCTTTCATCATCATAATTGTTGGCGCTTGTTCAGTTCCTAAAAGCCAAACATTACATGTTATTTGAGATGGCACCAAACTGGGATTCACTTGTAGGATCACTGTGGTTATAATGCTTTGTCGTAAGACGCGATTAACGGATTGGGAATTGTTAGGCTCACTGAGTTGGTTGATGCATGTCATTGTATCCCAATTGCGTGGATTGATGCTCATGATGTCAGTCACTGGACTGTCCGGTCCCAACTCAATTATTTACAGACTGCCGTCATATAACTGGAATATTGCTGAGTGTGGCGTTAAACAACAAATAAATAAACAAATAAGCAAACACTCTCACTCACTCACTCACTCTGTTTCAGACATCCTGTATCAGTGGGAGAAGCTGCGAGCACTTGCGTCGGAGCGGCAATGTCAGTCGACGCAGTTGGCCGGCATCTACTCCCTCATCAATGAGATGAAGAAGAAGCATGAGGAGATTGAGAGTCTGATGCACACCGACAAGTTCAGCTCTGCTCAGGAACTGGAGGCAGCCATTAATATGCTCAAGGTGAGTGTCACTGGTCATGCTGCAGTGTTTACAGTAAGCAGGCAATGATCAGGGTGTGGAATACAACAATAAGGAAGGGGTATTGGTTACCAAGCAGCTGATGTGTTTCCTCATCACATGGAAGAGTAAGGGAATCCCTGGGTACAGTTTGTTAACATGTTCTTGGTATCTTATTAATCTTCAAATTTGCTTTCTTGCTCATTCACTGTCGGACCCGTGAAGATCCAGGGTAGAATCGGTCTTCAGCAACCCATGCTTGCCGTAAATGGCGACTATGCTTGTCGTAAGAGGAGACTAACGGGATCGGGTGGTCAGGCTCACTGACTTGGTTGATGTATCCCAATTGTGTAGATAGATGCTCATGATGTCAATCACTGGATTGTCAGACCGATGTCATATAGCTTGAATATTGCTGTGCGGCATTAAACAACGAACGAAACATTCACTGTGGGATTGAAAAAATGCACTTAATCTTAATTGATATGAAACGGAGATACTTCAACACATCCTGACATACTCAGTGCCTGTAAACTCCATGTATTGTGTTGGTCCTCTAGGAGCAGCAGCGAAGTCTCCAGGCACAGAAGGCTGAGGTGGGCGATCTGGAGAAGGCAATGGATGCATTCAATGAGCAGTATCCTGCCATCCCCATCAACAAGTTCTACACCGAGTTGGCCGACATCCAGGAGACGAACATTGAGCTGCAGCACAGGTAGGTCTTCAGTAGAACTGGCTGGCATGGGTGGCACTGTGGATCACTGTGAGTTTCACTGGATCTGGTGGTCATGGGTTCAAATCCTAAATTCACCCTGATTATCATACTTGATACTCATTGGTTTCTCAAAAATTATATGGAAATCTTTGTAGAACCATTTTGTTATTATTATGTGCTTTAAAACAATGGTGATAGATAGTCCTAAAAGTTTTTATAACAAAGTAGCTAGCTTATACAAAGAGTAATGAGTGCCAAATATGGTTCTACAGTAACGAGTTATCTCGTATCAATTCTGTACACTGCTGATGACCCCCTCATCAATCTCATTAAAATCAGACCTCAGTTCTCGCTACAGCAAAACAAAGATCTGAAGACATCCCATAGGGGTCACATCAGAACGACCTTTCATCCGACCAATCAGAACATCGCTTACCAGTTCATGAAAGTGACAGTCGGAATGTGATTTCTAATCATACAACCTCGAAAACTTTAACACGGGGTATTCCGAACGATATTTACGGGTTTAATGACTGAATCTATACAATCTAGACCATCTATTAGCCATTCCAGAATGTTCTTTTGTTTAGGTTTCAAATTTGTTATCGAGAATTTGTCAAAATATGTTTCGAAGCAGAGTCGCCAATTTGAAATTAGTGCCGTAAAGCACAAGAAAGCTGCCTTCTGATTGGTCATTCCATTGGTTAGTCAAAGTTTGCGCAAGGTCGGTCTGACGTGACCCGAAATGGGATGTCCTCAGATCTTTGTTTAGCGGTAGCGAGAACTAAGATCTGATTTTAATGAGATTGACCCCCTCAATGATGTGGGTAACAGCAGGTCCCCAGTATCCTGTTGCTTGTCACAAGAGGCAATGATATTGGGTCAGTGGTCAGGCTCATGTCGTGTCCCTTCGCTATTTTTCACTTCAATTAAGCGCAAACACGGTTAGCATGGCTCCCAAAATTTACTTACATTTTTAATAAACTCAAGTTTTACAATGACACAATGTTTTCCCCATCTGAAAAAACATTATCAGTTGATGACTGTGAGCACGTACGTAACACCAGAAATACCAGTCAACAAATCTGGTTGGGTGTTTTCATTGTACCTTGAAAGTTTTTCTGGCCGAGATTGTTATCTGTTAAATTAATTGTTAAATTAAAAGTGTCCTAATCTGTAGTGTTCTCTTGCAGCCTGCAGCAACATGTGATGAAGCAGGAGCACACACTGGCGATATGGTTCGAGTACCTGGAGAGCTGCAGAGAGATGGACCAGCTGCTGGCCCAGGATCGCGACCGACTGCAGAAGCTGCTGCGTCAGCGGGATAACGGCATGGTGGTGTTGAGGAAGGACCTGGTGAACGAGGTGGAGGTAAGACATGCTTACACTCTGCTTGTCATTACAAAACAAACTTCACAAATTGAGTGGTGTTCTTCTCTGATGTAGGGCATGAGATAAGTATTGATAACATTCAGAAGCAGCTCTGTGGGGGACACAACTCCCTTTGCAAACTTAACAATAACATGTAAAAAATGTGAAATTTGAATCGAAGACAAAGTATTAATAACAAATTAAAAAATAACATTCTCCATTTCATTACTATAGTGATTCTGAGGCAGTCACCAGCTGTCTAACCATATCTCGAAGTAAAAACTGAGATGGTGATGGTATGGTCAAAATGGCCGAAGAGTATTGATCAGTCGTACTCAGTTATCCAAAAGGGGCCTTGTGGTTAAGGCTTGCCCTCATTACGACAAAGGCCTGGTTTAGATTTCCCACATAGATAGAGTGTGTGAAGCCAGTTTGTTGTGTCCCCCGCCATAATATTACTAAAATTGTTGTAAAACAATGTTCATTCACTTAGTTATCCGCAATTCTTGTGTAATTTACATGGTTTAAACTATGTCAGATCTAACCCTTCTTGTGCCTATGTTGCAGACACTCCAGTCTAGCTTGTCCGTGTACGAGTCTAAACTGTGCCACCTTCAGAGTCTCCGCAAGGAGCTCCATGGATCATCTGATGAGGACACACAGACAGAGTTCCTGGCCTCCCTGGCCGACATCCGCAACCAACTGCTGGTGTATGAACAGAACTGCCGCCAGATTCAGCGCAACATCCACGACGAGGAGGATGAAGAGTTGGCCATTGAGGCGTCGCAGCTCGGACAGCTCGCAGTATCTGCTGCAGCCCTGCACGAGCATATCGCACGCAGTCGACGGGAATCGTAAGTCTAAATGCATATTTTGTCACTACTAGTGAAATCAAGCTATGTTTTCTTAATAAAAACAGACACTAATACTTATTTACATTCGATGTGACATATAGTATTTACTTATAATTCAAATTGTGCCTTGTGTAAGAGTCGAGGTGGGTAGAATTAAGTTTATGCACATATTTCTGATCATGTCACTCCGCTTCAAAGAAATCTGGTCAGAGTAGGTCTCCAATGTCTATGCTTATCAAACAATTTCAACTAAAACTTGAGTCAGATGGTCACAGCTCTGTATGAATAGTACCTGGATAAGGAAAAGAATTTATGGATGTAAACTTCTTTATTATGAGGAACACTACATTTCAGAGTATATACTTACTCCTTCAACAGGTGAATACTTTTACTTGATGAAGGAGTAAGTATATACTCCATAACCTTGTGTTCCTCATAATAAAGGAGTGGACATCCATAAATTCTCTTCCTTATGTGTATCACTTCTTAATGCCTTTCGGGGCAGTCGGGTAGCCTAGTGGTTAAAGCGTTCGCTCGTCACGCCAAAGACCCAGGTTCGATTCCCGACATGGGTACAATGTGTGAAGCCCATTTCTGGTGTCCCCAGCCATGATATTGCTGGAATATTGCTAAAAGCGGTGTTAAACCATACTCACTCACTCACTTAATGCCTTTCAAATACTTAGTACCCGGATAGTTGACGTTTAATATCAGGCAGACAGCTGTGGCCTGTCTGAGTGTTTCAGTAGTGACTTCTTGAGGCTAAATTGTCATGTGTTTGTTACAGTGAGAGCGATGAAGTGGAGACAACTGAGGAAGACAAAGACACACGTGCCAGCGGCTGGCTGTCGTCATGCCCAGTACAGGTTGCCGCGGTGATGCTGCTGGCAGGGATCGTGTACTTGTTTGATCCCAGCATCCTTCAGGACATGGCTAACTTCTCTATCAGGATCTCACCAGAGCTGAAATATGTTAACGGTCCTCCCCCAGTCTGAGTGAATGAGTGAGCCAATCAGAGATCAGAATGCTAGATCCGATCTAGCTGCCGCTCAGGTCCCTGTCGGACCTGTGTACAGTTACAACGCCCTCTAGTAGCAGATTAAGACACAGTCTATATCTGCGGCGTGTCACGCAGCGGCCTGGGTGTACATACAACCATATCAGGCAGATAAGTAGAGCAGATAGGGCCAGGCCCCACACAAATGCACGCCAATATTCTCCAAAATACATCGGAAGCAAATCATACTCTAGATACATATCCAAGTAACAAAATTATTTTAAAATTATTAAACACATTATCCATGACAAAAAGAATTTGGTATTAAACTAATATTGATAATTATATCTATATAGTGCATATTGTTGGGGCCTGGATGGGTAGACGCGTACAAAGATGTACATACAAATCATACAGCCAGGGGCTGATAACACTGAATTGTACATACAGTTATCCATGGCATGATCACAGCAGTCACCACCACCAGCAGTTGAATGTTCAGAAGTGTAGATATTATGCTGGTGCAGTGTTTGGTCACGGCGGTCTGACATTGGCTGCTTTGAAAGTTTTTCCTAAGTGGATTCTGTTCATATTGCTGTACATTCAGTCCAGTCGGAAGTAATTTGCTATAGGTCTCCGATCTGTAGCTCATGAAACTAGGCTCAGAACCAAAATCCACTCACTTACAGTGGTCCAGTACCTGATGGTACTTCCTGGGTATCATACTGGTACCTCCTTAACTTGCAATAATAGCTGGTTGAACAGCAATAGTCTACATACAAAAAGTTTAATATATGTATACAATCTGACTATTTATACATAGATATGGTATAACATTCAAATACTTGTAAATAAGTAGATTTTACCTTTTCAAGATAGGTATAAACCTATTATTGGGTATGAAACCACACATAGTTGAATAGATGATATGATATGTAATATATTGTATATTATACTAGGAATAACAGTATGGTTAAAGAAGTGATCATTTGGAACAATATATAAAAATAAATCCTGTCAAAGTACAGTGATAAATAATGTCTTGATAAATATTTTCACTTTATCATGAACAGTTTGCCTCGTAAAGCATAACATAAAATCCTTTAGATAAATTATGACTGTTTAAAGAAACATTGACAAATGATTTCTTGACAAATATATTCATGAACAATTCCTCATGCAGCATGGTCATGTCCTCAGGATAATGAGCTGTGTTGCATCCAATGTTGTTACGAAAGGAATAAATATGCATGAACCTGAAAGGGCAGTTTATAGTGCTATTATTTCCATGTTTTCATCCTTCGTGTACCGGTCTAGTCAGTATCTGTAATCAAAGTTTGGACCTGAAATGTATTTGTGAATAGGCAGCAAACTTTTATGTGTTTCTGAAATTTTATCAAAATTTTGATTTTGATTTTGATAATTAGATTTGACTTTGTGACTTTTATATAAAGATAACAAACTGTTACTGCCATGAAATGGTTGTATGAATCATTGCTGAAATTTTTAACACCGGTGTGTTTTGTATTCTTTTCTATAAAACACTTCGGTGAACATCATTATTTCATCTCTGTTATTTCAACTATCAGCATGTATATAACAACTATCATGATCAGGCAGTCTTGGTGTTATCACAGTAGTTATTGTTGATAACATCTTATCACTGTTATCATAGTGGAGAATGTTTGGTATCAACAAGAATATTAATGTTGATATCATGCTTAAGAATAATGACAGTCAATGTTATTAGATGAGTTACATATTTATATCAATTTAAAGAACACAATTGATATTAATGGAGCAATATAATGGGAAGAATCAATGATAATATCAAGGAAATTAGATGTTTATATCAGAGATAACAAGCCTCATATGAAATGTCACTTTGGATTTTCATATTGGTATTGTTTTCAGGAAATAATAACATAGCCGGAATATGTGGAGATGTGAATAAAATACATCTATTCGGTTTATTGCTATGACTAAATAGCCAATGTTTCTACAGACAGTAATCCTGTCTTTGACGACATTGTAGAGAAAAGATCTATCTATGCGAAGTGTTACCATCGCCAGTTTACAGTGGCTGTCAATCAGGAAGTGTACAAGATACCAGGTGCTTGTTTGATGTACACTGACAGCGAAATGTACACATGTATATAGGGTGTTTTGTTGTAACCAACACCTGTCTTATACCTTATAATTCTTGGCAGCAGGGAAATAGATTTTTATTCAAGGAAACGTAAACCACACATCATAGTACATTCACTAACACGATGCTTTTGTCATCAAGAAATTACCACGACTAGGTTGAGTTGTAGGCCTGTCCAAAGTCGGCTCAGACTAATTTATATCTTGACGTTTATCAATTTCCACAGCTACTCTGGGAGTGACATAGTTTATGTGATAAGACTTGTGGTGATTTGTCCATCACATTTTAGTGTAATGGTTCTCAGTAATTCTCTCAGCTCTGGTGAAGTTATGATGGGAAGAATGCAGTGTTGTGACTATCAGCTGTTGTTGACACTGTGTGTGTGTGTGTTGCATTGTTAATTGCTTTGTTTGTTGTCTTGCATTGTGATGCTAACAAATAGTCATTTAAATCCTTATTATTTATAGATATTTGACATTTTAGCATTTTTGTTAAAGCTTTGAAAATTGAAGCAGCATAAATGGTTTTGCTTCTAAATTTCATATTTTCAGTGTTGATATGATTTGTTAAACAGACTAGACTCCGTTTATTTGATACCGGTATTCTTGAACTTACAATAATTATTGTAAACTTTGCTTGTTAGATCAGTGAGTATTGTGGGGAAATATTTCCTACCCCAATTTCTGGATTGTCTTGTTAATGAACTTTCTCAATGAAACGCATTTGCATTTTTACATCACATTGAAATATATTTTTCTTTGTAGACAACTTTTGTACCTCTTGATTAAGTGCCTGTTGAGTTACTCAATTTTTGTACCTTATTTCTTATTCCAATTGAATACTTCTGATGGATGTTCATTTTGTTGTTATCACCGTTTATATTGTAGTGAAAAAAACATGGAATATTTCAGGTAGAACTTTCTAACATTTGTACGAGGGCATAAATGGAAATATCTTCCGAATTGTTTATTATTTTGTAAATATTTCCAGAGTACTAGATTAGGAATATTTTTTTATAGTGTCATTCAATATTTACAGATACTCCTTAATCTACTTTGAAAAAAATATATGCAGGTCACTACTGATGTTATGGTTTGATAATTGAGGCAGTTTTAACAGGTAAGTGATTTTATTTACTGACCAAAATATCACATTAAATGGTGCTATCCCATGCAGTTGTAGCAATACACTGCGTTGTAATACTAAACCGATTGTTTGTTCATTCCCTGTCTAGTGCAGTGAATTTGAGATGATATTCTGTCTTGAAATTATTGAGTATTCTGAAGTCTCAAACACACTTGATGGGTAATAAATTATTTAACCTCAACCACTTGTCTTGTTGTTTATCATCATCGGAACACACCATGGGAGCGGTCGTCAGACAGATCGAGCAAGAAATGTTGACAGCCACTTTCAAAAATAAAAAGACAATACACAAGAATTTGGCAGTGATTAAAAATGATGAAATGACGGGTAAAGGTGAAAATGGGAAATCAACATTTTTTCATGTGCCAGAATGACTGACCCTATTTGAGGCCTTTGTTCAAAGCACTGAAGTGTTCTATTCGATTGGAATGTTTTGTGTTTGACAGAATAGAATGATGATATTTTATACATGATTTTGTTGTTAGTTTTCAAAATGTTAGGATGAGCAGTACAAGTATGGAGATACATTGTGGCTTTGGGTCAAAGTCAAACTAAATATTGCCCTTGCAACCATACCTTGTATGGTTCAGAGCCAGCATTGGGGTTGTTTGTTTATGTTGCTAAACGCCGCACTCAGCAATATTCAGCTATATGGCGGTGGTCTGTAAATAATGAAGTCTGGACCAGGCAATCCAGTGATTGTCATCATGAGCATCAATCCAGGCAATTGGGGTACGATGACATGCATCAACCAAGTCAGCGAGCCTGACCACCTGATGCGGTTAGTCGCCTCTTACGACAAACATAGTCGCCTTTTACGGCAAGCAAGGGTTGCTGAATACCTATTGTATCCCAGATCTTCATGGGTAGCCAGCATTGGGAGTCTACATTAATGATACAAACACAGAAACACCTCAGTATATCCATGTTATACTGAAAGACACCATGGTTACCCATAAAGAAGTGTTTACACAAGTCTTGGAAAATAGCAATCATTCCAAATATGTTTACCAATACATATACATAATGGAAGTTATAGATTGGATTCTCGGTAATAATAATTGTCTCTGCAGTGAGATATTATTTTGATCTGCATGTCTGTTGAAATATGACCAGGCAAGAGTCATTAATCCCGCAAGGGAGATGGTTATTTGAGATTTGTTTGTCATCCATGACAATGAGCATTCATGTGGGACATCGGCCATCATGTTGGCAGAGATATCCTTGTAGAAACAGCCATCACACAAATCATTATGGATAGAGTTAATGCATGCCCTGTCATAAAGCCCCAAGTCTCATACACTGAGGCCGCTTCCGTGGTCTAGTGGTAGAGCGTCCGCCCGGAGAGCGGAAGGTCAGGGGTTCGATCCCCGACCGTCTCATACCAAAAGACATTAAAAGATGGTACTTATTGGTACCCTGTCTGGCGCCATTAAGGGGCTAAAACAAGGACTGGTCGGCTGGGAGTCAGTATACAGTGTCTGATTGGGGTATTCATGTTAAACTGCGGCATGGTATCTCAGTGAGCTAGCACTATAAATCGGCATCAGTCCGGACTAGTACAAGCAGCCACACAAACACACACACACACGTACATGCACGTCGCTATATAAATGCAATAATCTTGGACGCGACGTTAAACCCCATTTCACCTCACCTCACCTCACCTCACCTCACCTCACCTCACCTCACCTCACCACATACACTGAGACAAGGCCCATCAGGGTGAACAGTGGGTTGCACTCAGAAAACTGCCAAGGGGGCCATGTTAAAACCATACACATAGAGTTTAATTTAATTCAGAGCTCGAGCAGTAGTGAACACACAAACTTGGTGTCAAAATTGCAAACACAAAAGTTGTTATATTTGGTAGAGGTACGTACAGTTAAAGCAAAATTGTCCTGCTTTGGAGACAAGTTGTAAAAAGCTGATAGTTACAATCATCTAGAAATAAAATTTAGTGAAAATATATTGTTTATGTACTTATTAAAAGTTTGATAGTGTCTGCATCCCAAGCAATGTTTTAACTCAAAACGGCCTGAAACCTCAGTCTATCTTTAGACAGCTTATTTAAAGTATTCGACCTTGTAACTGCAATACTATTGTATGCATCCAAAGTCTGGGGATATGAAAAAGCAGTAGCTATTGAAAGAATCCATTTGTAAAGTTAAACGTTGCTACACATAAACCCTAAACTTGTTTATATAGGGTGAACTTGGAAGGGTCCCACTCAATATGCATATTTGTAAAAGACTTATCCGCTTTCGGCATAAATTAAATAACCCAAGTGAGCCCCCAAAGTTATCACAAGTTATTTTTAATTTTGTGAAAGCTGATATATAAATCCACAAAAATAACAATGGCCTAGCTGCCTTGAAAATATACTGAACTCTTGTGGTCTAACTGCCGTTTTTCATTCACCCCAACATGTTAAAAGAGACTGGATCGTGGAAGAAGTTGGGAGAACAATGAAAGGTCAGTCTTATCAAACTTGGCGTAGTACAGATGAAACAAGCGCTAAAAGATTCTACTACAAATATTTTAAGCATAGAGTTAATTTTGAAAAGTACCTCTTGCTACCTAAGTCAGTATTATACCGACTACAAAAATCTAGAACATCATACCATAGCCTTTCCATTGAAACCAGAAGATGGAGCAATACTCATAGAGAAGATCGCTTATGTTTGATTTATTTGTTTTTTATTCGTTTGTTTGTTGTTTAACGCCGCACTCAGCAATATTCCAGCTGTAATTATGACAGTCTGTAAATAATCGAGTCAGGAACAGACAATCCAGTGATTGACATCATGAGCATCGATCCACGCAATTGGGATCGATGACATGCATCAACCAAGTCAGCGAGACGAGTCGACCCGATCCCGTTAGTCGCGTTTTACGATAAGCATGAGTTGCTGAAGGCCTATTCTACCCTGGATGTTAACGGGTCTCTTTCAAATGAACATACACAATCAATCTCCTTGTGGAGATTACTTACATATTGGTCTAGAAGTTGTTCAGGGGGCGCTTATGGTGGGAATTAAGGAGATCTTATTTCCCATGAGATTAATAAACTAGTCAATATCTGAAAAACACACAAAATGTTATTTAAAGCAATGAATCAAGCAGAACAAGCCGAAGTTAAGAAAAGTTTGAGAAAGATGTGAGTGGTGACGAATGATCGCGAAAGACGACAGAAACACAGATATTACAGACGCTTCGATGGCAATCGGGTTGTTCCAAGGGGGGATAATTCTCCTTTTTAAACGTAATCAGCGAGCATTGGTGACGAACTTGAGTCATTCCGGAAAGATGCGAGTAGTGACGAATGCAGCGAAAAATCTATTAAACTGGTTCCACTATGGTCCGCGCCGCAAGCTTAGCGCTATTTACTAGTGTAGATAGACACGAGCCCAGTCAGTAAACCTATTATGGATGAGGCTGTGCGTTATTGCATGCGAGATCACTTGATTCAGATCAGTTAGACAATGACATACACGAACCATTAGATTGGAGAAGTCCTTGTTATCAATAACGAATGCTTCGTGTTTGGTTGATAATACGATTCAACAAAACAGAAGGAACAAGAAGCTCGTGTCCCAGCTCTTGCTTTGAACAGAACCTAGCAGCAGATCAGATGTAGCCCCTTTCACTAAATGGGTGATTGCAAATATTTATGTACACACTTTGATATGAATACTGTAGGTTATGTTTCAAGTTAGTATTTCCAACTCCAGTAAACTAATTGAGGTGATTCAAGATTGTTGCGACGTGTGTAGAGCCCTTAAACCTACAGTGGTCTAAGTCTACAAAAGTCATTAGTGGCCGTAGCTTATGTGGGTCTCCTCCAATTAGTAAGACAGCCCAGTTGTAAGACACCTTAAAACAACAATGTCATACCTGGTTGCACATGTTAATCAGGTAATTAACCCCTATCATGAAAATGGACTTGTCTTATTATAGACAAAAGAAATGACTCAAGATGCTTGAGATACCCTCTTTTACTTTATTTCATTAGTGTGTGTGTGTGTGTGTGTGTATTAGTGTGTGTGTGTGTGTGTGTGTGTGTGTGTGTATTAGTGTGTGTGTGTGTGTGTGTGTGTATTAGTGTGTGTGTGTGTGTGTGTGTGTGTGTGTGTGTGTGCTAGTCCGGACTTATGCCGATTTTATAGTGCTATCATGCCGCAGTTTAACATGAATACCCCACTCAGTCAGAGTATACTGACTCCGAGTCGACCAGTCCTTTTTTTAGCCCCTTAATGTCGGGCTCCAGACAGGGTAACAATTAGTACCACCTTTTCACGTCTTATGGTATGGCGCGGCCGGGCATCGAACCCCCGATACTCCAACTCTCCGGGCAGACGCTCTATCCACTAGATCATGGAGACGGTCGTAAAATAACAGATCATTTTCGAAATTTTATTATCATAAAGCTATTGGTTCGGATAACTAATCATCCGTTTTACTCCTATACCTGTATGTGTTTCCAGTTTTCCTGTTTAAGGTATTCACCCAACAATTTCTATGGTATGGCTATGGATATCCAATTAACAATCGGTGAAGGAATCTTTGTTTGGATTATTTATCCGACACAAAAGGTTTAGATCATGTTACATTTAACTGCAATTTTCAAGGTTGAAAGTGGGGGCTCTTTGAAAATCAATGTGGCTTAGAGCAGGAGTAGAACGATATCTTACTGACTCGACTCTGTGTATAAAATGGCAATATCTTTTCCTCGAGCTCGAGTTGCTGCACACAACTGAATATCGATAATGGGCTATAACACTCAAAAGTCAAAGCGAGACAGTATTAGAGATCTTGCAAAGGCTGCTGTTCTCTCTTCCCAAAGGAGAAGTCGAATGAAGCCAATATTGCTAAGACGGAAGTTTTGTATGTTTGTTTGTTTGTTATTTAAGGCCGCACTCAGCAATATTCCAGCTATATGACGGCGGTCTGTAAATAATCGAGTCTGGACCAGACAATCCAGTGATTGACACCAAGAGCATCAATCCACGCAATTGGGATGCGATGACATGCATCAACCAAGTCAGCGAGCCTGACCACCCGATCCCGTTAGTCGCCTCGTACAACAAGCATAGTCGCCTTTTACAGCAGGCATGGGTTGCTGAAGACCTGTTCTACCCCGGATCTTTACGGGTCTAAGATGGAAGAAGCAGGATTTACATTAATATTACTGTGAGTTGTTTCTCCATTGCTAAGTTGGAATGTCGGTGCACACCAAGATTTGTAACAGAAGGAGAACATGTGGAACACCTCACTCGCCAACTAATATACGGAGTCCACATTCACATTCGACCCTCATGACACAGGCCTGTGATCATTGCTTCGGCCTTGCTCTCGTTAAGGTTAAGCATGTTGGCATTCATATACAACAGTCTCCAATGTTACTCAAGGCATGTGCTTTACTATTGACATGTTTAAAACTGTCTGCTAGGAGAGTTTCATTAGCATATAGATGTTACAGGTCGCTTCTGTATGCGCTCTTCTGGCTGCTTCGTGTGGAGCGGGAATAATATGGGCCCTAAAACCGATCCTTGTGGAACTCCCCATCAGATAGGCTGGATCCAAACCAGGTTAACACAGCATCACCCTGTCCAAACTGGGAGTCAAGTCGCTGTAGAAATGTCTGGACCCGTGAAGATCCGGGGTAGAATGCTTGCCGTAAATGGCGACTATGCGTGTTGCAAGAGGAGACTAACTGTGAGATTAACGGGATCAGTATAAGCATGGATATACTGATGTGTTTTTGTGTTTAATTAATTAATGTAGACTCCCAATGCTGGCTACCCATGAAGATTCGGGGTACAATAGGTCTTCAGCAACCCTTGCTTGCCGTAAAAGGCGACTATGCTTGTCGTAAGAGGCGACTAACGGCATCAGGTGGTCAGGCTCGCTGACTTGGTTGATGCATGTCATCGTATCCAAATTCATGATGACAATCACTGGATTGTCTGGTCCAGACTCGATTATTTACAGATTGCCGTTATATAGCTGGAAGAGTGCTGAGTGCGGCGTTAAACAACAAACAAAACAAAAGAAGTGTCTGATGATCAATGATCAGAAGCCGCTGGGGTATCCAGAAGGAATGATAGTCTAACCTTTCCATTATCAACTGTCAGAGTAATCAAGCTGTGGCGTATTCAATGTAGATGTATTCTTTACACATCAAATTATAAAGGAGATGGTCCCTTTTGAATAGCTGTAAACCAATAAACCCTCGATATGACATGCAATCTGAGATAGACGTAGAAGGAATGAAGATTTTGTTATAGAACGCTCCTTGGTGATTTAATGGGTCATCCCTCAAGTACCCATACTGCAGTCGTGGAGAGAGAGGGGGGGAGAGAGAGAGAGGTAGGGAGGGAGAGAGAAAGAGGGAGGGGGAGAGAAAGAGGGAGGGAGAAATTATTAGAAGTATATACACTAATTAGATAGGTTTACATGGATCAAACATCAGTCTCGTCAAATAAGATCTTAGTGATCCCTGCCACTTGTGCAGGGAAAGCGAGCCCTCGGATCTAATTTTCATAAGATTTGCCAAACACATAATAATAAATCTCATGGTCAACGTGTCTTCTCTGTTTTGCTAGATGGTCTCAGTGGTTGTTCCAATTACCGTAAATCCTTGATTAAACGACGCTGGGTCCAACGACCCTCTGTCTTGAATAAACGCCTGTCGTGAATGCCGGGTTGTATTTGAGTCTACAATATTTTGTTACGTAATGCTCCCTTTTCAAAGATTCCAGTGTATTTCGTTAAACAATTCAATTAATATTAAGCTATTTGATTTGTTTTCATTGAATATGATGCTATTTTTAGGTATAGAACGTAAGAAAAAAACACAAGGCTTTGATGTGAAAAAAGACCTGCTGAAAAAATATAAACAGTTACCTTTAATAAACGCCTTGTCTCGGGACCTTCCGATGATAATTTTTGATGGACGATCAAGTATCCTTATGACTCACTATCATCGCAAGAAATAAACAGTAATAAACAAAAGTAATGAACAAAAAAGAATACATAAAAAACATTTATATCTTATACAAATTTAAAGAAATCAGCTTTTGATTTATAATTGCACTACAAAATATGATTAAAATGTTTTGTCAGTGTGTCGGTAAAACCAGAGACCATTTAATAGAAACTTAACCTTAGTTGTATTCCTCCGTTCCATGTTAATCAACCAAACCAAAACATGTTTTAGCGGTCAACGAATGCATAGTTTTCTACATTATTACTTCCCCTGTTCCACCAATGAAAATGCTTCTTTCATTCAGTATCTAGGACGCTTACGTCCGTGTTGCTACATGCCCAAGCAAGGTGCTCGGTTCGATTTGACAGGTAATTTATCGAATATGTTCTTATAGATAAGCGTTCGATTCAATTTTTACAAATGGACATGTGAATTCTTTCACTGTCACTGCTGATAAGCCGTTTATAAACTATATATTACCCATTTTACCTTCGCACGAAGATCAAAGAGGGTGTTGTTGCAGGTGTGTATTCCCGGTTGTCCCCGACCGTTGTCACCTAGATGGCCGTTCATTAGCATCGCGTTAGCACATTTGTGATGCTTCATGCCTGGATGACTGTTTATGCCAAGACAGCATTTTGAACATTCTCAGCAGTTTGAGTTATATCAGTATGGTGATGACAAATTTTGTCACCAAAGAGACGGTATCATTTTCATAAGGCTAATATCAATATTTGCGTGAACAGATTAGTGATGTTGACCCAAAACAAATGTAAACAAAGGATGTGGTTGACAAGTATTTCACAATATACATCAGAATAGACTACTGCTGAATGGCATGCTGGTTGTCATTTTCGTTTCATGCAACACTGGTAGAAACTAACATTTTTAGTCCACTAGTCCTTATAATGATAACATATACTGTGCAAAACCCTTAAAAATTGCAAATTTCTACTAGTTCTTATGATACCTTAACTATCAGGCAGTTTGGAAAGGACTACAGGACTAGTGCCAATTTCTAACGCTGTAAAGCTATATATAGTGTTGTTGCATTTCCCTGATATTTATTTAGAATCTACTGATGTTACTTTGATTTAAAAAACAAAACAGTCAAGCATTTTGAGGTATGGTGCAGATGGGTTGCATTGATAAATGTCCATTAAGTGTCTGGGTACAGCCAACACTGCTCTAGCACTGTTACATGATACTTAACCTCTAATTAACTCTAATATCAGCGTTAAAAACTAACAGTTTTAGACCACTAGTCCTTATAATGCTAACATATAGATCTAGCAAAACCCTTAAAAAGGGCAAATTTCTTCTAGTCCTTATGATACCTTAACTATTGGGCAGTTTGGCAAGGACTATAGGACTAGTACCAATTTCTAACACTGAATATTATTCGTCAACTGATAGCCAAAGATCTTGCTTTAATATGCCACATCAGCAATCTTGCAGCTATTCACTGCCAGGAAATAAAATGTGAATCCATGGCATTATTCTGAAAGATCAAACAGTAATGCACATGGCTGACTGGATAGTACAAAGAGTATGACTTGTATTGAAGTATCATGCTGTATTTAGAAAAAAATATTTCATGATTTTAACATGAAGTACGGTGACAAGGAGTAGCCATGAAACATTATTGGAAATACTAAACATGATGTTGTTAATATCCATTAATATTCATGTCTTCATAGGGCAGCATGTATATTTTGATATAACTTTGTGTATTTTATGGCAGACCAATTAACCCAGTCTGGGTTTGCAATTTTCAAGCTTGGATGGGATCTTTTACTGAAGATCTTACTTTTCAGTTACTTCCTGAATTAGTTCATCTCAGCACGAAGTATTTCAAGATCAGTTGACTGGGGACGTTGTTTTGGCCTGGAGTCCCCTAACTGCTAGTCGTTATGATAGCTTCTGGTGTCATTCTTGCTTGATGAATTTCAAGGTTCACAGTCTAGTTTGAACAAAGTTCTACACAGCAATATCTCATGTTACCAGAACAAATGTCACCCCTTCTATCAAAACATTTAGGTAGCCAAGTAAATAACTTACTTGGATTTATTTCCTTATCCTCGATGGATTTACATTCTATTGTGGTAAGAACCCATTTGCCACCACAGATTCATTTGAAAAGTGGTGTACAACTTACTATCAGTAACTTTCCACAGAATTTCCTTCAGACATGAGTTTAATTTGATAGGACAGCTAGTAGGGCTGGGACGGGTAACCCGGGTCGGGTGGGTCCTGAGTAGGACCCGGGTACCCACAGGACTACCCGGACCCGTGGTTAGTCACGTGATATATATTGTTTAATGACAAAAATTATCTAAAACTCTATGGTTACACTATACATCACTAATATCCCATTTCTTTCTGACAATGCACCCATTCCTTCTGACTTTTATATGTTTGAATAAAGATAAAACTGCATGCATTAAACTTCAGTGTATGCATGACCGGATCGTCTTACATGTGTATCTAAATACATTTTGCCAGGGCTACGGTCAAACTTTTCCAAATTGGACAATTTGTACCTATCTCTAAATATATACAGCGGGTACCCGGGTAGGGTCGGGTAATAGGGTGGAGGGTACCCGGGTAGTAAATTTGGACCCGTCCCAGCCCTAACAGCTAGTTTAGCACTGTGTCATTCAAAATCTGACTCAATATGTAGTTCATGGATCTGGGGTATTCATCATAATAGAATAGAGATACACTTGATAATGAAAGAAGCTTATAATTATGACTCTGAAAATCTTTATATAAAACATGAAAACATTAAATAGTTTGAAAAAAAAAGGTGATAATGTGGCACTGAATAGACACTGTCATGTGTAGTCTTTGGCCAGCACTGATGTGCTATGGTGCTATTAACTTCCAGGGAGAAGGACCACCTTCGTGGATGTAGCATCAGCTCCAAGAACGGAAGGTCGGTGGTTTGATCGTCTGGCATTGTCATACCAAAAGATGTTAAAAAAAGATTGTACTTGTTGTTCCCCTGTCTGGCACTTTAAAGGGATCAAACAAGGACTAGTCAGCTTTCCATGTTCAACTTCTGCATGGTATCTCAAGGGGTTAGCACTAGAAAGCCATCTTCCTAAGGCAAGGGAGTTAACTGACTATAAATGTCCGCCTTCCCAAACTAGGCAGGAATATTTTGGAGTTATATTTTGGCTATCGTGTCTGTACATAGTCCGTGTAGGGAAACATCTGGTTCACCGTCCACTGGGCATTGAAGGATTTTTAAAAAATCTTTCCATGTTTTTTATCAAGGTGCTCAAGTGATTTTCTGCACTTCGTGAGGTAAGACCAGTTTTATTACAATACAGATCTTGATTATTGATCAGATCATCGTATGCGTGTTGCAAGCCACAAATTGCTTAGAGTAAGCAAATTAATATCTCACACCGGGGTCAGTAACAGCTCGAGGCACTTGTACTTCTGCCTAGTTGCCTTGCCAAAATAAAGAATGTAATAGAAGAGCCTTGATGACGAGCTGATGACTTTACGACTATTGATGACTACTTTGAAGATGTGTAGCAGATTGGGGTTGCTGGGATGTTAGCTGACTTCGCCCATTTCCTAGGTGGTCCAGTCAAGAATTTCTTGCTCAGCTGTCAAATTAAAATCTCAGTCAGCCGCCATTTTGGTTTGAAAACGAAGTGACCTCAGCCAGCGATTGGTGCGATTGCATGTGGCTGAAAGTTAGTGCCCTGTTGTAAGGCGAATCACTTCGCTGTTTGCAACACACCTCTTGACTGGCCACTGCCATTTTGTTTTAATTAAATGCAAGTGATATGAGAGGTGGAATCTAATTGCTCAATAGGACATAGAAGGGACATAAATCGTAATAGCTATAATTTTATAGTCAGTTAACTCCCTTGCCTCAGGATGTTGGGGGTAGAATAGGTCTTTAGCATCTCATGCATGCCGTAAAAGGTGACTATGCTTGTCATAAGAGGTGACTAATGGGATCGGGTAGTTGGGTTCACTGACTTGGTTGATGCATGTCATTGTATCCCAACTGCGTTGATCGATGCTCATGATGTCAATCACTGGATTGTCTGGTCCAGACTCGATTATTTACAGACCGCCGTCATATAGCTGGAATATTCAGGATGTTCTATAAAACCAGCAAAAGTCAGGACTAGTACAAGCAGCCACACATGCATGCACATCGCTACGTGAGTTCAATAATCTCACCTCACCAGAGTGAAGATTGTTACGCTTCACTGAACACTGTTACAAATTCACTTCTGTCCCGTATGTCATGTATCACATTCAAAAGGTGACTGACATGGATTGCTTTGTACAAGTGATAGGTGTTTTCAAAAGAGTGAACATTTATCATCATGATTTTCATATTCAGTTAATCCTCTCACAAACGAACTGCTTCTGCTTGTTAGTATTTACATTTCCCAACTGAGTTTTATATACTACAGATTCAGATATATCACAAGTCTTTAGGTCTTGTTTGTATTAAGTGATCCATGTCAGAATAACAACTTGAAATGAAATGTTCACAGCTGCAGAAATCTTAGTTTACTGTTAAAGATTGCTTCTTTTGGTATTTGGGAGGCGGTGTGGTAGCCTAGTGGTTAAAGAGTGTGCTCATCATGCCAAAGGCCCAGGTTCGTTTCCCTGCACATGGGTAGTTGGATACAATGTGTAGAGCCCATGTCTTGTGTCCCCTGCCATGAGGCATATTCCTGGAATAAATTGGTGAAAGCAGCATAAAACCTAACTTACTCACGCACTCTTATTGTATTTGTCTCCTTATGGATTACAGTTCAAGTTTGTGGTGAGGTGTTTTGTTGTAGGTAGTGTTAGAGAAATGTAAATTTGTGAAAAGGATTACTGGAATTCATAAACAATCATGAACCAGAACCAGTTTCAAAGTCAGCTGTTTCTTGGTATTATTGGGTAAAACAAAAGACAAACTCTGTTTCCTGTTTTTCAACTTCAGTCTGAAGTCCCGACCTTAAGCCCTTTTCCTCTCATCTTCATCGAGTTGCAGCATAGGTTTTGTCACATATAACCCTCAGGATTTTATGCCACTTGCGTAAATTTGTTGCACTTCACTACAGGCAATTTGTGAACCAGTCAGCATGTTCTGTAACTTCTGTTAAAGAGAGAAAAGTGAAAAAAACAAAAAAACAAAAACCAACAATATTTTTTGATGGACTTAAAAATGTTAAATAGGAAACACACATATTTTCTTTCTGGCCCAAAGTAGAAATCTACAGCAGCTGCACAAGATTTGGCTCCATCCTTGAGTATATTTGGATGGCAGTGAATTATTCATCATCATTTGCTCCTGTTATCTCTGCAATCTAACTGTTTGATTAATTCAACCCTGGTTTGGCTGCAGCGATTCCCAGTGGCAAACAGAAGCAAGTGTTGTTGTGAGACAGTTTCATGTGTTTTGTCATATACACATGTACTTAGTATTTTTATTATTATCTTCTTTTCATCTCTTAGTCAGTCATTTTAGGCATAAAAGATCTACCAATACAGTAGAGTATGAAATGAATATCATTTAACATGTTTCATAATTTTAGTCTTTGATATATTTTTTCAGAACAAAAAGATGGATGTTAACATGTTTCATCATAACCATGCATATGTTTTTGGATACTTTATAGTGTGACTTATTTCAGACGTAGGTTTGGTGGTGTAGTGCCTTTCTACCTTCATCATGACTGCAGGCTCCATCATCGTACCAACCATCATCCCCCTCCGGGCACCGGTGCCAGGGAGGTCCAAACTCTCCATAGACTCTGCTACCAAGATAGAAGTCAGAACAGGTGAGTCCTTTCATTTTCATCATGTAGTGCTGTGCTGGGAATGTTCACTCATTTCCATGAAGCCTATTCTCAAATGTTTCAAGTTTTGTGCAAAAGTGCCAAGTAATGTGTTCATGAATAATGTATTGGATAATTAAATAAATTCTAAGGATCATTTGTAAATAAGGAAGAACATGTAGGACATGTTAAGAAATAGGTAACTTCAGAAGGTAATTTTATGGTCGACTGAAAACATTAACATTTTTTAGGCAGGGGAGTGGGGTTGACATTTAGTCACTTTTCCATTTGCTGTCGGAATGTGGGTTTGCTTACTTTATTTGTTTCCATCCTGGAATGAATATACAGTGAATCTTCATTAACTGAATATATTGTTTAAGGTGATATAACTTGAATCTGTGCCAAAAACTTTGAAGTCTACAAGCCCAAATGTGTCTCTTAACATCATTTTCAGTAGATTTTAGTGTTATTATATTGGCTATTATTAGCTAAGCTTACGAGGCTGAACAGATTTAAGACTATAGTGGATAAAATTACAGACTGTAATTTATGGCCCAGACAGAATCCTATTTTGCACTCTGCTTTTTTGGTGTGCATACAGAAACAGTAGAACACGGATATAACGAACACGGATAGAGCAAACAAACGGATACAACGAATTGTTAAAAATCCGCAATTTATCTCCTATATATATTATCATATAAATTTACAAACATAATGAACTCTCTACAGTGAACTCACAGACATAGCGAACTGATATCTGATCCCCAACAAGCCCAAATATTATTGACGCTAAATATTAGTGACGCGTATAGCAAACTGAGAAATCTCACTCCGTGTCAAGTGTCACTGACAATTGGCTGTACACAATCAGCAGCGAAACAACACAGTCACTGGTGACGATTCAGTCTTGTTAACTTTGCATTATGTTAATCTTACCTGTCCATGTAATTGGACTTATCTTGTCTGTATATCATAAATGCCATACTTTGACTCGTTAAAAGTCATATTTGAGGCAGTTTGACTATTAAATGTCAACATAAGGTTTTCGCAATCGAAATACATGTAGCGCAGGAAGTCCCTATGGTGACTGGTCAAATTGTTTCATACGTAAAAATATCCCATATTCCAATAGCAATCACCTGCACCAAAGTGCTATTCTTATGGTTCTTATAATTTTAGATATATATAGTGAAAGCTGTAACTAAAATAACACGATATTGGAATATGTTATTCTGATAAAGTTATAATTTCAGATAAAATTTCTTCCGACTATTGTATCAAAATGTTATGAAATTGTATCCTTGGGTACTTTTTAAATGAATCACTGGTAGGTGCGGGAGGAAACATGTATAAACTTGTATGTGTATTGTGTTTTGTTTCAGCTAAGATGGCCGACGTTTCCGAGCTAAAACGTATATAACAAACTGATTTTTCGGTCCCTTGTAGTCGTTATGTCCATGTTCTACTGTAACTAGATCATGTTGACATATTTTTTATGGTCCTGATGACATTTCGTTAACAAGGTTTCACCATATGGAAGAGAATTTATGGATGTCAACCTCTTTATTATGAGGAACACAATGTTTTGGATTATAAACTTATTCCTTCAAGTGATGAAGGAGTAAGTATATATTCCGAAACGTTGGTTTCTCTTAATAAAGGAGTTTACATCTTTAAATTTTTTACCTCATGTGTATCACTTCTATAGGTCATTCAAAGACTTGAAGGTTTCACGTTAGTGTATTTTAGCAACATTGCTAGAATGTACCATGTATACAGAAGGATGTTCCCTTATTGAAACAATGTTGGTCAGTTTAGGAGCCAACATGTATTAAACCATCACCTAAGCAATGCTTAGGCCAGGGCCCACTTGCACAAAGCGATCTTATCGCTAAGATGATCATAACTCCCATGCTTTAACATAGGCTTACAATAGTCATAGCGCTAAGATCGCTTTGTGCAAGTGGGCCCAGGATTCTCTCTAAGAATTTTCTGGCATGGGTCTTCTATGTGAAAATTTCAAATATTCCAGAGGTACACCACACTTGCCCACACAGCATAATGTTATAATGCCTAATTGTATTTGAAAATGTTGGCCTTTTTCAAATTTAGGGGCTAAAAGCACAAAGCCCCACCTTAGAATTATCCCTGCTTAGGTAATATCTGTAAATCTCAATGATGGTGAACACATGGTGCCAAGCCTAGCTTTACATGGACACTATAAACTATTGCCATGCCACTGCGTATCATGTTTGTGCTATTGTTTTCCACATGGAGTCCAGCTACCTTTACTTGACCATATCAGTGTGTGTCATGTACACACACCAGCCTCAGCAGACACGATGTCTTACATTATTGATCTGTGCCCCAGCTTGTGTCGCTCCTGGATGGTCATTAGGAGATTCACTGACAACAATAGTCTCTTTTGTTGCTGCTTAATGATTTACAATACATCTGTGGGTGCGGATGACACTAAATCAATACCTGTACCCACAACATGTGTCTTTCACATTTGTCTGTGGTTAATTCAAAATAAAATGTGCTTGATTGACATATGTATAACTTCAACTAATGTGATCCATATGATTACGACATAATTAAACATCCTACTGGTAAAATAGGGGCATCTTCATTAAAGTGTTATCCGGAGATTACCACTGCTGTCCCAGTTTGTTTTCACAAGCTTATGATTGTTTTCAATTATTCAGAATAACATATACCTTGTATACTCATGTTACTCCTGTGTGTCCTGAATCCTGAATGTTTCATAAACCATTGCCAAATAAACCTGGTTCATTTCTTAAAATAACTGGCCAATCAAATTGATCCCTGGACTAGGCAAGGTGCAGTGGTGAATAACTTCCTGACTAATCCTATTGAAGAAAGACAAGTTCTATGGATGAACAACTTCTTTATTACAATTAGCAGTGATTAGTGCAACGTTTCGGTGTAGATCCTAACACCTTTATCAAGCAAGTGATGCTTGATAAAGGTGTTAGGATCTACACTGAAACGTCACACTAATTGTAATAAAGAAGTTGTTCATCCATAGAACTTATCTTTCTTCATCACACCAACTTCTAAATGCCACTGAAAGAAGGAATCCAATTGTAGTTTTCAGATGCAGTGATTTGAAGCTTTTTGAAACCTTCAGTCTCTATGTGCTTTAAATCATACAAAGTGTGTTGTATTTATTGCTACCCCCTTTCTTTGATGTACCAGTGTTGGTGACATCAGTGTTCTGTGTGTACACAGTTCCTCATCCAAACTCCTTATAGTCCTCACCAGTATAGCAAATGCATCAATACTTTCAGGGTAGCTAGTCTGATTGTAAGTAATAACATCAGTACCCAGGAGATTAAGGCTAAAACTATAGGTCCCCAGCAACCTATTCTTTGCTTACACCAATAAAATACCCCAACAGCATGGGACATTGCTCGTGGTATCAGTCACTGGTTTGTGTGATCCATACTTGGTTATTTACATACAGGTTGTCATTTAGCTAGAGTGCAGTGTTAAAAAACACATTTCAAATATGCTTTTGTATGACTCAGTCTACATGATCTAAGTGTTGACAATTTTAGGAATTGACATTTATTCCTCATTTTGCTCTTCAGAAACCAGAGATACCGATATTCATTACACAATCAATGGCACCAGACCTAACCCCTTCCAGAAGATGGGGGAGAAGTGTACAATGCAGTACCGTGGGCCCTTCACCCTACCTCCTGGGAAACAAACACTGAAGGCAGTGGCTGTGTCTAGGTGAGTACATCTTGCAGTATCATGAGCCCTTCAATTTACCTCCAGGGAAACAAACACTGAAGGCAGTGGCTGTGTCTAGGTGAGTACATCATGCAGAACTGTGGGCCCTTCACTCTTTCTCCGGGGAAACAAACACTGAAGGCAGTGGCTGTGTCTAGGTGAGTACATCATGCAGAACTGTGGGCCCTTCACCCTTCCTCTGGGGAAACAAACACTGAAGGCAGTGACTGTGTCTAGGTGAGTACATCATGCAGTACTGTGGACCTTTCACTCTTCATTCGGGGAAACAAACACTGAAGGCAGTGGCTGTGTCTAGGTGAGTACATCATGCAGTACCGTGGGCCCTTCACCCTTCTTCTGGGGAAACAAACACTGAAGGCAGTGGCTGTGTCTAGGTGAGTACATCATGCAGTACCGTGGGCCCTTCACCCTTCCTCCAGGGAATCAAACACTGAAGGCAGTGGCTGTGTCTAGGTGAGTACATCATGCAGTACCATGAGCCCTTCACCCTTCCACCGCAGAAACAAACACTGAAGGCAGTGGCTGTGTCTAGGTGAGTACATCATGCAGTACCGTGGGCCCCTCACTCTTCATCCGGGGAAACGAACACTGAAGGCAGTGGCTCTGTCTAGGTAAGTACATCATGCAGTACCGTGGGCCCTTCACCCTTCCTCCAGGGAAACAAACACTGAAGGCAGTGGCTGTGTCTAGGTGAGTACAGCATGCATTACCTTGGGCCCACTCTTCGTCTGGATTTCAAAATTGCACAAACCTTCAGTGGCTTGGAGGTAGTGCTAATATTATTTCATCAGACTAAAGCTTTATCCTCAACCTTAAAAATATGACACATTTTCCGAACATTTTTCTTTACATGTTGACTCTTGATAGCTAAGTTATCTCTACTAACAGTTTGTTAACTGTAACTGAAAGATAAGAACAACCGTAGTCATATGTGTCTGTATTTCCAGGGATGGGTTGAGAGAGAGCAGTGTAGTCACGAAGGTATTTGATGTGGAATATGTTCCCCCCCCTGCTCTGGAGCCCACAGATGATGACCTTGGCTTTCAAGAACAGTGGGAGAAGGAGCAATCAAAGGTATCATTGGCTACATTCTCTCTTTTATTCTGCATGGTGTAGTTGGGCACCTAGTGGTTACATAGTGTTCAATTCACAACATAGGTACAGTGTGAGAAAGTCCGCCATCATGGCTAAGAGTGTAAAACCAACTCAGTTCCTCACTTGCTCTATGAGCAATGAAGAGTGTGTTCAATGTTTGGTAAAATATGAATATTAATTTTGTTCTGACATTGCAAAATTATTGTAGCATCTGTCAGCCAAATTTATTTTCGAAAGCTTTTTACACTGATGCAGTGTTAAGTTTCGATTTGATGGTTTAAAGTCAACATGAGTAAAGTGTGTGACTACTCTATGGAGAATATACCGAATAATCCTATCTGCAGCTTGATGTGAGGCGAGCAACAACTAAGCTGGCAACTTCATCACGATCTGCCTGGACTGACGTCTCAACCATGAAGCAGACACAGCAAATGATGGCAGGTGGGTTGATTGTTAGATGTTTAGATGGTAAGGTTTTTAAGGTGTGATTTCTTTTTTGTGCAGAATGATGAAGTAAAGGGATAAAAGTGTCAGTGATGCATGCACAGGTTTTATGGACAATGCCAATCTCATTAAAATCAGATCTTTGTACTCGCTACCGCTAAACAAAGATCTGAGGACATCCCATTAGGGGTCAGAACGTCAGAATGACCTTTCATCCAACCAATCGAGAATCGAGAATATGTCAAAATATGTTTCGAAGCGTAGTCGCCAGTTTGAAACTAGTGTTGTAATGCTTGAGAAAGCTGCCTTCTGATTGGCTTATGTAGACTTCTTGTCAGTCATTTCATTGGTCGGTCAAAATTCGCGAAAGGTCGTTCTGACATGACTCGTAATGGGATGTCCTCTGATCTTTGTTTAGCGGTAGCGAGATATAAGATCTGATTTTAATGAGATTGGGACAATGCCTTCTGTGTTTAACAAAGCTATGTTTCTGTGTTGTAGATATGTCAGTTGGAGGAAGCTCACACAGGCGGCCAGGGACTGGACCCAGATTTCTCAACTCTCGCCGAGGAAATATGTCTGAGCGGGGAACAGTGGTTAGTATTACCTGGCACCTGTAGTTTGGAAACCTTGATTGTCCAGTATATGATATCTCCATTGCATCATGATAAATCCGCTAGCCTCGTTCATCACCACAGCTCTGTTGTGGTCCTGATCTGAATGACATGATGCTATAAATAGCGATCTAAATGAAATGAGGCACAAGAGCAAAGAAAACTGCAGCGTTTGGGATAAGAGAGATGGTGATGTCACTTCCGAAAAATAAGACCATGATTGTGAATAGGTTCTCGATATTAAACAGAATAGAATGGATGATAACTTGGATGGTCACATTTACGAGAACGCAAGAGGTTAGAAGAATCTTTTTCATTTCACACATTCAGAAACAAATGCAATTATTATTCTCAAAAAGTTAAAAATTGCCCAAAGGTATTACATACTTGAATGTTGCACCTGGTAAAACCATTGGTTGGAGTTTCAAGATACCAGTTCATGACAAATAATTCTTAAACTGCTTCAGACATTTGACCACTCGGGTGAGTACGGAGGCTCTGATACCCGGCGGTCTGAGAGACGTCTGCCCGACAACACCACTCAGGCCATGAGGCTGCAGAGAGAAACAGACTTCCTCAAGTAGGTGGTGATTTACCAGAGACAATTTACACATATGTTTGTTGATATTGGTTTGAACTATTCCGTCCTGTTCTATGAAAGGTAGCATCTTACTTTCTAGCGCTCTCAGTCACTGATAAAAGGAGTTTCATCATAGTGGTAATGTCAGCAAGTTGATTCACTTGTTGCTGTTTTGTCACTGAAATACTTCCAAAAGAAATGTTAAACCCAATTCATTAACTTTCTACCAACATGGAGATTTAACACTAAATTGATTTCAGTTTCTTGACAATCTCATTAAAATCAGGACTTCTCACTACCGCTAGACAAAGATTGGTGAACATCCTATTTCGGGTCTGAACAATCTTTCAGCTGACCAGTCAGAGATTTGCTTACCAGATCAGGAAATTAACAGTCAGACTGTGTTTTCTTATCATGAAACCTCATAAAGGTTAACACAGGGTGTTCTGAAAAGACTGGTTACTGGCTATACAGATGATTTCGGCAAAATCATTGTTTATCTCTGTCTTTAATGGGATAAAGATTTGAAACGGAAGAAACTTTCAATTTCAATCGCCTTTGGGAAGTACTGTCATACAATCATGTTACCTATTAAACCTTCCATTTTCTTTTTGATCAGTTTTCAATTTTTCAATCGAGAACCTTGTCGAAACATTTTTAAAGTGTAGTCTGGAATGGAAGTTGCCGGTGTGAAACTAGTGCCATAAAGCACAAAGATTGTTCTGTGAGATGTCCTCGGATCTTTGTGTTGTGGAAGCGAGCACCAAGATCTGATTTTAATTAAATTAATTTCTTGATCACCATTGTTATTAACAGAACAGCCTTACCTTATTAACAAGATGTGCTGGAGATGTGGGGTATGATCTGTGTCCCAGCTGATGCCTGTTGGCTTCACATCCTACTGCCTCTATTTCAGGTGTATCTACTGTTTTGCTGACCGTCCATCTGACCCCTATGCTAGATTCTGTACAACTTGTGGTCAGCCTGTCCCTCCCATCCCACAGACCCACAGAATAGCACCACCGGAGCCTGGACAGGTCAGACCGGTTTAACATTGCATGCTAGATGGCAGATTGTAACTGTGACAGTATGACGTTCCAGTATCAGAAGTGATATTCTTCTAAGTAATAGTGGATATATGAAATGATTTTGGGGAATGGAATGGAAAATCAAAATCATTTTCTTTCTTTTTTTTGGGGGGGGGGGGGGGGGGGGGGGGGGGGAAGGGGAGATAAAAACTGTTTTAAATTGTTGAAAAATATATCCAAAAAATCAGTATGACCATTACCTATAGATCTTTGAGATGTTACTCTGTAGCTTGTTCATACTGTGGGCAACTATTTCAGATGGGAATGTGTGTGTACTGCAAGTCCATGGTGCCCTTCAACACTGAGACGTGTGTGGTGTGTGAGGGTCCGATACCCGTCCAGAACCGACCCCAGGCCAGTGTCAAGCTGTCAGACCGTCTAATCTGCACTCTGTGTGGTACGGCCAACCCCAGCAACCTTGTGCTGTGTATAACATGTGACAGCAGGCTGCCGACCACAGCACAGCAGGTTAGTGTCTACATGTCTACATACATAGAGATTGTAACTTGAATCCTCTCTGGGTGTCCAGGACAGAAAAGGTCACCAGTACCTCTTGATTGTTAGAGTCAATTAAGATAATAATCGGGTGCCACCACGTGTCGATTGTGTGTCAGTCTATCCCAACAGTATGAATCGTTGCTCATGCTCGTACTATCATTCCCTAATTTGCCTGGCCAAGATTTTCATTGTATTGAATGTAGGGCTGGGACGAGTCCAAATTTAATACCCGGGTACCCACCACCCTATTACCTGACCCTACCCAGGTACCCACTGTAGATATCAAGAGAGGGGTACAAACTGTCCGATTTGGAAAAGTTTGACCGTAGCCCTGGCCAAATGTATTTGGATAACGTGTAAAATGATCTGGTCAGGCATTCACTGAAGTTTACTGCATGAAGTTTTATCTTTATTCAAACATATAAAAGTCCGAATGAAGAAATTGGAACATTAGTGACCTATAGTGTAATAGAGTTTTTGATTATTTTTTCATTAAGCAATATATCACGTGACTAACCACGGGTCAAAGTAGTCCTGTGGGTACCCGGGTTCAACTCAGTACCCACCCGACCCGAGTACCCGAGTGCCTGAGTTAACCGTCCCAGCTCTAATAAACTGCTGTGAAATTGCTAGAATATTGCAAACTGAGGTGCAAAACAAACTTCACTCCTTTGAATGTATCAGTCTTATTGATCCTTTCTGAACATAAGTCTGATGCACAATTTCTGACAAGTTTCATAAAATCTGTATGATACACACTCATTGTTTTTGCCTCTTTTTTTTCTTTTCCTTCTTTGATTGGTCAACTTTTCTATTTGTCAGACTGCCATCCTGAGTGGGAGATCTGCCCCTCCGATTGTCAACCCTGACAAGCGTCATGTGACATGTAACAAGTGTGGTCGTGTCAACAACGGAGATGCCCGCTTCTGTGACTGGTGTGGCACAAAGGTAGGGATAGAACAACACTAGTTACTTAGAAGTGTCTTGTGTCATAATTTAGTTATATGAAATGAAAAAAACGATTAATGATTGATTGATCACATTAATAACATGTGAAATATTATTAAAAATATTCTTGTACTGCTTTTATTCAGCCAAGCCAGCCAACAAGTGCCATGGTGTGCTCTCAGTGCCTGGCCAACAACCACCCTTACTCTACTTTCTGTGGGTCATGTGGTGTAAAAATGGATGCCCCCGTCAGGACAGAGTACAGGTAGGGGTTGTTTCAAAATCACAAAGTTCATTTATTGCATTTGTAAGTGTGACATTATTTCTGAGGTGAGGTGAAATGGGGTTTAACGTCGCGTCCAAGATTATTGCACTTATATAGCGACATGCATGCACGTGTATGTGTTGTTTGTGTGGCTGTTTGTACTAGTCCGGCCTGATGCTGATTTATAGTGCTAGCTCACTGAGATACCATGCTGCAGTTTAACATGAATACCCCATTCAGACACAGTATACTGACTCCGAACCGACCAGTCCTTGTTTTAGCCTCTTATTGCCGAGCGTCAGACAGTGTAACAACATTTTTTAACATCTTTTGGTATGCCGGGGCCGGGGATCGAACCCCAGACCTTCTGCTTTCCGGGCGAACGCTCTACCACTAGACCATGGAGGCGGTCGACATTATATCTGAAAGAAGGGTCTATAGATATATATGATATAACTCTAATATTGACCATTTGTCTGATTTTTATTTCAGAAAGAACCCTTCTGGCGGATCAGGTGATGTGAGTACTCCACCACCTATCTCAGACTTAATTTATATTTACATATACTACAGACAATATACAGAGCAGACTAGCTGAAGTCAGGGTTTCATACTGATCTAGATGTTCCTCTCTTGAATGGACCTATGTGGCAAACATCTATGGTCTATGCCAGTTTGAGCTTTCCTCCCATATAATGCTAACAAGCTAGGATATAACAGTGTTAAACCCGAGCCACTCACTCACTCACAATTCTCACTCATTCTCCTCAAGAGAGTGGTGGCACATGGTCCTGTGCACAGCTCACAGGTCACAAAATCAGGTGAAGTTCAGCAATGTCGGTTGCGGAATGTCCTTGGATGGGTCACCACATTTTGGCGGCTTTGCCCCTGAGAGTTTCTAGGGCTTCGGTCCTGCCCCACTGAAGCACATGTAACACATGTGGCATCTCCTTGGGCAAGTCACTTTGTTCAAAATGTGTGTCTGTTCACTCAGCAGTGAATGGGTACCCGGTAGGATGAGTTGTTGTTAACCTTCTAGCTCCTAACAGGCAGCTTGGGTTGTATACTACCCAGGGAGCTGAGAATGGTTCTTGAGTGCACATTGATCCGTTGACCGGGGTAATAATAGCACTTTGAGCTTGCCCCTGAGTGGTGTGGAAATATGTGCAATATAAATAGCCTATTATTCTTATTGTTGTTGTGGTTGTTATTGTTATAATAATGAAATCCTTCAATCAATGTAATAACATCTGCTGATTTATCTGCAATCAGTTCTGTTCCGTTATTGGACTTCACTATGAATGAGGGGCGGTCGGGTAGCCTAGTGGTTTAAGCGTTTGCTCGTCACACGGAAGACCCGTGTTTGATTCCCGACACGGGTAAAATGTTTCTGGTGTCCCCCGCCGTGATATTGCTGGAATATTGCTAAAAGGGGCGTAAAACCGTACTCACTCACTCTCACTATGAATGACATGTAAATTACAACTGATGTAATAAAAATTAATTTAGGAATGCAGATTGCAGCTAGTGTATTAACAGCATATCAACAGACATGTGATTGTAAGCATTGTGATGTATGAGATCCCCTTTGTTTCAATCAGTCCAAATGGCTGCCCGTGAGTTTCCCTGTGGCTAGCACCCCCAAGCCAATGACCACTGTGGCCTGTCAGACCGTGGGGCTGTTCTACCCATCCAAGCGTGGGATTGAGAAACAGAAGGAGATAGAGGAGGAGAAAGTTGCCCTGGAGAAGCAGATGAGAGACAGGCGGCCATTGCTCACTGCCATCAGCCCAGGCAGGGGTGAGTCATAGATTCCTGGGTGAAAGACCCGGTTCCAGTAACAGGCAACTAAATCAAAGCCAAAATGGTTTGGTGACCGCTTATTCCAATGGAATTTGGCTAAAAAGTGTGATGTAGCTGGAGCACTTTTTGGGAGGCATTTTGGGCACCTGAGACATCTCAGACAGTAATGTCATTTGGTCACATACAATGTTAGCTTAGTTCTCTGTGGTTCTAAGGCTTAGAAATTGATAGTGTTGTTTCTCAGGTACTGCCTGCATCATCATAAAGTGTGCCGCATGTTTTGTTTTGGTTTCCATTTCCCCCCCCCCCCCCCCCCCCCCTAAAAAAAATTCTTAAATATTCCGTGTTTCAAACACACAACCCTTGCAGTTAAATGCTACAATACTTAAGAACATCATGATTGTAAACAAAGTTTGAACTAGCTTGAACACCCCCACATCCCCCACCCCCCCAAACACTAATTTCAAAAGCCATTCTATTCTTTTTTAAAGTCTAATAGTGATTATTATTCAACTGCAGGACTCAGATTCTGCATCAGTTGTAGCCAAGGATGTTCCAGCAATGTTTACAAGACATGCTCCTGTCTGTGTTTCAGGTTACTGGCGTCGGCAGATTGAACACATCTGTATGCATCTGAAAGCCCATGCCCAGAATGATGCTGAGTTCCGTGCTCTCATTGGAGAACCCAAGATGGGCAAGGTACTCATAACAGAACTCTCATGATCTTATATCTGAAAGAAAGATTAGATTTGGTTTCAGGGCAAAGGCTTTGAAGTATTGCTGCTGGTAAGAAGCTGTGAAAGGGTATGACATGATTAAGAAATATGTTTCCAGGATGGCCTCAGAAGCAAGGATATATTAGTTTAGCCATGCATACTCTTATCACATTGAGGGGGCACGGGTGGCCCAGTCGTCTAAGGCGCCGTGATTCGCTTTGGAGTTGCGTCCCTTGGTCACGCCAGAAACCTATGATTGTGGGTTCGAATCCAGGTTCACCCCGATTATGTTTCTAGGTTTGTCAGCACCATACCCGTGCTTGTGGGTTTCACCGAAGTGGTAAACGTCTGAGACCTGCATCACTTCGGGCTTTCCTCCTACATTAAGCTGACACGCTGTGATATAACTGGAATACTGTTAAAAGCGGCTCTATACCCAACTCACTCACTCACTTATCACATTGATATGAAATTGATGTTGTCCATGAACCTTTTTCAGCAAATTCTTTTTTAAGTCTCTGAGTGTTATGCATAGTGTTTCTGTTGCAGAATTTGTCTCAATTAATTGCTTTTACACTATCTGCTGTACTTTGAGTGATTCTTCACTTGTATGGTGAGACATTGTTTTCAGCTCTGGTCTGTTTTTCTAGCTGATCACAAGTGCTATCCAAGAAGATGGCTATGAGTTGAGCCTGAACCTGACGTTTGCTCTGCGGGGAAACAAAGACCCATTTGTGGGGAAGAAGCTTGGGGTATCTCACCAGGGCTACCTCAGTATGCACACTGACAGGGACAGCATCAACAGCTACAACACAGAATCAGAAGGTAGGGACTACAACAGGACATTGTCCCAGGTGTATAAAGAGGACTTACTCTGCAATTGTAGCGGTTCGGTAGCCCACTGGTAAAAGCCTTTGCTCATTATGCCGAAGACCTGGATTTGAATCCCTACGTTCCCGTATGCCCCATGTTATAACTGGAATATTGCTATCACCAGCTTGAAAACACTCTCACTCTCTACTCTGCAGTAGTATTGAGAATTTCACAAAACATGATAATGGTTAAACTATTGATGTTGTGGTGCTTGGATGCTTCTAATTGGCAAGAAAGATTAATTGCAGCTTTTCTTGATGTTAGAAATGGCCCGTGTTTTAAACAGTTGTAAACAATATTTATTTACAACTGCTTAAAACACGGCTATATCTAACATCAAGAAAAGCTGCAATTAATGTTCCTTGCCAATTAGAAGCATCAAATATTGTTATGTAAAAATGTTGACAAATTTGTTTTTAAGTATAACTTTGTATTTATGATGCACTTGTATATATAACAGCTTGTTCTCGTCTCTGTATGGCTAAAAATGCTGATGCAATATTAAATTTCAACTCCCTCACTCTTGATGTTAGCTGTTAGTGTTTCTAATTTCTTCCTATAACATAAGGCAGTTAAGTATGAGTATCTGCTTCTCAGACAATTAATTTTGAAAATAATTGCTGCATGGTGAGAGCCTTATTCATATTTAATAGTATGAAAAAATATATACCCAGGTGTGAAAGACATGAACATGTTTCACTGATGATGGCAATGTTGGAGAACCAAGACTTATTTTGTGCAGCTTCAATATGAGTGTTTGTTTTACAGACAGTGGAGAAGACACAGCCAGAACAACCAACAACAAGAAGTCGACTAAGAAAGCAAAAGCTAAGAAGAAAAACACAGGACCTAAACTCTCAGTGAGTGGATGTCTTTGATGCCGTAGTCATAATTTTGGCATGAAATGTTTCCTGTTTGCTTGAATGATTAGAATGAAACAGCATGAAGGCTTAGATATTACTAATGTGCTAAGATGTTTACAAATGTAGTCAACCTTTGTGCATTTGCCCTTGTAGATGTAAGGTCATACTAGAACCCTATCACTGAAATTTGTTTGTTGAAAACGTCAATGTACAGGACGTATGGAGATTGGGATTCACAATATCATTGTGTTGGTATGAATTGTTTGTCATGCTATCGACCATTGGTTGGTCTTATTTAAAGTATGTCACGATATTGCTGACTGTTGCTGAAAACAATATTCAACCACTTGCTCTGTACAGTGACTTTTAGAAATTTTAACATAGGAATAAAAACATAACATTTCAAAGTGTGTCCCCATTTGGTAATGATTTCACCCTCGTTCTTGTCACCTTATCCTTCCATCCTGCATGTTGCATGTCTTCTCTTGCAGCCCATTAACTCCAAACTGATGAAGGAAATCGGAGCTAATGGTGATGGTTCCCCAAGTGAAGTGCAGCAGCTCTTGGATGAGGTATGATCCATGAGATAGAGACTGATCCTCAAGAAACATGATGTGATGCATGTTGAAATATCCTGCCTGCTTTTGATGACTTCAGTATTGCTGTGATAACATTTTCTCAAAGGAGATTTATTCTAAAATTTGTGATGACTTGTGTCTGGTAGTGCACAGCGAGTGTATAGTCAGTGTAAAGCCAGTGTTTAGTCAGTGTAAAGCCAGTGTATAGCCAATATATAGTCAGTGTATTGCCAGTGTATAATGACTAGTTACTACTCTTGTGTTGCTAGGGAGCAGACCCAAGCTGTGTTAACAAGAACGGCCTTCCCGTGCTCCATGTTGCATCCAAGAATCGTCACCTAGACTGTCTCCCCGTCCTGGTTGACGCAGGGGCTGATGTCAACAGGAAGGGACCTTCAACAATGTAAGGTTTCCCAGTCCAAGAAATATTCACTTCAGTGTTTCTCTTGTCAGAAAAAATATTGAAATGACATGGGATAAAGTCATTAGAGATTGTCGTGAATTTTTATCCATTGGTCACTGAGTTTTTTGTTAGGATAACTTTTTCAATTATATTTTATCATAGGTGATGGATTTTAGTAAAATCGTTAGATCCACAGTTTACTTTGAGATAGGTTTTCTCAGGGTGAAATGAAATCTCCATGGGTTTTTTAGGTTTGAGGTTGCAATACAATATGTATCCCGATACAATGAGTGTGAAACGATTCGTATCCCGATACAGTACTTTAATGTCAAAGTTGAATCACAACACTGAATTATTTGCTTTTAAATGCCAGTGGTTGTTAACAGTTTCTGTTATTCATCATGTGTTTTAACACTAAGATACCTTGTAATGTAATGTATCGTATGTATTGCATTACTGTGGCTGTAAATCGATGTTTTGCATCGTTGGCCTCATATCGGGATAAAATAATCACTGTATCATTACACCACTCATCTTTAATAGCTACGGTTCAAGGTTGGGTTATTTTGCTTATTATACCTTGAAGTGACATCCTACCACAATGCCTCTACCTGTTTCTTCTTTCTAACAGAAAAGGCAACACAGCTCTCCATGAATCTGTGAACCTTGGACCTTCTGGTCTCAAGGTCATCGATACACTGCTGGAGTAAGTAAATCTTTATATCCAATGAGGCTTCTGCTACTGCTATCACTGACATTTATTAAAGAATTATTTGTAGAGAAAATACTATTTCTTTTAAGTGGTTATTAACTTTTTAATTGCAGTTACAAAATCCTAAATGTACACAATATTTGTCATGAATCAAATAAAAAATGTTCTTGGTTAATATTTCTTTGATGTTATTTTCAGTCTTGGGGCAGACCAGAGCATGAAGAATGAGAGAGGAGAAACACCATATGATCTCGCAGCAAAAGCTGGCTATGACTCTATCATCACAAAGTTTGCCTCAGCCCTTGGCCAATCTCAGCTCCATAAGATGACCAAGCCGAGAACAAGTTAATCTAACTGGCTGGCCAGAGTTGCTGTAGACACTCCTACAGTGTTGCCTCGGTGTCCTGTACCTCATCTCTGAACCATTGAGCCTAGTTGTTGCCTTATTACCAAGTGCCAGTCGAAGGAAATGCCCATGAAAAACACCTGTACAGCATTTATCAAATTTAATTTTTATTTTTATCCATCACAGATTTGTTTTCTTTAGTGGCATTTTTTTTACAGTGAACACATCATGATTCTGATTCTTACAAAGTCTTGAGAAATTATTCCTCATGGACTTTGGCTGAAAATATAGACTTTAGATCTCAGGCAATGAAACTTTGTGTGAGTGGGCAGATAATTAGTGAACATGGTGAATGTGAAAAAGTGTTCCACCACTGGTCATAATATCCATTTGTTTTACTGAAGAAGTCTAGTATTTTAATAGTTCATGTATTTGCTGATGGGCAGTGTTTTTGCCTTTTAGCCTTTTATAGATTTTGTGGTAGATTTACATGGTACATAAATATATTTGTACATAATATGATGACAGCTATCACTTATTTTACCTATGAACAGCTATATAATCAAGCACTGAGACTTCACCTACCGGTACCAATGAAGCCACATTCAGATACAGAACTTGTGCTTCTGAGTCATGTATGTCATTCCATGACAATACTGCCATCTTAACTTAATTGTGTATAGCACTGAATATGTTGTATTCATTTTACTAGGCTTGACCATGTTGCTAGTATGGTTTAGAAACTCTTATTTATTTTATGTATATGTCAGAAAGGATGCATTGTTTAGTTTGAAACTTACTCACATGCTTCAGAAGTTAATTGTTATTGGTTCAAATGTAAAATGAGTGTTTAAAAATCCATGTGTAGTGTCCTAGTGTTGTGATACTCCGTCCCGTACTATGGCCTATCTGTGATATTTAGTATGTGAAAACTTATTGTTCCTGTCATAACTAGCCTTCAGACTCCAGTATATATTGCTTTTTATCTTAGAACTCTGTAGTTATTTAGCAGATAACATGAAATAAACTTTTTCTAGCATTTTGTTTCACAATGATCTTTTCAATGCTAGTGTATTCCCTTGAGGGACAGTAAGGTTTTAATCATCTGTTAGGGGCAGTCGGGTAGCCAAGTGGTTAAAGCGTTCGCTCGTCACGCCGAAGACCCGGGTTCGATTCCCGACATGGGTACAATGTGTGAAGCCCATTTCTGGTGTCCCCCGCCGTGATATTGCTAGAATATTGCTAAAAGCGGCGTAAAACCATACTCACTCACTCACTCACTAATCATCTGTTATATCTTGGTATTGCTGTTTGTTGACATGTAGGGGCTATGGTTTGGTTTGTTGGTTGTTAAACGCGGCACTCAGCAATATTCCAGCTATATGACAGCGGTCTGTAAATTATCGAGTCTGGACCAGACAATCCAGTGATTAATATCATGAGCATCGATCCACGCAATTGGGATCGATGACATGCATCAACCAAGTCAGCGAGCCTGACCACCCGATCCCGTAAGTCGCCTTTTACAAGCATAGTCGCCTTTTACGGCAAGTATGGGTTGCTGAAGACCTATTCTACCCCGGCAATAGGGGCTGTGGGGTAGCTTCGCTAACTGCATCGTGAAAATAAAGTCTGTCAGCATAGTACACCAATAATCCCTGTTCCTAATGGGTAAATTCTGTTTTGTGCTTTTGACAGGCTTGAACTAGTGATACAATGGCACTGTCACAGCTTACAGCTCAACTCACTTCAGATCAATGTTTTGTCCATTACCAACAGAAGTTCGGTTTTTATATCTATGGACATTTGTCAAAGTAAATATTAACACTATTAGAGTGAGTCAGTTGGGTTTAACGCCGCTTTTAACAGTATTCCAGTTATATCGCGGCGTGTCAGCTTAATGTGGGAGGAAAGCCCGAAGTGATGCAGGTTTCAGACGTTTACCACTTCGGTGAAACCCACGAGCACGGGTATGGTGCTGACAAACCTAGAAACATAATCGGGGCGAACCGGGATTCGAACCCACAATCATAGGTTTCTGGCGTGCCCAAGGGACGCAACCCTGCACAGGGAATTGCGGCGCCTTAGACGACTGGGCCACCCGTGACCCCCCTAACACTATTAGAACCTAGAAATGACAGTCCAATTGGGTTTTATTTGTTCCCTGACCAGTGGATCCAGTTGCATTTCAGTTTTCATTCTCAACTGCCTGGGGAGCATACAATACAAGCTGCCTTCCAACACTTGAGGATTTTTACATCCACCTCACATATCGGGTATCCATTCCCTGCTTGGTGAACAGAGGCACATTTGAACAAAGTCAATTGCCCAGGGTGACACCACACATGACCCTTGTGTTTTGGGGTGTTTGTATGTACAGATGTTGTAAGTTGTTGTTGTCTTCCTTAGGGTGATGGGGTAGCCTAGTGGTTAAAGCATATTGCTGGAATTATGCTAAAAGTGGTGTAAAACTCAACTCACTCAGTCTTGTCCAACATTTTCAACTCGATATCTGAAGATGGGCATAGCCCCAGGGTTATAATATCCCAGCAAAGATGTTTACCATAGTGTGAAGCCCATCCTCCCAGAAACTACTTGAAGTGTACAAAAAAGTGGCATAAAACCATCCTCAAGCCATGACACGATTAAACTTTGTTACTGACAGAAAAAAACAAATATTTTCTTTACTACATTTATTGCTCTTATAATACAGTGCTTAACTTAAATATTAACTAAAGCCTAGCCTCACCAAACACACCATATGCATAGAGTATACTTACACTGAAAGAAACATCACAATGCCGTCATCTACAAACTCAAAGCAGAGCTAACTGCTAACAACTCATCTTATTATTTATAATTCATGGACATATTTTTACCAGCATTAAACTAAAATACAACGTTCAAGATACAGAAAAGGCTAAAAGAAACAAATATGTACATGTCGCTGAGCACTTCTAATGCTAGGTGCAGTTTTCATACAGCTTCTTGTATTATTACTGCTAGCACTGGTGCAATACATCCACTCAACATAATCTGGTTAGTAACTCATGTTAGTAATAGGCCAAGTCAGAGATGTTTAAGTTCATGTTACCAGTCAAACGAAAGTAACAAAAATCACACTTCAGCTTAGCCTACTTGTAACATTGTTATTAATATCAATATGAACAATGAGGGGTGCAAAAATAGATCAATGAACATGTTGAATGTTGATCTAGATGTTACTTTCTTACATTCATTCTGATCGTGATGGTCATAAAGAAATCACCAATAAAACCTTTAATTTGACAGAGAAAAGATCATACATACAAATAAAACTTAAGGAAATCAACAATAGCTGTATCTCTTGAGTGCATAGTACCAGGTAGTTGGTTATAACTAAGAAAACATGTCAACAAAACATGGATACTGGAATTCATGACTAGTGACCTAACTACATTCTGACTTTGGCTGCAACAACTACCGGCAACGAAATTTGATTGAAATAGTCAACGACAGGACACGTTGGCAATAAAATGTGTACATTTCTGAATGCACTGGGGAAAATTTCTGTTGCAATTGTACCAAAAAAGTACACACTCTATGAAGAATGTTTCTGTACTTATTCTACATTTCATACTCCGTGAAATTGTCATTGGGATACATTTTGTTATTTGTATGCCTTTAAAAAGTTGTCCTGTGGATATTTCAAGCAAAAAATAGTAATCTTGAAATATTTTACTTCCGATCTTATGTATTGGTGTTGTCGACTAGCTATCTACTTGTTCCTTCAGACCTCATTTTAACATACGAGTGAACATAGCAGTCCCCTTTCTAGTGAAACAAGCCCTTTAGTCATATATGGAGAGTTATGAGAACTCTGTTAGGTGTTAAGTGCGCTGATGTCTTCTGGCAGTGTTTGCCCATCTTTATGAAACAAGTATACCACACATGAACTTAAACACAAATTCAGAATACACAATATGTACAATCTCCATGCAACTCCATGATCATACCTAGAAACCTGTATTCCACTAGACTCCTGAAGTGACGTTTTATACAATGAGCAATGGCAATGAAGGAATGACATGACAATACGTTGAACATCCTTCTTAAGACTGTTACATAACTTTATCCAGTCCCAACATGACTTGGCTTCTATTTGGACATCCTTGTACAAAAATAATTCAGATGGACAGACATCTCATCTAGTTCAAAAATCAATTGTTCTGACAAAGGAATTATCTACCTGACTGGTTGTATTTACTTCAATTGTTTTATGTCCTAGTTATCACAATTTAAACTTGTTTCTACTCCAAATCGAAATGTGGATGTCAGTGTCCAAATGAAAACAGACAAGGCAGGTAACTCCAACCACTCTGCCACTGAACTTACCAATATGTTCAACAAACATACCCAAAATAGATATTAAAGCTTGAAAATGGATTAAAATAGTTGGGCTAATATCAACTCATTGTCATTTAATACTGACACTTCATAATAACGTACCCTGTCAAAAATGTCCATGCATGTCAAATATTCACACAAAATTGAGGAATCATCAAGCTACAGGAAAAGATTTTCAGTCTGATATTGATCCATGTAACTGCTTCTGGTTTTTGGTACTAGTTTTGCTTTTCACAATTCTTGCACTGAAAAAGTATTCAGTTAAAATTAGGTGGCAGAGTGTTGGACAAGAGCTGGCCTCTGATGGTTATAAGGAAGTGAGTTTATTCAATAAGCTTCTTTGCCTTGAAGTATCTGCGGAGGTAGAGCACCTGCCATGTCGCCAGACCCAGGAGGCAGCACATGGAGAAAATGCTGAAGTACATCACACGCGAGTGGGTTGATTCTGGAAAGAGATATAATTAGAAATCATTTGCAAAATCTAACTTGACAACACAACCTTCTACATATGTCTAAATGTCCTAAAGATATTCTTAATCTTGGAAATGGTTTGGTAGAATGTCTATCAATACTTGCTAATAAACGTCCTAATGACATGAATTTTGTCTCAAGCAAAATTCACTGTAAAGGCACTCAATCATTCAGGTTGTTGTTTAACAATGCACTCGACAATATTCCGGCTTTTGGATAGCGGTCTGTAAATAATCAAGACTATCCTCTGATTGAAATCATGAGCATCGTCTACGCAATTGGGATGCGATGACATGCATCACCCAAGTCAGCGGTCCAGTCAGTCGCCTCTTACGACAAGCATAGTCGCCTTTTACGGTAACCAAGGGTTGCTGAAGACCTATTCTAACCCAGGGTTTCACGGGTGTGTGCCTTAGGAACGCCACAATGAACATCAATTTGCCGTGCCAGAGACGACTGGGCCACCTATGGGATTCCAAACCGAGTGCCCTTGGCAGGCAAATTGGAGAAAAAATAACTTGGGCAAAATTGGCGTATCTTTAAAGTTTGAACATTTTTTGCATTTGCTGGTACATTACAGCTATCATGACAAATCATGAAACAGTTGTACCAGGTTCACAACTATGGTCAACCAAAGGATGGTAGAATAAAGCACTATCCATGCTTCACACTAATCTGATCCCAATGTAGACCTTTACAATGAGGAATGGGTACAACATTATCTGGAACCTATCAAAGATACAAACGACCAGCGAAAACTTCTCTGGCATCTTCATTATAATTTTCTTCTTTAACAGTACTAGGATATAATGCTGCTTGAATGACAACATGTCCTACCATTAGTGTCCCTCATTTCCTCCTCCCTTGCCCTCATGTAGGCGAAGTCATCAACAATTGATTTGGACAAATCTTCCAATCGACGCAGCTCAACCTCAAGGGGCTTCAATTTCTCGGCTTTGGCAAGCTGAACACAATAGATGATGGGGATTCAAACAGCAGTATGAGATTCAGCAAACAATTCATTAATCATGTTACTTTCTGTAAAAGTAACTATCAGCATTATCAGTCATCATGGTCATGTTACATCTAAAAGAAACAAGACAACTTTCTTATAAAAAAATAGTTGGTTGGTTTGTTGTTTTACGCCGCACTCAGCAATATTCCAGCTATATGATGGCAGTCTGTAAATAATCGAGTCTGGACCAGACAATCCAGTGGTTTATATCATGAGCATCGATCCACGCAATTGGGATCGATGACATGTATCAACCAAGTCAGCGAGCCTGACCACCTGGAACATCATACCATAAACTTTCCATTGAAACCAGAAGATGGAGCAATACTCACAGAGAAGATCGCTTATGTTTGTTTGTTTGTTGTTTAACGCGGCACTCAGCAATATTCCAGCTATATGCCGGCGGTCTGTAAATAATCGAGTCTGGACCCGACAATCCAGTGATTGACGCATTGGGATACGATGACAAGCTTCAACCGAGTCAGCAAGCCTGACCACCCGATCCCGTTAGTCGCCTTTTGCGACAAGCCGAGTCGCCTTTTACGGCAAGCATGGGTTGCTGAAGACCTATTCTACCCCGGACCTTCAAGGGTCTAAAAAAATAGTACTGACCAGAGCAACAAGCAACGTTACATTAACCTAAAACTCGCGACAAAATGTTTCTTGTTTTCCTCCACTCCCAGATACTGTAACAAGGTATCATGTAAATCAAACATATGTATTTTTGCAATTATATTTCTAATTTATTCACCAGGTTCACGTGATGGTTCTCAAAAGAAAAGTCATTGAAAAAAAAAGACCTTTGGTTCGAGTCAAAACCTCTCAGCCTAGCTTTCATGAGTTTTCATGAAACTAGTATCTTTTCCCACACTACAAAGACAAAATAGTTTCATGAAACTAGTATATTTTCCTAAAAATGTTATAGACATGTGATAGAGGTTTAACAGCAATAATACTAGTGTTACTCTGTGGCAGTTGGCGCCTCATGAAAACTCACCTCTTCATAACTCTTTGCTTCCACACCATGCTTCATGTCTAGAGAGATTTCTCTGTCTCCTCCTTGGCCGCCTGAACAACAAAGATTTCACAATGTGTAATATAGTTTATTAGAAAGTTGACAAAAATGAAGTTAACTGAATAGTGATTAATTAGGAATGAGAAATGAAAAAAATAAGTCTTTGTATCTTTCATGTAAACATGGTAAACAACATTTAATAAGCATAAGGTAGCAAAACTTGTAAATGACTGTTTACTATACTTTGTAACACAAACAGACAAGACTAGGAACATGAGGAAGGCCTTGAACATGTTGAAACATCTGTCATTTCTTTTCACACCTGTTCCACTAAAAATTACAATGAATATTATATTAACTACGATAATGAACAAAAGTAATTGGGAAATAACCGATTACAGAATTCATGATGGATTCCTTGGAATCTAAAACCAATCAATAATTGATGTTGAAGTGGAATACTCCTCTCAACCTGATTCATTTAGTTTAATGCGCAAATCATGGCTTATGTGTAATTCAAACAACAACACTTACCTCCAACCATTTTTGTATCAAAGCACACTTCAAACATATCATACTCTTCTGTTGTAAATGCAAATCTGCCCTTCTTAGCATCTTCTTTGGAGTACAAAATATGGCTCTTTGAATCTGTCACCTGGAAGAAAAACAACATATTGGTACTCCATGGTATTTTCATAACTCAAACATTAACATATGAACATTGGCGCATTTTGTTTTTTTTGTAAATTACAATCCATTGACATGATTTAAGATTATGATAAAAGACTTACTTTGATACACTCCGAGTCTTACATATTTCTTACCATGCTTACATCGATACAAGAAAACAATCATTTGGACATTATTTCAGTCGAGAAACACACCTAGTTAACGCGATATAATTACCCAAAATCTGCACAGATTAATAATTAACAATTACCAAAAATTGTGACAAACCCTATAGTTTAACCCTAAATCCCTGAGTGCGGCTTTGTAACAACAAACAAATTCAACCAGTAATCGCCCGGAAGACAGGGTGACTGGGTTAACGGGGCCTGATCAAAGGAGGATTCATTGCATAGGAATCTAAGCAATGTAAAAACTGGCATTGAAGGTAAGGTGAAATGGGGTTAAACGTCGCGTCCCAGATTATTGCACTTATATAGCAATGTGCATGCACGTGTGTATGTGGCTGCTTGTACTAGTCCATACTAATGCTGATATTATAGTGCTAACCCACTGAGATACCATGCCGCAGTTTAACATGAATACACCACTCAGACAAAGTCATCAGTATACTGACTACAAGCTGACCAGTCCCTGTTTGAGGCCCATGGCAATTGCCAGGCTGCGTAACAACAAGTACCATCTTTTAACGTCTTTTGTGAGGACGCAGCAAAGGATCACTCCTTCCACTCATCAGGCAGGCGCTCTACCACTAGACCATGGCAGCGGTCTTACCAACATCCATTATTAATATTATCTAATTGGGAAGGAAACCGTACTATCACACAATCTATACCACCTGTTACCATTTGGATCAAGTTCACATGCTTTTCACTTTCATTATGTTATTGTTAATGTAGACATGATTTTAAAGCAAAGAATTATGAGTGAAAATGTAAAATCAACATTATTTTCAGATATCTACTTTTATGTTCTGATTTTAATATGTCACGTTACAATTTATAAGTTAAGCTGAAATTGCAGGAAATAGAACACCCTATGAATATTATTGCCATACAATCTACCATAAGCATGATAGCAAAGAGGTGTCACATTATTTGTTTAATACCATGTTTAATACCAATCTGTAATCATGTAAAAGAACATACAAACCTTAATTGAAATATATGATAAAGTACTCGTACAGGAATGTAAAACTTAGTACACTACTTTCAATCAAAGATTCACTCGCACTTAATTATTCACTGTTGAAATTATTTGACAAATATTTGACAAATATGTGTCAAATGTGAAATCTGTTGAATTCAAATGAATACGGCCCAGCCAATTCCAGTGATCACTAACATGATAAACGGTGAACATTCAGTATACAGTATATGTCAAAGAACCGAAGAAAAAACTGAAATCGTTTGTACACGTCATATGTAACTAAACGATAGATCGCTATGTTTGTTGCTGCTAGTTGGAAAGTAATTCTGCCATGTGACAGATGTGCACTTGTTCAGCAGATTTGTAGCATTTTCCCGTTCACTGCATCATACGGAATGCACAGATAAAATCGTACTTGTTATTTCCGTTATTATGTAAAAGTTACCGCAGTAAAGTGCAATACTTACCATAAGGTTTGCTTTCTGTCCTGGCGCGTCCGACACTTCGTAGTCACCGGTAACCAGAACATCTTTATGAATTTCCTCTCGAAGGCACTTCTTTTGATTGGGTGATAAATGGAATCTTATGGCATCTATTGTGACTAAACATAACGTACATAAGACAATAAATATGTTAGTGAGGTCCATGGTGAAGCAAACTGTCCCGTTTGGCTCTTAACAACCTTATAACAGACTGTAATTCAAGCACCTGTTTGCGTTGCACGTTTGCTAACGTGGCAATCGGTTATTTCCGTGTTACTCCGGTAACTTCCGTAGTAGTCCCGCAGTATATCAAATTCAGAATACTAACGAATTAATTTTCATATTTCTATTTATACGTGTTACTGCATGGCGTACGGGTACAATTGGATCTAACATTCATGCAAAGGTTTTGATAATATAAAAGGCTCGAGGTGAATAAGAATTTGTGAAGGTGAAGGTCGTCGTCATCGTTGTTGGCTAACGTTAGCAGGTGCGTGTAGCATGTGTTGTGGAGCTTTCATTTAATATACACGTTGGACGTAAAGCACAAGCACTTTATCCGTACATATCCATTTTATGAAAAATATATATAACTAATATTGATTGTAAATTTAATAGTAAATTCATACTAATGTCAGTACAGGTAGATCTACTGTCACTATCTGAAAACTAAAAGTAATGGTTTAGGCCAACTGATTTAAACGTTGTGTACTCCGTCTCTTTTTCAGATACAAGGTAGTAAATATGTGTCACTGACATCACCTAAAATGGGGAAAGGATCAAAGTAAGTCTGTTTTATGACCATGTACATGCTAATATATTCACAGTCTGCAACTTTAGTCTGAAGCCCATGTAAAATCACTTTGGTACAACAGCACGTAAGTTTAGAGGGACTGTGCTCTATGCTCTGAAAGCCCCTTTTTCAGTTTAGGTCTCAAATGCAAGTAGAACCAGAGGTTTTGGCACACCTTATTGCACTGATTGTAACTGGTTGTACAACTAGTATGATGAGCTGGCCTCAGCTGGGAGATATGCACACTAGCCTTTTCCGGTAATAACAGTTTGTTTAGTAATGTCCCGTTGGCCGGCCTCACTGTGTACTTCCTCTCTCTCTATTGTCCAATGGACAATTGTGCAAACACAACACCCGTGTCTTGGACTGTACAGACTGTTTCCCATGTCCTTAATATGTCCTTTATTAGAATATTCCAAAATATGTTATATGTGACATAATTACATGTTTTTAAGAATCTAGTGGGTGTGCAAATATTATTGTAGGTAAATAGTTGTTTATTCAAATATCGCTTCATGTAAATAGTTGTTTCTGTAAAGCTTTGATCTCACAGTATGTACCTGTATTGCAGGATAATCATGGTGCTCCTGGAGAGTATGGCAGGCACAGGCCACAAGCTTATACGTACACGTCCAAAGTTGGCTGAGAAACTAGAACAAATTGGCTTTGACCCACATGGTAAGCATAGCCCACACTATGAAGCCTTTTCCTGTGTAATTGCTGTCGCCAAAAAGAACTGAAAGGTGTGGATACAGGGGGATTGAGTTTCACGGTCATGGTTCATTGCAGTACTTTGTGCCACAATACGATAATTGAATCCTGAAGTAATGTACATGTACAAAATGATGAATGCATGATTATGAAGAAAGAGAAGTTATTTCTTACAACATACATAAGTTGAATAAATTGTACAAAATATTTTCTTGATTTGTTAACATCATTAAGTAATGTGGTAAGTTGCTTCAGAGTTACATTTCTTTTCATTTCAGTTCGAAAACTTGTTCTTTATAAGGAGAAGAAGAAAATACGTTCAATATGAGGGTGAAGTCGAGCCAGATGTCATCATGATCATGTGTGCCTGTGTTGATTTGGGAGTCCTTCGTCCTTGTTCATAGGATAGTAGTTTTGTTGCATCAAACAGCAAGAGGCAACTCATTGACTGTTCACAGAAAGGAACAATGGAACTCTGTTGTGAAGTTTAACTACCATATATCATGTATTGTTCTCAGAATAAATATGTATTATTTCACTGCTTTACTTGTGTTTCTTTACTGCACAATTTGCTGTTCAGAGTTGCGTCCCTTGGACATGCCAGAAACCTCTGATTGTGGGTTCGAATCCTTAGTCACCCCAATTATGTTTCTAGGTTTGTCAGCACAATACCCATGCTCGTAGGTTTCAAAAATTGATAAACCTCTGAGACATGTATCACTTCAGTCTTTCCTCCCACATTAATCTGACATGCCAAGATATGACTGGAGTTCTGCACAAAGCAGTGTTAAGCTCCTTTACTGAAAAGAGTGAGCATGTTTTGTTTAGGCTGTTTGAATAGTATTTTGGTCATATTATGGCATGTCCACTTTAAATAATGTGCAAGGCAATCTCATAAAAATGAGATCTTGGTGTTCGCTAGTGCTACACACAGTGGTAGAGAGCTCTAAGGTCTGATTTTAATAAGATTGTGTAGGAGGAGAGGGCAAAGTGATGCAGGTCTTAGACATGAAACTCTTTGGTGAAACCTTTGAGCAAGAGTATGGTGCTGGCAAACCTAGGATCTTTGATAGCTAAGACACCCATGCTCACAGATGCTACGATTTGCCATTCATTTATGGTGAATCACATAATAAGTCAAAATCTGTTTTAATGTTTATGAAAGAATGTGGATCTATCCCATAATCTCTTGTTTAAGATACTGATAATTCTAATAGAAGACATCTATATAGATTGTTTGTGTTATGGACAGGAACCGAAACTTCTCTTTAGGAAGTGACCTGGTGATTGGTGACAGGTACCTATTGGGTCTACTAGATTAGGATGTGCTGGTGACTGTGTGTGGCCTGGCTGATTGTGTGTCATGACCCGAAAGCAGGGCTTCTTGCTCATACAATCAACCCCTTGGTAGGCCAAGGTACATTTTACAGGTGAGGTGAAATGGGGTTTAACGTGGTGTCCAAGATTATTGCACTTATACGGTTACGTGTGTGTGTGTGTGCGTGCGTGCGTGCGTGCGTGCGTGCGCGCTTGTACTTGCAGTTTTATATGAATACCCCAGCCAGACAAAGTGTACTGACTCAGGCCGACCAGACCTTGTTTTTGCCCCTTAATGCTGAGTGCCAGACAGGATAATTTTGGAATGAGGCAGCTGGGATCGATCCCCGGGCGGAAGCTCTACCACCAGGCCATGAAGGCGGTCTACATTTTGTACATGACACTGGTATAGCTCTAACATTGCTGCCTGGCATAAAAATAACATTAACCAAGTGCTTGCTCAGTGATATGTTAAAATCAAAATAAATTTAGCTAACATTGACATTGTGAAAGTGAGCTTATACCATGAGTCTTGGTCTAGGAGCGGTCGGGTATCCTAGTGATTAAAGCGTTCATTCGTCACCCGGAGACCTGGGTTCGATCCCGACATGGGTACAATGTTTGAAGCCCATTAATTGTGTCCCCAACCAGGATATTGCTGGAATATTGCTAAAAGCAGCGTAAAACCATACCCACTCACTCCATCCATGGATATGTTAGCACTGAACTACTGCACGTGTCCAAACAGCTGGCCCTATCACCTGACTACTTAGGAGATGAACATTGTGTTTTCCAAAGTTCAAAGTGTCCACCACCACAGCACAATAATACAGCCTTTAAGTCTACTCTTCTTCTGGACATTTTCATTTCAAATGTTTGGAGGATGTTCATTATGTACTTCTTCACAATGAAGTGGCACTTTTTATATTTTGTAGAAATCAAAATGTCAATCATGAAATGGGGTGTGTAAAATCAGTTAAGTATTCAATTTGAACTTCCTTATGCTTTCCTGTACAAGTATGAGTAACAGCTCACCCTCTCTTGCATAAGAAACGATATGAGTCACCTTGTAGCTTACCTGCACCTAGTTGCCATCCTTTCACAGACATTAACTGGTTCGCCTTGATGAAGACTTGAAACTCCCAGTGACCAAGGCCACGCTTTAAGCCCAATCTTTCAATAAGATATGCTTACAATAAGATTATCTGTTATTAACCCCACTATATAATCGTTGTGGGTCATATATGCTATGATATATATAATATATATAAATAATGGATTGTCTTGAACCTGAAAATAAATGGCTTTAGAAAAATCATGAATGCTATTTCAAGTATGGTCATAATAAATATAAAACTTTTGGGTTTTTTTATGGAACATACAATGTTTGAGTGTCATTTGTGTTTCTGTAGTATCTGCGAAGAAGTCGTTGTCATTTGATGGTGGACGAAGGAGGCATGGGTAAATGCCCTAGGTGATTGCATACCACACCATACTGTTAAAATCTTCTGCTGTTTGGGTTGATTAATTAACCTGTGGGAATTGTTGGTTTGAATAAGCACTAGGAATCTATATGCATGTAGGACGACTAAAATCGGATCATGTGTCACACTCGGTGACTTTGTTGATTGCATGTCATCGTATCCTGTCTGTGTGGGATGTTGCTCATAATATCAACCACTTGTATACTAGTCCATAATCGATAATTTACAGGCCGTCGTCATATACCTGACTATTGCTGAGGGCAGCAGTGAAAAACATTCAAACATTGATTTAATGTTTATTTTGTCTTTTACAATGCTATGTACTAATCTTACATTCCATCCATAGTACAAGTATAAACCAGAAATCAGTAAATCTTACAGGGTGTAACTAAAATGGTTCTCTGTATCAGTGGTTCAGATGGTCTTAATTTTCTGTAAGCACTCCATTCATCAGATGATAGCAGGCTGCTATGTTCGGTGAACCACGATTGGTTAAGATGCACTGTATTTACAAGGCCTGGTACAATATATACACAATGGATGATACATTTACATCTTTGGACAAATATTGTTTTAAAAAAGAAGAAGCTACATCGCAATAGACTTTCACTATATATAACTGTTGATATACAGAGGATATTGTATGAGTCTTCATGTCATACCATGTTCACGAGACGAGTGTCGTAAACATAGTATGGCATGAACACTCAAACAATGTTCTATTTCTTACCGCAGAAGATGATGTCACAACAAGATTTGAATGACGCCAACAATGCTGTCCGGATGACGGAAACAATACACTGTTCTCTTGTGACCGGAAGGAACATGATTTTGATAGAGGATATTTCATGTGTCGAGTGAAATATCAGGTTTCTTTCATCGAATGACGAGGGGGGGGGGGGAGGTGCTATTTTCAAGAGTGGCGTAGACACATGTAATATCCTATATATTATATATTCATATATATTTTTTGTGTAGTTGTCTACCAGAAAATTAATTATTTCATTACAAATGTAAAACCTTGAAACGTAAATTCTCCCTACCTAACACACAGGGACCGTTTACCACCCCTTGTATTTGCGACATAAAAAGTAGTTTCGTGTTTGCAAAACCTTAAGCCAAATAAACTAAAGTATCAAAAAATATTTAGGGTCACGAAAATTCTTCATCATACATTTAGATATGTTTATATACAAAATCAGCTTTAACAAAAAATATTCTTGAAAACAAGGAGACCACTGTTGGAAGCGAACGAATACAGGCTGGTCCAGTAACAAAAATATCACTTTTCTCAACTTTGGAAAACTCAGTTTTTCACACTGAAGTATATAAAACATTATACAAAGTGGCTTCCATTTCTGTAACATTTGCAATGTTAGCTTTGTTTAACCACCGTCGACAGTGGCATTTCTTATCAACTGAGTACACGTATTAACATTTTGCTCTGCTATATACAGTTTAGGAAGTTTTTGAAGGCCTGAGTCACTTGGTCAACACGTAACCCCGTATTACAATTGCCTGTGGTGCAATGGCAAGTAGTGCAGAAAATTCGATAAGCTTGTATGTGGCAACGTTTTCAGTCCCACTTCTCCAAATATAATGTACAAAGAATCAAATACGAACGAAATATCGTTAACAGCAAGAACATAACAAATGCTCCTAACCTTAACACAATGTGACATTTCTCACAACCACAAGCTCGTCAGCCTGATCAATAAAGGTTTGTTGTCTCCCGCCCGCCAGTACGTAGCAGTCACATTGCTTATAACGAGTAACAAGGCTAATAAACTATCAAGCTGATATGTCACTAAATTCATTAATCATCAAATGCAGATTTATTTCTAAAGATCACCTTTAGCTAATTCAATTACTCATTACCTATGAAAAGTCACTCTTTGTGTTGGACACTCCGGAATCCTTTTAGGGCCATTTGTTTTTGTTGTTGAAATTTCAAGTTATAATCTTCAAAATTCAACTTATAATCTTAAAATTTCCGATCATTATCTTGAAATTTCAAATTAGTATGTATCTTGAAATTTCAAATTAGTATCTTGATATTTCAAGAAATAAAAATGGCCCTAAAAGGCTTCCGTAGGACACAGAATGTCCGATAGGAATTAAATGCTCAGTGATTATTCACACATTTCGTATGACGAGACTGCTAAAGGACATGGCCGGGTGGCCTCGCCTCTTTTATATATTGAATACCTTGTACTACTGACTATAACGTTCTTTCCTTATTAGTCCACCGTAATTATCAAACGTTAGTTATGACATAACTTGTACTGTTGAACAGGATTGTTTGCACGGTGCTATATGCATACATGGGGTCGGTGTTAGGCTCTCTGTACAAAGTGACATCAAGTCAGTAGCTTGCCGTATACACAAGTTTGCTTTATACAAACGGGAAAATCGTTATATACAACCCAGCTAGGCTAAGTTACCTTTCGTCTCTGGACCAAGGCTTATATGGCCAAGGTCACCTGACACGGATTAGGGAGTGAGTTATGTTTAACGCCGCTTTTAACAGTATTCCAGTTATATCACGGCGTGTAAGCTAAATGTGGGAGGGAGGCCCAAAGTGATGCAGGTCTCTGACGTTTACCACTTCGATGAAACCCACAAGCAGGGGTATGGTGCTGACAAACCTCGAAACATAATCGGGTCGACCCGGGATTCGAACCCACAATCATAGGTTTCTGGCCTGACCAAGGGACGCAACTCTGCACAGCGAATTGCGGCGCCTTAGACGACTGGGCCACACCTACTCACTCATTTAAAGGTTGACAGGACGGAAAGTGTTACTGAAGATAGGGAAGCGGTATATGGAAGGAAACCTGTCTTTAAATGAATGAATGTTTATTTATGCTGAAGTTTCAGTAACAATTTCTGCCTTTTTCGATTTCTAGTTATAAAGAGATACATCTTAAAGACGCCAATATAGATTTTTACAACAAAATGTTACTGTCCTGCACTAATCTTGACACGGTCCCAAAACATGCATCTGTCTTCCTCTTGCTCAGGCCACGTGATGTAGGTTGTCGTCTGCAGAAGTGCATACAGTGATGACGTCATGTTCCGGGCGTGTATCTCCTCCAGCAGCACCACCACGAGGTACCCCTCATCCTGCTCCAGAGAACGTTTCTGAACCAGAGTCAGCTCAAACTGACACCATGGACTCTGACTGAAGCTGTTTGATAACACCATGACGACTTTCCTGCTGGCTTGTAGACTATCAATTATATTGTCCACAATGTAGTGACCAGGGGTGAAATCTCTCTCGTGAAGACATAGCTTCAAACCATGCCTCTCTTCAAGATTCATCATCAGGTTATTTCTGACCCAGAGTGAGTCTTCATCGCAATACAGAACAAATGCGTCAAAGGTGTAGGCCATGCGTTCTCTCGCAGGCTGAAGTCGTTTCTTGTACCTGAGCATATAGATGTAGTAACGTACGTGCCAGCGCCACCTATAGGCCAGGGATACAACAATCATTAGTAATATTGTTGCACCTGTAACACTAGGTATGATCGCCATGTCAGTTAACTGGCGAGGGCAGAAGGTATCAAGCTTCATGACATCTTTTAGAGGTACCCTGACCAGACTTGGAGGACTGGCACAGAGATACTCTTTAGGGTATCCAACAAACTTTTTAGGCGCACTTTTAAGCCATTTGATAAACCACCGTAATTCACAGGAGCAATCAAAATTATTTTTTCCGAAATTAACCGATTCTAGCTGTGTTTTCAGTTTGTCAGGAAAAGCATCAGGATCTGGAATTGAAAACTTATTGGCACTCACATCGAGGTGCTTCAACCAGTTGAGGTTTTCAAAATCACTTTTATGGACATTCGCTAACCGGTTTCCAGAAAGATAAAGAAAACTGATATTTCTCATCATCTCGGACACAACTTTTGGAACTGTGAAGAGGCCACAATCATTCATCCTGAGAATTTTGAGAGTTGTTAGATGGCCTAGCAATCTGTCCATATAATCATCAGTTACGTCATACATCAAGTTGTTTGAAACCTCTAGAACCTCCAGATTGCTACAACCGTCAAATGCACCACTTTCAACGTTTTTGACAAATTCAAGATGGCATCCTCGTAGGTTTATGTTCTTCAAAACTGAGTTGTTGAATGCAGAATTAAAGATCCTGACAGAAGATTGCCCTAACGAGGTTTCTGTCATATCATCGGTAAACGGATTACAGGATAAAACATTTTGAAAGAAGATATGACTCAGTTTAGGTAGCTCTGCAAATGTATTGCCTTCGAGTTTGTCAATGTTATTAGCGGACATTGATATGTAATTCAACCCAGTTAAACAACTGAAATCAACTCCCACAAGAGATGAGATAAAGTTGTGATCCAGAACGATTCGGTTAAGTCTGTGCATTGAAACCATCTCTTCATTGCACATATTGGGGAAGTCGTGCAGACGGTTCCAAGCCAAATTAAACATCTTTGTGTATGTATTATTTGGAAGCTTTATACGTTGAATTTTGTTCCGTCTAGCAGACAGAAACATCAGATGGCGTATATTCGATACATCGAGAAAATCTATCTTGTTTTGGTCCAGTAGAATAGCGTGAGTTACCTTTCCCGACAGTTCTTCAAATAAACGTCTAGTGTCGCGTATGTCCATTCCTTCCAGGATCAAACGTAGTGTCTTTTTCCCACGTATGCTTCCAAAGGATTTACCTAAGCTTGTCTGGTTTATTTTGTTCCAACTCAGATCAAGAAACCATAGATTGGGCATTACTGTGAATGCATCATCCGGCAGAGATGTAATGTTGTTGTCACTGAGGAACAACCCTTCCACTTGTGTGACATTAGCAAACGTGTTTCTTGTAACATTGACAAGTTTGTTTCTCTCGAAGAAAAAGTATGTAATTGACGTACCCAGGTTTGGTATATATGTCAGCTTTCTTCCATGGCCTTCACACTTTGCACATTCGGCCTTGCAGTTGCAGAGATCGAAATAACAGGGTTCATAGATGTAACCTTTGCACGGAGTGCCAATCACATCGTTGTACAGGCCAGCTTGGTTGTCGCTCCACACACCTACCAGAAACCAGAAAAATAAGAACATCTCCAGGTCTTGTATAACCTTCATGATGAAAGATTTACCTCTTTGGAAAGCAACATGAACCTCTCTGAGGGAAGTTGAAACGTTTATATCACATGCCCTTTACTGGTAGTGCGTCCGACTCCTTCCTTATTTCAGTAAATAAACGTGACATTTAGTCAACACTTTTGTTTATCGAAACCTTATTAATGCACAAACACTGAACTGACTTCGACCAGATGTGGAGGAAGTATTTGTGAAATACTGCACCAAAGATGACAGAATGAGCCAAGGCAGAAAACAAGAGATATATACCGACCCACTCCCATCCTGAATTGTTTGATCAAAGAACTTCGTTGAAGTGACTTTTCATATATATATTAAAGGCAAGTATATGTAATAAGGCTGAGTGGGTTAGATCGCGGACTTTGTGTGCTGGCGATTAGGTGCCTCACTCTGGCAAGCGTGGGTTCGAATCCCGGACGGGACTCAACCCCAAAAAAGTACTAGAATCTGTATTTTACTAAGAAAGTGTTATCCCAAATATAACATTAGTTACGTTTGACCACTTTCTAAATGGCATTGTGTATTCGTTCAGTGTAATATTTAAACTTTCACAGTTAGGAACGTTTAAAAAAATATTTCCATGATCATTTATGTATTCCGTAAGTACGCATATCAGTATTCACACGCGAGACAAAGATAAACTTACTTTTAAAAGTTTCCAACTATTACTCATCCTGCAAGTAACTTTCTGAACTCCAAAACAAATAAAGCGCCACAAAAAATGACGCCATTTGCGGTTACATCCAAATATCGATGTATATAATCTATCATTATTACAAGTATCAGATTGTGCAACGTGTACAAAGTATACCACAACATATGTGTGTTTAAGCACGTGAAACAGTTTAGCTCACCTGAACTAAAAATTCAACTGTCGTGAGTTGTAAAAACGTAAACATTCTCTCAGTAAAGTTATTATTCTGTAACATCTGTTAACAGTTAATTCTCTAGTATGTAGTCTGTATGTACGTTGGTTGGTTTGTTGTTTAACGCTGCACTCAGCAATATTCCAGCTATATGACGGCGGTCTGGAAATATTCGAGTCTGGACCAGACAATCCAGTGATTAATATCATGAGCATCGATCCACACGATTGGGATCGATGACATGCGTCAACCAAGTCGGCAAGCCTGACCACCCGATCCCGTTAGTCGCCTCACAACAAGCATCGTTGATGTTTTTGTTGTTGAAATAAAAAAACACCTTGCAGCAATGTAATTTTGGTGGAGGCAATTTTCATTTTTTCCAACAGTCTGAAGCATTAGTATTTTTGTTCAAGAGTTTCGGGTTAAAATATATTTCTTTTTGATAAAATCCCATCACCCAGCCCCACCAGAATAGCAAATGGTGATGTCATATGTTGATAGTTCCAAATATTACATGGACATTTGTGATATATAGGGAATCTCACCCAGTGTCTTTTGATATAAAATGTATCAACTCGTATTGCCAAAAGTTTAAAACCCTGAGGCTTGCAGAGGAATTTGAAATTTTTAGTTACGAGTGTTGATGTATTTCATATCAAAAGACAAAGGTGACGCTCTACTGAGATTCTGTTTATCAATAAAAAAATCATACTTTCAACCTTTTCAGTTTGTATACAGTATTAACCAGTGTCTTCAGTGTAAAAAACACAGCTAACACTAGTAACAAGCTTAAGTTGCAGAGAGATGATAAGTGATGTCATTTGATTGTCGTCATGGTAACTGATGATGTCCTGAAAAGTATTGGGATGCAATTTCATTGTAGTGATATATCCTCAGAGATATTGCATGATCTCATACTTTAAAAGATAAAAAAAAGGGTGGTTCCTTTATATTTACCAGCGTCAGTCCTTATCCTAGTGAGGCAATTGTTAATAAGACCTTAAAGGGGAAGTGTACACGCAAAATTCACTTTCTTTCTTTTTCTAAACAAAACGCAATTTTAGAATTAGTTTATATCTGTGTTTGAAATGTAAACTCATTTTTTTCACAGTGAAAGTAGGAAGCTCACAATAGTGTGAAAATGATATGCCGTTATGAGGCCTTCGTTTTTCGAGCTAAACAGGCCTGAGTTATCCCCCTTAGATTATGACGTAATTGGTGCCAATTCAACTGGATCCCTGTCTATTCTCAACGCAAAAGATATCAAGTACCAGTTTTCGGTAAAACAACATGGCCTACGACACACTCCGGCGCAGTGATGACTCAGCATAACACTATGCTGGCTGGCATCTGAGACGCTAGAATCACACAGCTGTACCTACACCACGTGAAGCGGCTCTAACATAGCATGACGTCATAATGTTTATCAATTGGCACCAATGACGTCATATTGCAAGGGGCATAAGCCATCGTGTTTTTGTTATGAAAATAGAACACTTGGTAAATGTGAAAAATATAAATCGTTTTAATGCAAAACATATGTTAATTAATTGTGATATTTTTATATTTTTGTCTATGACACTACTAGGTTAACACTTTTAATGTGGAAAAAGTACAAGAAAAATAGGTTCATTTCCATGTGAACTTGCCCTTTAACCTTAGTGCTTAAAACAAAAAACAAAAAAGCATTTATAGTATAAAATTCATAATTTTTAAAGTGACACTAAACATAATTTACAGTTTGTACAGATGTTGATGATGCTGTGTTCATCAGTGCACTATATGCTCTAGGATGCCTTGTCTGATGAGGTGTTCACACTCGGACCGCAGCAGGAAGTGCTGCAACAGACAAGCAACATGGACTTATTCTATGGAACCTTGTTCACATAGTCTTTAACTCGACATATTGTTTAACACCATGTTATTTCACGGCCCCAGTAGACTTATTTTGTATTATCATTTCATCAGATAAGTCATTACCGTATTCGACGTAATAAGCGCCTCACTCTAATAAGCGCCCACATCGAGATTTGTTAATATATTGGCTAGTGAACAAACCCAATTAGCACCCCTTCTGACCCCAATTCGCATATAATACGCACTGCTTCCTTCCCCTATTTGCACTCCTTTGTTATAAGCACCCTTTATTATTGACAATTAAATTCTGGAAAAATATATCCGTCGTACATAAACATTTCCGGCTGTCACTATAAACCACGAAATTTAACTCTGTTTTTTTCACCAAAATAATATTCTCATAAGAGCTCCCTATATCTAATTTTGTGAGCGCCCTGGGCACGTATTAAGTCGAATACGGTATGTCAGATAAATCAATGTATATTTCTGGTCCCTAGTGATTGAGTTAGCCTAACACCCCTGTGAACCGTGTTCCAGTTACATCAGACACGTCAGCTTCATGTGCCTGAGTGGGTGAGTGAGTGAGATGGGTTCAACGCCGCTTTTAACAGTATTCCAGTTATATCACGGCGTGTCAGCTTAATGTGGGAGGAAACCCGAAGTGATGCAGGTCTCAGACGTTTACCACTTCGGTGAAACCCACGAGCATGGGTATGGTGCTGACAAACCTAGAAACATAATCGGGGCGAACCGGGAGTCAAACCCACAATCATAGGTTTCTGGCGTGCCCAAGGGACGCAACTCTGCACAGCGAATCGTGGCGCCTTAGACAACTGGGCCACCCGTGCCCCCTCATGTGCCTGAAGTGATGCAGGTGTCACTTTGCCCCTTTAGCAAAACCCATGCAAGGGTATGGTGCTGACAAGCCTAGGAACATAGTTGGGGTAAACTGGGCTTCAGACCCACAGTTAAAGATTTTGTTGGTTTGCTAAGAGTTTGTTTGTTGTTAAATGCCACACTCAGCAATATTCCAGCTACATGATGAAGGTATATAATTAATCGAGTCTAAACCATACAATCCAGTGATTGATATGATGAGCATCGATCTACACATTTGGGATACGATGACATACATCAACAAGTCATCGAGCCTGACCACTAAGCACAGCGAATTGGCGTGCCAGAGATAACTGGGCAACCTATGGGATTCCAAACAAAGTGCCCTTGAGAAAAAATCTTTAAATATCAGATATACAAGTCACCTCTACAAAGACATAAAATTAGTTATAACTTTATCACATTAATTTAAATAAAAATAATTCCAATTTGGGAACTTGTTAAAACACTGGCTGCAGACTCTAAACAGATCTAGATAAATCCCGGTAAGCTCTTGTTGGATCTTGTGAATGCAATGCCTAGTGCTACAACACTGATCTGAAATTGTCTACCTGGCTGTTCTTCTTGAGGACAATGACATTTCCATCTTGAGTTTCAAACTCGCCATGATCGACCTGACACCTCACTTCGACATACAATGTTTTTGGAGGTTTCAGATCCTGTGTCAGGTCAAGGCCACCAGCATCTCCAATCGATCGCATGTAGCTGGCCAACATCTTGTTATACCGACTAAACCACTGTATCTGCCAAAAAATAAAGATAGGAAATTGTTTGTCATTCAGTCAATAGTGATCAATAACAAGGAATCAGAATCACCAGGTAACTCAGTGACTTGGAAGCCATGTCCTTCTGCCACGATGGCATGGATCTGTGCTCACAATATACATCAATACATTGTCTGGCACACGCACGCACGAAAATGACAAATGAATTTTGAACAGACAATGCCATGTCGAAAGCGGTCAAATGTAACAAATGTTATATTTGGGATTACAGTTTCCAGTAAAGTACAGATTCTCGTACTTTTTTTGGGGTTGCATCTTGTACGGGATTCGAACCCACACTGCCACTCTGGACATTTCACAATCCGGAGGATTTCATTTTGGATTAACACGTATTTTGATGTTTGTCACAAGAGCCAGTAGAGTATTCAAGTCTGAATCACACAAACGGGAGGTAAGTTTGTGGAAGTAACAATACACACCAGGTAAAGGTTCAGTGACACAGTCAACAATGTCACAACTGTTAGCTGGTCTTTCATGTGGGTTACCCTGCCTAGCATTAAGTGGATAAAACCGGACTGGTGAGCTTGGAGTCACTATGATGTGTCTGAGTGGCTATCCATGTTAACCTGTGGCATAGTATTTCAATGGACTAGCACAATAAAACTTTTATTTGTCCGGAGTAATCCATCAGACACACACACACATGCATGAAAGTTGCCATGGAAGTGCAATAATCTTGACCGCGACGTTAAACCCCATTTCACCTCAGCTTCCCTGTGGTCACACATCAAAGTACAGGTCATACTTAGCAGCCATTGTGTCCACCCGATCCCCAGATTCCCCTTACAACTAGCAGTGTGACGCCGCTTGGTTGTCATGTAGTGAGTGAGTGAGTGAGTATGGTTTAACGCCGCTTTTAGCAATATTCCAGCAATACCACAGCGGAGGACACCGGAAATGGGCTTCACACATTGTACCCATGTCGGGAATCGAACCCGGAACGTCGGCGTGACGAGCGAACGCTTAACCACTAGGCTACCCGACCGCCCCGGTTGTCATGTAGACTAGTGGGATGAACATGATGAAGGCTCTTATTATCATTAATGATATTCTTCATGAAAGTAAAAATTATCTGATCGTCAACCAGCGTGGAATCTTTTCACATGCTCACAAATCTCTCTAGGAAAGGTATAAAAATCACTGTCAACATGTTCGTGGCGTCCCGCCCCCTGTAACTGTACCTCTTGTTCACACAAGTTATATTTGATGTCCGCTGGAAGAACACTCCCGAACTCCCATCTCATCTTGCGAATCTGCACCAAGCGATTGTATCTGTAAATAAATACAAACCCAATTCTAACATGTCTAATGCTAAGAGTCATTTGAACAAGAACTTGTGATCAGTATATGAAATCACTCAGTTTCAAATGTTCAAAGCTGGTCAGAATCATATGGACCATATTGTTTTACCAGGTACAAAATAATGTGAGTGAGTGAGTATGGTTTTACGCCGCTTTTAGCAATATTCCAGCAACACACGGCGGGGGACACCAGAAATGGGCTTCAAACATTGTACCCATGTCGGGAATCGAACCCGGGTCTTCGGCGTGACGAGCGAACGCTTTAACCACTAGGCTACCCGACCGCCCCACAAAATAATGTGTCATAAACACACACAAAGTTTGAGAATGGATTCAAACAACATGCATTGTGACACAAAAAGTATGGCTGTAAGGATCGATTCAAAAGTAATAATTCAGTTGTAACCTTCACATTAAACATCACTGATCTTTCTATTCTGATCGGAAATAAAATTCAAGTACAAACTGTCCATGTCATTGTCTGATATTCTTTACTCACTTGCATCATTAAACATCATGAACATACTGAATGCTCTTTATATCAATCACTGGTTTGCCTTGATTTTTTATTACTGGCTGATGTGATACAGCTATAAGTAAGTGGCCTGTGGCATCTAACAACATGCGCTCTTTCATCATGTTCCTGCATTAATTGGTGATCGATTTACTTAAAAACATATTGTTTAAACACTCCAGAAAAGTTCCATACACATGAACACAAGGGTGTGAGTTGACACAGACTAGCAGACATCCAAAAGTTATCATATCCAAATTGTGTACATAGATGCTCATGAGGTCAATCACTGGTTTGTCTGGTCCAGAGTTAATTATTTACGGATTGCCGTCATTCAGCTGGACTACTGCTGAGTGTGGCATTAAACAATAAACAAGACATCCAAATGTGTGCAGCTCCAATTCCTGATGCCAATTTCATCATAAACGCAAACAATGTTGACTTTTGAGAGTGGGCGTAAAGTTTAATTTATTTTATTGACTCAAAAGTACCACTATATATTAATAAAAAATAAAATGAATTATTCTGTATGTGTATAGATAAAAATTATGAGCAATTAATCACCTTAATGATAAATATTAACTAGGCTGATTCACTGAATGTTCAAAATGGAATCTCCTGTCTCCTTTATGTCCAACTTAACAGTGACAATCTTAATAAATGTTAACGTTTCAGTGGCAGTGAATTAATAATTTAGTATCGATCAAATAAATTTGTATCTTTTATTGACACTAAAATGTTATCCATACGTTGGTAGTGCAATAAATGATGACACTGAGTTTTGGGTGACTTGTTAGGCCAAGCTCTTTCTCCCTTGCAGTGGGCTAGTGTTACTACGAGGTGTTGCACTATTCTTGACAGCGTAGATGTGAAACACTTACAAATATGCTAACAAACATCGTTTGTTCCTTTCAAGTGCTGAATGTCGCAGTTGAACCCCTGAAAATAGTCCACTTTCTCCAGCAACTGTGGCACTCCTGAAACATTGTATATCAGTGCTTGGTTTACAGTGTGATAAACGCTATAGAAACATCAGAGATACACTCTTGTAACCATGGTAACAAGATCCATGTGGTCCAGTCACTGACTATGGGTGTGCTGGCACCACCAACATGTTATTATGGTTATTCTAGAAAACATTTAATGGCTATTCATTTGAGATCATAAACAAACAGGCATTTATCAAGTTTATTTGGACCTACAATGAGGTAGATATTTGGACCATGACAGTAAAAATTCCCAAATAGTAAATTATTAATTTCCCACTTCATGTAAATCATTTTAATACAGTTGTTAATGTTAAGGCTTTGTAGAGGTGACATGTGCTTCACAGATGAGACCATTTTTCTCAACCTGAAACCAAACCCGATAACTTTCATGTTGTAGTTCTAGTTCGAAAGATGATGAGTGCATTCTGGAATATAAGAGTACTGTACGTACTCTAATGTGTATGCTGTTTTATTTTATATAGCACGCTGGAATCATCTGCTACATTATTATGACAGTACCGATCCAGAAACTGAGGAAAATCTTCCATGTTCAGAGTTAGGAACTGGTTATGGGCACTACGCAATGCACAATGGACTCATCCTAGGATTCTGTTCTGCATTTTGATTTTGGCTAGGGTACATTTCTGTATACAGAAAGTGGCGACGACCCCTTCAGCTTTAATAATAAATAGTATATACTCTGTACACAGATACAAAAGCCCATTTGGACCATATTGGTTATTTGTTTTTTTCTCTTTTAAAAGTCGTAATTACAAGAAAAAGTCGTAATTTCGACTTTTAAAAGAGAAAAAACAAAATACCAATATGGTTCTAAAGGACTTTCGTACACAAAGAAATATATTTTAGAGTGGAAGTGAAAGACGTTAAAGAATAAGCAATTACATCAAACTGATTGACATGATTTAGCAAGCAGTAGAGATTTATAAGGCTAACTTACACATCCCTCTGATTGTGTTCAAACAAGGCTTTCATCTCCTCCAACACCTGACGCACTCCATCCTCCTGTTGAAAACAAACATCTCTTGTTCCAAATTATATTTCAAGGAAGGAGAACAATTCCTACTGTTATCAGATCAAACGAATTGTATGGTTTAGCAGCTCCTGCCAACTCGTTTAATGAAATTAATGACATGATACGTTATCAGCTGGATATTATGAGAGTGATGTGTGTGTACATATTCTTCGATTTTGTCAAGCAAAACGTCTTAGTGTTTAAGCCCATATTTACTCACGTTGTATGGAGGCAAAGTGCCATCAACCGTTCGTTTCAATTCACGAATTAATTCCAAAACTTTATCCGCGAGCATGTTGACATTTCAAGTTTCACGCAAACTCCCGCCAAGTTATAGAAGGCTATTTTTGATTGGAAGAAAGGCCAGTGGCCCAGCCAATTACTATCTGCGTCATTGAGCCCCCCCACGAGATTCTATTAATAGCCAGGAAGTGTTTTGGTTTGCAGTGTTGTTGACACCAGTCACGATGTTTCGAGTTAGCAAATCAATGCCAAAGTCGAATGACTCCATCAAAGACAAAATGGAAACTGCGAAGCTCGCAGGATATACTATTTTACCGAGCAGGTAAGATTTACATGCCAGTATTCTGTGATGTTTCAGTTTATCAGCGATAACGTTGAATCAAGAGCAGTCAGTGGACTTTGGACCTTTGTTCATCGTCCTCTAGCACGGGTTTTGCCTTATCGATGCGTAGTTGAGTGTCGAAACCCGAGCATTCGGACGACTAGTCATCTGCTTGTCAATAACCATGGAAGAGGAAAGTGAAGCTTATTATCTATTCTGGTAATGGGATTTAGAACTTTGGGAAGTTTTACATGATTTTGCACCTTATGCCTTTTAGGAAATAAACACTAGCCAACATGTTATGTCCAGAATAGAGCTGGTAGGCCGAAGGTTAGCCCACAGCACGAAGCGATATAGTTGTCACCATGGTGTGATTTGCACTCACAATCGACGATATTCACCATGTTAGTTATTGTTAAGATATTATTTACAGAACATACCTCAAATGATATCAACAGAAGTAACGTGTTAAAACTGTCGACAGTTGTCCCTCGCGACTATAGTTATCATGGTTAATATTGAGTGGTCGACAAGGAATAGTGTTTTCACCCATACTTGTAACCCCTAGGGCTACAGTTGTTGTAAGCATAGTTTTCAGCCTTGGGTATCTCGGTAATTCATTAATCTAGTCCCTATTTATTGCAGTAGACATTTGGGTCAGTAGGAACATAAAGTGCTTACTCATGTGAGTTGTTATCAGGTTATGAATATCCTCTTTGTGTTTAAAACAATTAAATAAATCTTGACTGTTAGACAAACTCATGATTCGCTGCTAGTTTTTGAATGTTGTCAAAAAAAATTGTTATGTTTCCAAACAGTTTATATGGTCATTTGTTGAAGTGCATTCCCATCCTGGTTAACAATGAAATATATGATCACATTCATTACTCTCAACATGCTCAATACTGAAGGTAATGGAAACAAACTGTGTACAATTCATATCACTATTATCAGTAGATCACAATTTATATTCTTATTCAGTAGTTATCTAAAGTACACACTGCAGACTAATGAAACTATCAAGTCATTGAAAGGCATTCTTATGATGAAACTAGACCGCCTCTGTGGTCTTGTGGTAGAGCGTCCGCCCGGAGAGCGGAAGGTCCAGGGTTCGATCCCGGGCCGCGTCATACAAAAAGACGTTAAAAGATTGTACTTGTTGTTACCCTGTCTGGCGCTCGGCATTAAGGGGCTAAAACAAGGACTGGTCGGCTCGGAGTCAGTATACTGTGTCTGAGTGGGGTATTCATGTTAAACTGCGGCATGGTATCTCAGTGAGCTAGCACTATAAATCGGCATCAGTCCGGACTAGTACAAACAGCCACACACACACATACACGTGCATGCACGTCGCTATATAAGTGCAATAATCTTGGATGCGACGTTAAACCCAATTTCACCTCACCTCACCTCACCTATGATGAAACTATGACTATTCATGATTGATAACCAATGACAACAGGTGTGAATATTATATATCATGTTTATGGCTCAACAATCATGACTCATGATTTCATTATTACTAACCAGAAATGTTTATTCAGTGTTCTCAATATGCACTACAGTAACAGCATATACTATGTATACTACTGAAGCAGGCTGAAAGGGTCATGCTTGAGCGGTTTTCCATCAAAATGTACCCAGTGCTAATGACTATAATCAACATTAAAGGGCAAGTTCACACGGAAATGCACCTATTTTTCTTGTACTTTTTCCACATTTAAAGTGTTAACCTAGAAGTGTCATAGACAAAAATATAAAAATATCACAATTAATTAACATATTTTTCCCATTAAAACGATTTATATTTTTCACATTTACCAAGTGTTCTATTTCCACAACAAAAACACCATGGCTTATGCCCCTTGCAATGTGACGTCATTGGTGCCAATTGATAAACATTATGACGTCATTATGCTTTGTTAGAGCCGCTTCACGTGGTGTAGGTCTAGGTGTGTGATTCTAGCGTCTCAGATGCCAGCCAGCATAGTGTTATGCTGAGTCACCACTGCGCCGGAGTGTGTCGTAGGCCATGTTGTTTTACCACAAAATGGTACTTGATATCTTTTGCGTTGAGAATAGACAGGGACCCAGTTGAATTGGCACCAATTACGTCATAATCTAAGGGGGATAACTCAGGCCTGTTTAGCTCGAAAAACGAAGGCCTCATAACGGCATATCATTTTCACACTATTGTGAGCTTCCTACTTTCACTGTGAAAAAAATGAGTGTATATTTTCAAACACAGATACTAATTAATTCTAAAATTGCGTTTTGTTTAGAAAAAGAAAGAAAGTGATTTTTGCGTGTACACTTCCCCTTTAAGGAATGGAGGTAATCACCTTGTTAACAGGTTTATCATGTTAATGTCATTCATAGTCCTTACTAGATGCTTAAAATAGTGTGAAGATCCAGGTTAAAATAGGTCTTCAGAAAACCAATGCTTGTGTAAATGGTGACTATGCTTGTCGTAAGAGGCGACTACATTAGGGTGGTCAGGCTCACTGACTTGGTTGAGCATGTCATTATATCCTAATTGTGTGCATCAATACTTATCAATACTTCTAATATTTACAGACCGTTGTCATATACATGATATAGCTGGGATATTGCAGAGTAGTGTTAAACAACAGTCATGGTGTATACATTAGCTGGAGAAAGGATGTAAAATAATCATCCTGGTACAGAGGGATTTCTGCTGAGTCGGATAATTTGATACTTCCTCTTGACCGAACATCAGGGTCAGTGACCACTAGTCTATTGCAGAACATATTATGTAACAGACTTGTGTCATTTGTGGTAAGAACAGAAAATTCAGCCATAGTTTGTGTTTTTCTATTTCCTAGTTTGTCTTTATTAATTCAAGCATTATAGTACGGTGTATACATGGTATATGACGTATACAAGAAAAGTGAAATCTTTATATTCAATGTATGTCTGATTTAATGACACTTGCATCACTTTGCAAACTGATAACTTTATTATGTCATATGATAAATGCCCTTTGTGTCAAGGAGGCCCTCAGTGCAGCAATACAACATAATCACAGTATGCGGTATACATTTCAACATTTGGTGCACAGCATATGGAATGTTAATTAAAAAATGAAAATCACACGCCAAGCAACCATTACAAATGAGAGTTATCTCCCTAAGGCTTGTGACTACAGTTCTTGCATCACTGTACTAGGTGAGGTACTAATTACTGAAGTGTTACGCAGCATTATGGGTATCTGTATGATGTAATGTTGTTACCTATGTCAGTGTTAAATTAGATGTGTGTGGTGTGGTGTGGTGTTCCAGTATTTATCAGGGGCTGACCCAGGATGTTCCACTTGGGCCGTTCATTAATACTTTTACTTTAACAACCAAATCAAAATGTGATCATTGTTGGAGATTTGATCATCCATTGCACGGCTACTTTGAACCGAATGTAAATCACAATCTAAACCACTCCAAGGGATTTAGCAGATTAGTGAATTGCCATATCCGGGGGAATGAAATCCTACAGCATAGGTTCAGCACAACTATCTTTACTCTTGATATGAACGCCGTGATATAACCGGAATACTGTTAAAAGCGGCGTTAAACCCAACTCACTCACACTCTTGATATGTATGTCCAGTGTTAAGACCCTTATGTAATGTGTACGTTTACCGGATTACTGTGTCTTGGTCTAATTATTACTTCATCGTGTGGTCAGAATGGAGCGAGTGAGTGAGTACAGCCCTCCAAGCTTAGACTTTTCATGGGAGCCACTTGGCTACTGGCAGCACTTTTCCATTTCAAACTTTAAGGAGCCACATTAAAATTTAACATGTTTAAATAACAACTTTGATTTAGCTTTAAAAACAATTTAACATTTTAGAAATTAAATAAAAAGACAGGACAAGGTTGAAAACATTCCATTTCTTTTAATGTGTCTGAACGACAAACTTTAAAAACTTGCTGAAATAAAGACAAGTCACTGAACAACTACACATGTAGATAGACCATCACTGGACTTCGCTGAGACAACTACCTGACACAATACTACTGCTGCCTTTCACTTTATTCTAATGTTTGTTTTATGCATTCACTTACATTTCCGTGTCATTTATTACTATCAGACACATTCATAGCAGAAGTAATCTCGGTTGTCTCACATCCCAATACTGAATTCTCTGATTCTGCTATGTCCACCCATATCTTCATCTAATAAACTCCTTTTAGGACTGCTGGGAGTAATAGCCATAGGTATGTCATCCATGTCACCATTCTATGATGGACTGGTTGTCTTATAGTTGGCTTTTGAAATACTGTAAATAATCGAGTCTGGACCAGACAATCCAGTGATTAATATCATGAGCATTGATCCATACAATTGGGATCAATGTCATGCATCAACCAAGTCAGCGAGCCTGACCACCCGATCCCGTCCCAACATGGAGGGCCTAAGTATGGTTTTACACTGCTTTTAGCAATATTCCAGCAATATCACAGCAGGTGACACCAGAAATGGGCTTCAAACATTGTACCCATGTGGGGACATGAACCTGACCTTTCGGCATGATGAGCTAACGCTTTAACCACTAGGCTTCACCACAGCCCTGGTCAGAATAGAAGAATAGTGAAACAATTTACTAGACAGGGGCTTCAGCCAGGTGGTTTAATTCTAATAATTTGCTTATCACTTGCAAGACACCCATTACTTATGAGAGTATTCATCAACAGATATTTGCAATTCATTCTAATTTACAGGTGTTACATAAAATCTCATTGAGTTCTATGTGGATTTTATATTGGAAGGTAGAATGGTGACTTTAGGGGTTCAATGCATGTTAAACACAACATGGTAAAAAACTTGAGGCTGCCAACACCCTTTTGGTATGTGGGATTCAGGGGTCTATTTGAAGGGTATTCAGGATTCAGCAGTGTGGTACCCTGGCTGTGGTATGCAAATTCAACATTTAAATAATGATATTGGTGCATGTAATACTGTATTTGATGTAATCATGGTAATAAGTGCCTACAGTGATATTTGCTAATATATTGGCTAGTGAACGATCCCAATTAGCACCTCTTCCTATTGGTCAATGTACACTTATTTATTCGTGTATAATACAATGGGCAATTAAATTCTGGGAAATATATCTGTCATATATAATACGCACAGACTTTGCTGTCAGCATAAACCACGAAATTTACCATCTTTCCACTGTTTTTATTCTCAACAAAATTATAATCTAATAAGAGCCCCCTGTTTCTAATTTTGAGAGCTACCTGGGCGCTTATTATGTCGAATACGGTAATTCCCTTTACACAGATCTACTTGTTTTTGGATATATTCTTGATTCAGTGTAAGTAAATAAGACTTAAAGTGAAAACTCAGCTGATATTCAGGATTTAGGGGAGGGGGGTTGGCACCCTCATGCTTGTTACCAAAGCGATGGGCATGTCACTATTCCAGTCTATGTTGCAGGGAGTCAGCGAAGAAGGCAGTGTTGGTGGCAAAGACGGTGTGTTTGACAGTGTTTATCATCTACATTGCGGTGCCCATCTTTGTCAGAGCCAACTCCTGGATTTTGCCCAAAGTTGTTTTCTCTAACCTCGGTGAGTAAATAATATCTCTAAACTCTTTGACCGACTTAGTGACACCAGATGTTGGCTATTGTTTGCTGTGCAACAGGTTGTCTGAGGTTTCATGTCAGATTTGATATATTCATTGTGATTGTAGTCAACGTGGTCAGGCCACAACTTTTCTCTCGCCTGACTGAAAATCAGTTGTTCCAAAATTGTTATAAAAACTGCTCAAAGAACGCTGATCCAATTTTAAACATGGCTGCCATTTTTGTTTCTTCATTATTCAGGTGAGCGGTCGAGCATTGTGCCTTTAAGTTTTTATTTTATGGTTATTAAATGTTTGCTGACATTTAGGTAGGTCAAAAGAGTTAGTGACCTTATCCACAATGCATTTGATTAAATATGGTATCTTTTTTCCGATGTTCATTGATGTTTGCAGTTGTATCTTTTCATTTTCTGGTACATCAAAGATAGAGGGGTCCAAGCTGTCATGGCTCTGGTTAGTCAAATACAGTCATTCCTCGCCATAACGCGGGTTTCGGAGTCCATGGATGACCCCCCCGCGTTATCAGACATCCGCGTTTTTCCTTATAGGGAATGTAGGTTGGAAATATTTTATTTCTTGTGCATATTGCGCGCTTGAGTAAAATTTAGTGTATGGTACCCAGTCAAAAACTTTGTTGTATCGCCTGAGGTTAACGAACAAGAGATAACAAACTTTGTCAATGAAAATTGCTATTAGAGACTAAACACCAGTAGACATGATTATTAAACATTTCATTTGTATTTCCTGTTGTACTAGGTATTGTTTTATATGCCAAGGTTAAGAATACCGTGTACAGATGTATCGAACCTAAGCTGGAAATGGCTGTCCGCTGTGTACACATGTTTTGTCCCAATCTACCGGTGATTCAGTTACAAAATAACCAATAATATAACTTCAAAGTCTTTTTGCAAGGAAAAATATTTTCTAATATGCGTTATCTTAATACAGCATTCATTATATATGAATTTAAAATAGTAATAACCTAAGCGTAGCACTTTGACATAATGCAGATACATTTTAGGTATGGAACAGTTTGACGAGTCACCGTCAAGGCTACGTGGTATAGCTATTTTCATCACGAAAACAAAATGTTGACATATTTTTTTATGAATCAAAGTATGTCAGTTATGATATGTGAATCCATTCTCTGACAACTAAGGTTTGTTTCAAGGCCTCAATAGCAGTAATCTGATCGTGACCTCTGTGAATATGTGAGTTAGAACTGTAACGGTACGCGTTAAAGCAGACCCTATGCAACAGGGTAAAGGGAAGTTGTAAGTGTTTAGCATACTGTTTCACAAATGAATTTGCCAATATTAACATAATTAACGTAAACAATTTGTATTGAATGAAAATGTGACTAAACCTAATCACACAGTCCCGAGTCCAGATGTATAACAATGATTCTGTGTGCACGTTTGTTATGCTCTATCCTATAACGTGGAGATGTGAAAATAATTAAATTTATGGGAACAGAGCTCGAGATAAGCTGCATATTTTCGTAAAATACACATAAAATAAACTAAAATATGAAGATAATCAAATGTGCAATAAAAACTATAAGTATGCTATTGAAATATAACTAATGGTTATATTACAACTGTTAAGTAACACAATTGCGTACGTTACAACTGTTAGATAAAATGATTGCGTGTCAGCTGATCACGAAATTCACTTACCGACAGTTACATTTGGAAAAGCTTTTGCGACAAACATACTTGAATTCTGATTGATTCTAATTGAAAAGCACATTGTGTCCAATGGTTATGTGATTATGAAAATAGAGCCAGTAATTTCTTATAATGCTAGGTTTTCAAACAAAAATGGCTTCTCGGAGAGGGAGCTGCAAGCAAATGCAGACAGTATGAGAGCATTCATTTAGTTTAATATAAGTTACAGGGATTCTTACAGAACATTTAAAAAAACCAAAATACCAAGAAACAGTTGGGTAAAAAAATGAATACCCTCTAAAAATTGTGGATACCCGATCAAAATCAAACTTTTGTCCTTGGGTGAAATACCCAAATAATCAAAATCATATCTAGAACTCTGGGGAACCATTGATTATCGTGTGGCTTAACCGGGGTCGTGGGGTCGCGGTATTGCGAAGGGCGTTGTTGCGAGGGATGACTGTATGTGAACCAAATGTTTTTGCTTTAGCAATGGAAGAATAAGCTTTTGAATAAGTTAGTGTACTACTGGTGGTGAAAATGCATTTAATGTACAAGGTATTAGTCCCATGAGTGAAATGGAGACATTGTCTTGATGTCCTAGGGTAACACAAACTGCTACATTGATTTACATCTGGAGACAAATAAAGCTGTGTTTGAACAACTTGGAGCAAATTATAGGGACTGCCAGCTGCCTCATTCTCAGCTGCTTCTCATGTGTCTGCAGCATGTTAAGCACTGGAAGCAATTGTGATGGAGTTGAATAACATTGGTCATTATATATACCATATGGTAGATGTTTCCATATTGTTACATGGCACAGATTTGTAATTGTTATATTCTTGAGATTATTACTTGCCTATGTAAAGAAAACAGCACACAATGTTACAGAAAGATAGTTGTATAATGGGGATTCTTTGTTCCAGTTCGTTGGCCTCCATTTATCGATTTGTCTAAGCCGTCAGATTTTGGTCTGAATACAACCCGGAACTTCTACCTGCAGACAGACAATGGTGTTCATGTTGGAGTTTGGTAAGAAAAATGGAGCTAGAATCTTGTAAAATCTCTCTCTCTCTCTCTCTCTCTCTCTCTCTCTCTCTCTCTCTCTCTCTCTCTCTCTCTCTCTCTTTCTCTCTCTCTCTCTCTTTTACCATGCTTATGGTCCTGTATTCTTAGAACACATCGCATGCAGATGAAAATCTACTGACAGATGCAGAAGGATAAGGTTGGGATATTTTGGCACAGATTACTTGACAGAATTTTTTGATTGCATTGTGATCTGAAGCAAAGCTTAATGTTGAGGAACATATAAATATATGTTGTATTTCAGAAAAATAAAATAAGCTCCAGATACCCAAAATAGATCACCATACCCAAATTAATTTTAAGTTGTTTCCATACAAACATGCATGCCAGTTTTTAAAACCCACCAATATATATAACCATGATAACAACACCCTTTGTAATTACACAATGTAGCCTTTTCAGTTTTCATTCCCGTAATGTCTGTACACATCTTTATTTACTGTTCAAATACACCTAAATCACCTATATACAACTCTACTGCAGTGAATATTGCACGTCCTGCCTATTGTAACTTAGACATATATCACTGTTGTGAGCTTATGCGCATCCTCTATATCTCCAGGGCACGTATTTCGGTAAACTATCACCTACTCCTGGATCCATGCCTGTTGTTCTTGCGATATTAAATTAGATAAAGAAGATGGCTTATGTGCTATGAGACACTTTGCAGCACACAAACAGAATTAAGTGTAACTGGAAATAGCATTTCAAGCTGAGTTATTAATAAAAATGTCTACTTGGTTGTTTAAATGAGACTGGATCGAAGGGAGTGAAAATGTATTGCATACCCAAAGAAACCTATCAAATACTCAATGTATACGATAACGATAATTGCTTCACAGCTTACAAAATGATCTGGAGCCCAGGGTGCCGTTGTACAAAACAACCTAAGCACTACTACGACTGTCGTAAGTCTATGTTAAGGTATGGGAGTTACGATCACCTTAGTGCTAAGATTGCTTTGTACAATGGCACCTTGTTAAATATGTCGCTATGACAATGACTATTGTACATGTTGTAGGCACACCCTGCCATCGAGCCTGGTGCAAGACGGGGGTCCCGCAGATCCTTATGAATACGAACAGTTGCTGAAGTCTGGGAAGAGGATTATTCTGTATCTCCATGGCAACAGTGGAACAAGGTAGGCAGTTTAAAGGCATGTAATATACAAGTGATTGTGCTCCGAGCCATGTTTGTGTCTATTGCACCATTTGATGACGGAGACAGAATATCAAGTAAAAGAAACGATATGAAATAGGATTTAAGTGTTTTGTGTCACTGTACCTTGCTTCGATATTTTGAATAAGTCTGGCGTGTATTGGCTGAAAAAAAGGAGTCGAGGCCGCTATGGACATGGTTGATGCTGTAACTTATTTGCACCCCGAAAGGTCACCAAAATAACTTGAGATCACCAGTTCATTACAGTTTGGATAGCTTGTGTCAAGGTTAACCCGGGGTTAATATTGTGTCAAGGTCACCGGTGATAATATCCACTTATCTAATAAAGAAAAAGGAAATATGACATTGTTGAACCTCGGGGCAATTTAGTCAATTTGCCTGTTGATGCAGAAAGGATCTTGTTAATTATCATGCTTAGTCAGGGGATTTACCAAAATCCTTTGTTGGGATATTTGAGCCTTCAGTTAGGAGATATACATACTGTGTTTTCAATGTAGAGCCAGGTTACATGGGTTGTCGATTAGAATTTACGGAAATACTGACAACAGCCTTTAAACGAAATATGGCACTCTATATGCTCAAACAGTTTGTTTGCATTATTATAATACTTCCCTTGATTTTATGACATGCATTGTGATGCAGTTGATATGACGTCAAAGTAGTATATAGAAAAGTGCCAAATAGCAAGCTCTCTTGTGTCCGCAAAACATGAAATACGTTCTCTTTGTAGCTTTCTGTCGTGTTTTCTGATTAAAATGTATTGCCCCACATCCTCGAATATTGTCGTAAGTGTAACTTTTGTAGCTTATAATTGTACATGTAAGTATTTAAATATGCCTACCGACAATGACTGTAAAAGAAGTACTATCTTAAAAATATTAGCTTCCGTGGTGATATGGACATCAAATTGGCTCTTTCAGTCAGAGGGAGTTTATTGTGATTTGATACGTCTGATTGACCAATGAAAATTGAGTTTCTTCCATATTCTTGTAGAATATCTTTTATCAGGGTGTACAACACTTGAAGGACATTATAAATAATTTTGAAAATGATAAGAATATAAACGGACAGTTTGTTGTACTGGTACCTGAAATGTTTGCCGCCCTGTTATGAGAAAGTATATTTGATCACTTGGTCACTTAGCACACTTTGGTGGTAGGTGGTGCAAGAAAATGGACAAAGAATTGGCAGGATCAACTAGAAATGTTGATTGTCAACTATTTTCAATATGCCTAGAAGCAAAATTCGATCTGGAGGTCAAATGCATCTGTTTTGTTTCCAGAGGGGGATATCACAGAGTACAGCTGTACAAACTACTGGCCAGCTTGGACTTCCATATTATCACTTTTGACTACAGAGGTCAGTAGTCATGGAAACACAATTCAGTTTGTCTTGTTATGCAATTCTAAGAAAATAACGCAATATATAGTTTTGAAAATGTTGTGCTATGTAACAGTATTATCAACCTCTTCCAAATGAAAAGCTTTGTTTATCATGTTTACTAAAGTACCATTACTAATTCCCTCGAGTGGAAGGTATAGAAAGCATGTAGGATATTTTAGTGTTATGGGTATGTTAGAGCTCCACATTAGCTGCGTGTTTGCGTAACACATGCACTATAAACCACCATAACTTAATTGAATTTGAGTTACTTATGTACAGATACTCATGAAATAAGAACAATAGTATAATGACAGTCTTCGTAGTTTCTAAAATTAGCCTTTTCAGCTCGTGTTGTCTTTCATATCTTTTGATTGAATGCAGGCATCACATATACATGAACTCTACTGCAGTGAATAATTAAAAAAATGCTACATTTTACTTATGGTAGCTCAATCACATTAAAATCAGATCTTAGTTCTCGCTACAGCTAAACAAAGATCTGAGGACATCCCATTACGGGTCCCGTCAGACCGACCTTACGCGAACTTTGACCGACCAATGGAATGACCAACCAGAAGGCAGCTTTCTTGTGCTTTACGGCACTAATTTCAAATTGGTGACTACGCTTCGAAACATAATTTGACACCTGAACAAAAGAACATTCTGGAATGGCTAATAGATGGTCTAGATTGTATGGATTCAGTCGTTAAACCCGTAACTATCGCTCGGAGTTAAAGTTTTCGAGGTTGCATGATTAGAAATCACATTCCGACTGTCACTTTCATAATCTGGTAAGCGATGCTCTGGTTAATCAGATGAAAGGTCGTTCTGAAGTGACCCCTAATGGGATGTCCTCAGATCTTTGTTTAGCGGTAGCGAGAACTGAGGTCTGATTTTAATGAGATTGATGGTAGCTGTAATTTTTAACACTGTTGGGAGCTTAGGCGCTAGGTGACAGATTCAAAGTCCCCTGAAACAGTATTGTGAGCATAATTATGTTGGAAAAGGTTCACTCATTGGTTTAAAAAATATCCAGTAGACTGGATCAAAGGGAGTTAAAATCTATGGAATACCCAAAGAAAACCATCAATATTCAAGATGAATTATAATGTGAGTAAATACTCAATGGCTACCGAGGAATCTGGAGCCCTATTATGTTATTGACAGTTCATTATGTCAGGGTCCATGATGTCACCTGTTCAGGAGCATGATGGGTATTTGGACATGCAAGGAATGGCCTCAGCTTTGATTGGTATCATGAAAATATGACGGATACATACATGAGCTTTATCTTGTGATTTTAGTAAAATTGAAAAGGGGAGGGGAAGGTCTTCTTGTTGAAAATGACTTACTGACAGTTCATTGTATAAATGGGGGGGCACGGGTGGCCTAGTCGTCTAAGGCGCCACGATTCGCTGTGCAGAGTTGCGTCCCTTGGGCACGCCAGAAACCTATGATTGTGGGTTTGAATCCCGTTTCGCCCCGATTATGTTTCTAGGTTTGTCAGCATCATACCTGTGCTCGTGGGTTTCACCGAAATGGTAAACTTCTAAGACCTGCATCACTTCGGGCTTTCCTCCAACATTAAGCTGACACGCCATGATATAACTGGAATAATGTTAAAAGCGGCATTAAACCCAACTCTCTCACTCAATTGTATTAGAAATGGTGGTTTTTCATACATCCGCCATGTTGATGCAGGTTTCGGAGACTCCACCGGCACCCCTACCGAGGACGGAGTCGTCCATGACTCCCACTTCATGTACCGGTGGATCAAGGAGAGGAATAATGGGCAGCCTATCTTTCTCTGGGGTCACTCACTCGGCACAGCGTAAGTCTTTTTTCTCTGGGGTCACTCCCTCGGCACAGCGTAAGTCTTCTTTCTCTGGGGTCACTCACTTGGCACAGCGTAAGTCTTCTTTCTCTGGGGTCACTCACTTGGCATAGCGTAAGTCTTCTTTCTCTGGGGTCACTCACTCGGCATAGCGTAAGTCTTCTTTCTCTGGGGTCACTCACTCGGCACAGCGTAAGTCTTCTTTCTCTGGGGTCACTCACTCGGCACAGCGTGTCTTCTTTCTCTGGGGTCACTCACTCGGCCCAGCATAAGTCTTCTTCCTCTGGGGTCACTCACTCGGCAAAGAGTGTCTTCTTTCTCTGGGGTCACTCACTGGGCACAGCATAAGTCTTCTTCCTCTGGGGTGACTCACTCGGCACAGCGTGTCTTCTTTTTCTGGGGTCACTCACTCGGCACAGCATAAGTCTTCTTTCTCTGGGGTCACTCACTCGGCACAGCGTAACTCTTCTTCCTCTGGGGTCACTCACTCGGCACAGCGTAAGTCTTCTTTCTCTGGGGTCACTCGGCACAGCGTAAGTCTTCTTTCTCTGGGGTCACTCACTCGGCACAGCATAAGTCTTCTTCCCATGGGGTCACTCACTCGGCATAGCGTAAGTCTTCTTCCGCTGGGGTCACTCACTCGGCACAGCGTAAGTCTTCTTTCTCTGGGGTCACTCACTCGGCACAGCGTAAGTCTTCTTTCTCTGGGGTCACTCACTCGGCACAGCATAAGTCTTCTTTCTCTGGGGTCACTCACTCGGCACAGCGTAAGTCTTCTTTCTCTGGGGTCACTCACTCGGCACATGGTAAGTCTTCTTTCTCTGGGGTCACTTACTCGGCACAGCGTAAGTCTTCTTTCTCTGGGGTCACTCACTCGGCACAGCGTAAGTCTTCTTCCTCTGGGGTCACTCACTCGGCACAGCGTAAGTCTTCTTCCTCTGGGGTCACTCACTCGGCACAGCGTAAGTCTTCTTTCTATGGGGTCACTCACTCGGCACAGCGTAAGTCTTCTTTCTCTGGGGTCACTCACTCGGGCAGACATGATACGTCCATGCATCTTCAATCTAAATCTATTATGATCATTTTAAACATATTTTCTTTATTAATTTTGCCATATTTAGGGTAATTGTAAAACAATTCAATTGATCTTGGTATGATGACTACTTATGTAAGTGTAAGCTTTACATGCAGGATAAACTAATGTATGTAAGTTGATGAACAACAACCTAATGTGTTTTTATTAAATTATTTTGTAATTATGTCACAAAATGTCGATATAATATGATTGTTTTTTGTTTGTTTCAGAATAACTACAAAATTAGCAAAGAAGCTCTGTGAACTGGGTAAGTTTGAAACGGTTTAAATATGTCCATACACCAGTATTCAAAAGTCATTGATATGCATGTTTGAGCATAAAGCCATCTTGCATCTTCTGAAACATATAAAACTTATAGATCTTTTGACTACCTGTACTCTACACTGTAGCTATATACTGTAATGTAAAGATCAGTGGCTCAAAGGCATGATTTTGCTTCAGTGTCAAGGTCATAGGAATACTCAATAAATGCTCTTGTTAAGGCAAATAAATGTTTATGCATAAAGTTAGCTTGCATCTTCTGAAACACATAAACACACACATATATCTTTTGACAACCTGTACCCTACGCTGTAGCTGCTTTCTGTAATTTAAAGATCTGTGGTTTAAAGGCATGATTTTGCCTCAGTGTCAAGATGTTAATTAGGAGTACTCTGTAGATATTCTTTGTTAAAGCAAATGCTAGTCAAGCCAAAGACCAGATCCGAACATTGGAACAATGTGTGAAATGGTGCCCTGCAATGTGATGTTGCTAGAATATTGCAAGAAGCAGCAAAAAATGACACTCACCACAAAGTTAAACCAAGATGCTGAATGAAAGAAGTTGTTACCTCTTCTGCAGTCACAAACAGACTGACAAACTAGCTTCACAAGACAGCTGTCTTAATGTTCTGATTGTGTAATAAAGGCACGTGTGTGTTACAGATGACCATCCACCAGGCATCATCCTGGAGGCCCCCTTTAACAACATCCGAGAAGCTGCCGCCAACCACCCTTTTGCCATTGTGAGTATCCAGGCTGGAACTGTGTGTATGAGAAGTAAGACAAATCCATCAAAATGTGAGATCAGTTTGTGAGATTTGTAGGCGAGACCTGTGAGCAAGATAGGTGTGTCAGATGTGGATTGTGCAGAGTAATTGTTTTTGTTTTTGTTTTTGGCACGGTTCCCGTCGGCGTCGGCGTCGGCGTCGGCGTCGGCGTTCCCACCGTTTCCGGACCATAACTCAGAAACCGTTTAATTTTTTTTCCGCGAAACTTTGTATACACATTAACCCAGCACTGAATTGGTGCCTTTTGCTATTTAGAGATTTTTGACATTTTTATTTTTTCTCGTTTCCATGGAGATAACTTGAACATAGACTCTGAATGGGGGGTAAGCTTGGTTTCCGGACCATAACTCATAAACCGTTTAATATTTTTTTCGCGAAACTTTGTATACACATTAACCAAGCACTGAAGTGGTGCCTTTTGCTATTTAGAGATTTTTGACATTTTTATTTTTTCTCGTTTCCATGGAGATAAGTTGAACATAGACTCTGAATGGGGGTGAGCTTGGTTTCCGGACCATAACTCGGAAACCGTTTAATATTTTTTCGCGAAACTTTGTATACACATTAACCCAGCACTGAAGTGGTGCCTTTTGCTATTTAGAGATTTTTGACATTTTTATTTTTTTCTCGTTTCCATGGAGATAACTTGAACATAGACTCTGAATGGGGGTAAGCTTGGTTTCCGGACCATAACTCGGAAACCGTTTAATATTTTTTTCGCGAAACTTTGTATACACATTAACCCAGCACTGAAGTGGTGCCCATTAGTTGTTTGAAATTTCTAGGAGTTCTATTTTTGTCTCTGTTATTTAGTAATGGAGGGTGGGAATGAAGAGATGGGGTTTAACGTGAAGTAAACGAATGAATGGGGGTTAGGGGAGTGGGGGGAGACATATGTTTTTACGAGTAAAAACACTTTCTAGTTATAACCTTATTATCCCCCGCCCTAACGAAGTGCGTGCGTGCGTGTGTGTGCGTGTGCGTGTGCGTGAGTGCATGTGCGTGTGTGTGTGCGTGTGTGCGTCCCGAAATCGTTTCCGGAGCATAACTCAGAAACCGTTAAATATTTCTCTATGAAACTTTGCATGTCTATCAGACTCATGCTTAACTGATGCCTTTTGCTATTTAGAAATTTTATAAATTTTTATTTTTTACGTTTCAATGGCAACAAGTTGGACTTAGGTTCTATAAGGGTGCTGTTCGTTTCCGGAGCGTAACTCTAAAACGGTTAACCGTTAAATAATTTCTTACAAAACTTTGCATGTTTACCAGACACATACTGAACTGGTGCCTTTTGCTATTTAGGAGTTTTATAAATTTTTATTTTTTACGTTTCCATTGCAACAAGTTGGACTTAGGTTCTATAGGGTAGAGTTTGTTTCCGGAGCATAACTCAAAACCCATTCAATACTTTCCAACAAAAACTCTGCATGTTTACCAGACACATACTGGACTGGTGCCTCTTGCTATTTAGGAATTTTAGAAATTTTTATTGTTTATGTTTCCATGACAACAAGTTGGATTTAAGTTTTAATATAGGATTGGTTTACTTAAGTAATATAACAAATAAACTGTTAAATATTTCCATGCCAAACATTGCATGTCTATATATAAAGCGCATACTGAACTAGTGTCATTTGATATTAAGGAGTTTTAGAAATGTTTATTTTAGAATTTCCATTGCAGCTATTTTGACATGGGCTAAGAGAAATGTTGGGTCAGTTACCTGGTTTGGGACCATAACGTGTTAAAATGGGCGGGGGATATAGATGACTTTGTCAACTATATGCTTGTTATTTAAGCAGTGTTGGTTTTAAAAAGAAGATATGGAACATGAATGTCAATAAAGAAGACATTCGTGTATCATGTCAATGTGGGGTTCTGGGATAGATTTGTAACCAGTCACCTATGCTTGACGTAAGAGTTGACAAATATGAATTTGTTGGTTGATTGCATGTCATCATACCCCGATAGGGGCGGTCGGCTAGCCTAGTGGTTAAAGCGTTCGCTCGTCACACCGAAGACCCGGGTTCGATTCCCGACATGGGTACAATGTGTGAAGCCCATTTCTGGTGTCCCCCGCCGTGATATTGCTGGAATATTGCTAAAAGCGGCGTGAAACCATACTCACTCACTCATACCCCGATATATTATTACATCACTTACAGCCTGCCATGAAATAGCTAGAAATTTGCTGTCTGTGGATACAACAACAAAGGAACAAAAAACAAGACTCTTTTGTAACACACAAATCTTGATATGATATTGGAACAATAGTGTCAAGGGGAAGTTTTCTTGTGGTAGGTTGAATATGGATCTGATATGGGGCAGTGTGTAGCCACATGTTTTAGCATTGGCATGGTATTTGTTAGACCCATGTTATCCTTAGCACATTGGGTACAATCTACAGTCCCTGCTGTGATGTGGCTGGTATAGTGCTTATAGTGTCATTATACCTCACTCACTCGTTGACAACTGCCTATGTGACACCTGTCAGGAATATTTAACTGCTGGCCCGTGGATGGTTAAAATTAAGAAAGGATTGCTGAAACGTAAAGTAGATAGCCCGTCTGGCAAGTCAAACTTTCACCCAATCTCTGTGTATGTTTTTTTTTTTAATTGGACACTGCTCGTATTTTGAGAAAAATATTTGGGAGGATAAGGTCATGTGAATGGTTAACTCAAAGATCACCCTGGTAGAATGACACAACCATCGTCCATACTCATAAAGTAGCCATAAAATGAGCCAACATATAATCTCAGAGTGCAGGAAAAGACGTTTTAGGGGTGAGGATCACATTGGGTAACTCAGTCATGACCTCCAACATTCAGTTTTGGGTCAGTTAGTTTGGAGAAGGGCCAGTAACTTTTGAAAGGAGCAAGCCCTACTTGCTACATACTACTAATTTGTTGTTAAATCTACCCCTGCCTGTTTTCTTGTGTGTCTTGGTTTGACTGACAATGACTTGTTCCACTTTTCAGCCCTACCGCCTTCTGCCCTGGTTCACCTGGGTCTTCGTTGATGGCATCAAGGAACATGGTATCCACTTCAGCACTGATGAAAAGTAATGTTCTTATTTATATAAATGTCAGACACACCTTTGTTTTACTTACCAGTAGCTGCATGAAAATTCAGCTGCATCATTAGATGCATCTTTGGGTATCAGGTGGTCAAAATGGATGTATGATGTGGTCAACACTTGATAGGTGACCACTAGGTTCTACCGACTCTCATGTGTGATCTGACTGTTGTCTTGGCAGCATGGGTTGACATCCATAAAATCAACCGCTGGTTTATCTGTGGCAGGTGGTACACTAGTAGTAATATTAACTACTGTGGTATAATTGATTTTCTTCGCAGTAAGTGACAAGTGCTGATCAGTATCTAATATTTCCTGTAGTAGAGGGGCGGTCGGGTAGCCTAGTGGTTAAAGCGTTCGCTCGTCACGCCGAAGACCCGGGTTCGATTCCCGACATGGGTACAATGTGTGAAGCCCATTTCTGGTGTCCCCCGCCGTGATATTGCTGGAATATTGCTAAAAGCGGCGTAAAACCAAACTCACTCACTCACTCACTCCTGTAGTAGAGGGCATTTAAAGCTTCCTTCGTGTAATGATGAAATTATCACAATAAATTAACAGTAACCATGGTAACATGGTTTATATTCTCCAAAAAGTATTCACATGAAATATGCAGTATCCAGTTCACTGCCACATTAATGTTTACAATTGTTACAATTACCTTAGTTCAGATGGACAATGAAAAGGCAGAAATTTCTTTGTATGCATTTAATGCATCATCCTAGTTCATACTTAGCATTAAATTGATTTATTATAGGTTTTCATATGTACAATTTCATTAAAATCAGATCTTAGTTCTCACTACCTCTAAATAAAGATCTGAGGAAAACTCTATTACAAGTCACGTTAGAACAACCTTTCGCAAGCTTTGACTGACCATTGCAATAAGTCAGCATTAGCCAGTCAGAGAGCAGCTTTCTCCAGCTTTATGACGCTATTTGTGAACTGGCAACTTCCATTACGGACTACGCTTTAAAAAAAATCAATTGAAAATTGAAAACTAAACACAAGAAAATTCTGTAATATCTAATAGATGGCAGAGATTGTGTGGCAGTACTTGCCGTTGCCACTGGCTATGGAAAGTCTCTTCCGTTATAATTTTCTTACCATTGACGCGAAAGATAGGCGATGAAGTGTCGTACAGCCCATAAGTGTCCTTCCTAATACCTTGTGTGAACCTTAAAAAACACATTCCGACTATCACTTTCCCGATCTGGTAAGCAACACTATGATTGGTCGGATGAAAGGTCGTTCTGACATGACCTGTAATGGAATGTCCTCAGATCTTTTTTTACCAGTAGCAATAACTTATTTGAATGAGATTGACTTAGGTAATTTATTTAGTTTTATTTCTAATCGACATATCAGGATATTTTTGAGTCGACTACAATTTCCACTCAGTCACACCCCTCATAAAGTGCTTGTCTTGAAAGTTGAGTTTTCCTCCTCAGTATTCGGAGTGTGAGTCCCCCCATTCTGATCCTCCATGCAGAGGATGATGCTGTGGTGCCATTCCATCTTGGAGAAAAGGTGAGATGCCTCGTCTCATTCCATGATGGTACCTGGCTCTAGGTCAGAATATGTACTTCACTCTCGTCAGAGAGAAAGAAACTGATACTGTTTGTTCAATCACAGTCAAGTAGCATTAAGTTAGCCAAGTTAAAGTTTCAAAACCTGTTTATGTTGTACCTGTGTGTAATTAGATATACCTTAATTACTGATTATTTATTATTTGATATATTGACAAGGATGTTCTTCCACCTGTAACGATTCTGTTCGTAGGTATGCGTGTAATGATTCATCAGTTGTTGGTTGCATACTCTGTTACTATGGTTACACAGTATGAGGATTGCATCAGTTGGTCATGTATCGATACAAGATGATACAGGTATCGAAAAGGGTGACATGTTAATTGACATGGACGTAAATGATAAAATTCTATTTTCTGAATATATGTACATGAGGTCTCAAGCTACTGTTTCATCTAGTGACTAAAATCTACGAAACAGTTTTAGTTGGGCTTCTATTAATTTCCTTTGATGATGGCAATGTTTCCTTCATATATCAAGTGTTGTGTTTTCATTGACGTTGAATTGTTTTACAACCTTACTGTTTAGATACACATGGTATTGCAACAAAGTGCGTCTTTATAGATCTATTTGAATAACAGTGTTTATCAAAGGATTGGGTTGTCCAAATAGCTGTTAAATACTGATTGGTTGTTGGTTGGTTAACGCCGCACTCAGCAATATTCCAGCTATATGACGGCGGTCTGTAAATAATGGAGTCTGGACCAGACAATCCAGTGATTAATATCATGAGCATCGATCCACGCTATTGGGATCGATGACATGCATCAACCAAGTCAGCGAGCCTGACCACCCGATCCTGTTAGTCGCCTTTTACGACAAGCATAGTCGCCTTTTGAGGCAAGCATGGGTTGCTGAAGACCTATTCTACCCCCTGAATCTTCATGGGTCATGTTAAATACTTAGTGATGGATGGATGAGTCACAGACTCCTGGTGGACTGGTTGAATCTGGTTGAATCTGTATCGTTGTGCCATAAGCTCTTTCTCCACCGGTCTGGTCTGGTCCAGGGTCCCGTTTCACAAAGCGATTTTAGCACTGAGACATTTGCAACTCCCATAGTTTAACATAGACTTATAACAATCATAGCACTAAGATCATTTTATTAAACAGGGCTCTTGTGATATAGCTGTCTCCTGTTTGAACTTGTTCACTCCGTTTGTAAAAAATTATATTTGTTTGAATACAGTAATTACACTGGCCCTTATTTTGTCCTACAGCTGTACGAACACGCCAAACAGTCCAAGCCGGATCACCATGCTGTGGTGGAGTTCAAGCGCTTTCCTGCTCACCATGGTTTTGGGCATAAACACATATTCAAATCGCCAGAACTGCCTGAGATTATCAGGTGAGAGATGGCTCTCTGATTCATGTTATTACATTTTCTTTACAATGTCATGGTTACAATGGCCAGATCACCCTCTTCATCTGTCCACATAATTTAAGACTTTTTTCAGGTTTTTTTATTGAAACATTTCAACTGAGATTTTGGTCATATTTATGTACTGACATGAACATGATTTTATAGATAGAAATATATTTACTGTCAGCACAGTCACATTCAACATTTACAAGTTGTGAATGAGTGAGTGAGTATGAATTTATACCTCTTTTGGCAATATTCCAGCAATATCACGGTAGGGGACACCAGAAATGGGCTTCACACGTTGTTCCCATGTGGGGAATCAAACCCCTTGCCTTCGACGTGACAAGTAAATGCTTTAAACACTAGGCTACCCCACCACCCTTCAAATTAATATCTTCCAGAATCTATATGAATCAAATTGAACACCAAGGACATGCAAAAGCAAGCTTAACAGGCTTAATGTAACGAAATTAGTTGCATGAAGGTTGAATTGCTATTGTCTTTCATGTGAATTTAATACTGACAAATGCCCCTGTTAATCCTTTTTTTGTTTTTGTTGTTTAATGCTGCACTCAGCAATATTCCAGCTATATGACGGCGGTCTGTAAATAATTGAGTCTGGACCAGACAATCCAGTGATTGACATCATGAACATCAATCTATGCAAATGGGATACGATGACATACATCAACCAAGTCAGCGAGTCTGACCACCAGATCCCATTAGTTGCCTCTTCCGACAAGCACAGTCGCCTTTTACGGCAAGCATGGGTTGCTGAAGACCTATTCTTCCCCGGATCTTCATGGGTCCCCCCCCTCCTGTTAAGTAGTTCACCAAGTCTTTAGACTTTACACAAGGTATAAGGTGGTGATGTTGTGACTTATCTGATTTGTGTTTACTTTGCCAATTAAGAAAATATCAATCAAGCTACCATATTAACTTCTTTTTTTTCAGGTCTTTTGTTCACAAGGCACTGGAGAGGAAGAAATAATCAAGATATTGCTGAAATTTCACAGCGGAACTCAGGGAATCACGTGATTAGCATTCCAAACTGTGGAATATATGGAAAATGTACTGCTGTTAATATTGTGATACACAACAAACTTCATTGTATTCCTGATCTTTTAGTCTTATATTAGGAGAGAGTATCCTTACACATGTTCTACGGTTTGTCATTTCTGATATTGAAAGTTCTTCTGCTTTCGTTTCACAGATGGCCCTAGTGGTCTGCAACACACTGTACAGAGTTGCATCCCTTTGCCATGCCAGTTTTTGCTCTAATGATGATCCTTAGTCTGTTAGGACTGTCTTTCGGTGGGGGGGGGGGGGGGGGGGTACAGTCGTCTAAGATGCCACAATTCGCTGTGCAGAGTTGTGTCCCTTGGGCACGCCAGAAACCTATGATTGTGGGTTTGAATCCAGGTTCACCCTGATTATGTTTCTAGGTTGTCAGCACCATACCTGTGCTTGTGGTTTTCACCAAAGTGGTAAACGTCTGAGACCTGCATCACTTCGGGCTTTCCTCCCACATTAAGGTGACACGCTGTGATATAACTGGAATACTGTTAAAAGAGGCATTAAACACAACTCACTCACTCACTATCTTTCGTTGTAGGTATATGGCAACGAATATACATGTATCGCTTTGGGCATTTCCCCCAAACTATTGCTGGAACTCTGTGATAGTGGTACAACTGATGTACTGTTAAACCCATCTCACAAACTCACTGTCCTACCTGCTTGTGTGTTCTGGAAACTGGTATTCCTGCAATTAAAGACTGCATGTTTATGTTGTTTGCATAGCCACATACATGCCTGAAATAGCCACATGTACACAACAACAAACAAGTATTCAATAACTGAATGAATGAATGAATGAATAATTTGAATAGAAAAATATGAATAATTATGTCAAATGTTTCATTCAAAGCAATGATTTTTTCAGTTGATCTCAAGAGTTAAAGACTGAAATAAGTCTTGATGATAAATGTATACTTTTGTTTTATAAAACTTGTAATTAGGGTTTTTAATTGATGAATTGTTTGTTTGTTTATATTGTTAATCTTTTGTCACAAGAAGGTAGCATGGTATTTTTAGACTTAAAAATATTTGTTTAGTCTTATGTAGAAAATTGTATTTTAGCACTTATTTATGTTGTGCTTTGTTTGTGCTTTCCACCTACCTTCTGCAAGAATTTACCGGATACCAATGACTTTTATGGCCTCCTTGTGGTGTGTTGCTTTGATTGACTTTATGCATTAATGTAAGTTATTAACTTAGCTAAACATTCATACACCGAAGTACATTATATTTGTTATCTCATCTTGTCTTGTCAGTATTTATTAAACATTAGAAATAAACAGGAAAGCTTCAAGTACCTGGTCAGCTCATTGTCCAAAACATGATCTTGCTCTAATTATTAACATGAACTCACCCTTATTTTGTCTTTTTGTATGCTAAACATTTGCCCATAAACTCCCAGTAGTGCTGACAGGTTTCTACAGTGTGATTGGCCTCTTATACTTTGACCTTGGACGTGGGAGTTATGTGTTGATTTGTGTGGTTGATTTCATATTATTGTACCTGATTTGCACTTCACATATGTATTGGTGTTGAATGCGAAGGTGTTGTGTTGGAAACGTTATTTATCAGGGTTATAGTTAGGCATGCTTATATTAACATTGAACTGTGTGAAAAATATTGGTCACTCCAGACAAATGTAGAGGAAGGCATAAGCATATACTCCGAAACATTGTGTTTCGTCATAATAAAGAAGTTGACATCCATAAATTCTCTTCCTTATCCGTAGATGTGGCCATTGGTATGTTATTCTGAGACTAGTGAACATCAAGAGGGTCGGCCTAGATACCTGGTACATAAATCACAACTCGGAATGAGGTGAGGACTGGTTGGATACAACTAGTGGTGTCTTTGTCCAACCTATCATGACTGAAGTAATGAGTGTTGGAGTGAAATGGTTCAAACGAGACAATCTTGACATTATTGGTCAATTTTGTGTTCCGATCCACATCTTGACATTATTGGTCATGTTATCGTCCCGCTCTAGATCTTGATATTATTGGTCATGTTTGTGCCTCGCTCTAGATCTTGACATTATTGGTCATATTTGTGTCCCGGTCCACATCTTGACATTATTGGTCATGTTTTTGCCCTGCTCTAGATCTTGACATTATTGGTCATGGTTTCGTCCCGTTCTAGATCTTGACAATATTGGTCATATTTTTCGTCCAGTTCTTGATCTTGACATTATTGGTCATGTTTGTGTACTGCTCTACATCAGAAAGTGGACATGCTATAATATGACTGAAATACTGGGTTTAAACTTACCTACTTGACGCGGCTTCCAAGGGATAGGCTGTCTGTGTCCTATGGTTAACGGAGTAATGAACTTATACTACTATTGTATGTGGTATCAATGCAGTTTACAGTAACCTGGAGCAACAGGCATTGGTCCCTTTCTGAAATACCTGCATTGGTCTCTTCCTTAAATAAAAGCTTGTACATTCATCCTGATGACATATTTATATATATATGTATGTTGTTACAGTGCCTTGACAGAATGTTGTTATCTATATTTTACACAGAACCTTGTTATCTCTCTATGGCATAATAACCAGTTTTAGTCCGTGGATTGTTATCTCTATAGATCTGGCAATAACCACGATGGTGTGGTCCAAGGAACAGACCACTAGTGGGATTGGCCAAGCCATGCCAACTTAATAATTGGAACAGCTTCTTGGCGCTAAGTTTGTGTCTCAGCATGTTTCACAGAGAAGTGTATGTCGTTAACATATACTTGGGTAATACGAAACATTGAAAGAGGAAATGAAAGATGTGCTGTATCTTGGAGACAAGGTAGATAATCTCTTGCTTTAATATTTGGAAGAAAAGGCTTTTGAGATAACAATTCTGCTGTTAACATGGTTTGTTCACTAAATGTTGTTAGTTTGAATACTAGTATTAGATCTGACATATTGTTAATTTTGGTAAAGAGAAGACAGGTTTCAGTGTAGATGGGAGACGAAGGACATTGAAGAGAGCAGGACACCTGTATAACGTTTTGTATTTGTGACAGAAAAAGCAAAAGGTATTTGAAGTAAGGGAGGATCGTGAAAACAAATAAATAGCCATTCTAGTGATTATTTATGTTTGTATGAAGAAGAGAAACAACCGGCTAGCACGTTCAGGTGCTTGTTTCCCCACTACAGATGAACCTTTGTAGCAGTAATGAGTAGATACTAGTATGTTTGTCACAAGAGAGGTAATGGATGGACGGGTAGTGGTTGTCGTCTACATAATGGTGTACATTGCTGATGTAGCTAGAATGTGTCATGTGATTTTTAACCATGTCAAGTTTATTGGAGAGGGCCTGTTTCAGGTATTGTTGCCATGGATACAGCAGCATGTCACACTTGATATTTGAGCTGGCTGTTGTTTCGGAATGTGTTGGCCAGCAGGGAGAGGTGTCTGAGCAGATTGTGCTCTGTTATCAAACTGAACAATGCAAATGTGTTTTTCTTCCCGTGATATATGTCAGTGTTATTGAATAAATGTTGATAAGAGTTGGATTGAGTTATTATCTTATATATCTACAGGAAAGGGGAGGGTTTTATGTCTTCCTGGAATTAGGCACTAAACGCAATAAAATGAAAGAGAGCCTGTGGAGAATCGACCCCCAGTACCACATGATGGTCCAAAGAACGGACTAGGCGACTATGCTTGTGGTAAAAGGCGACTATGCTTGTGGTAAAAGGCGACTAACGGATTGGGTGGTCAGGCTTGCTGACATGGTTGATGCATGTCATCCTATCACATTTGTGTAAATCGATGCTCAGTAGTCCAGACTCTTTCATTTACAGACTGCTGTCACACAGCTGGTATATTGCCGCGTGCGACATTAAACAGCAAACAAAACAAGAACAGAGTAATAATGGTAAGTTAGTAACAATGTGTTACCTGGTGGACCTGGGCTCGAGTATTCATGGGTTGCCATGATACAGCTGGAATACTGCCAATTGTGTTATTAAACAACATCCACTCATTCATCCACAGTCAAACAAGCCGACTCATCGAGATATGACTAAAATCGGCATATCGGTAAATATAAACTGCTGTGTTCATTCCACCCTTACATATGCTCTCCAAGAAAAGTAGGGGATATTCTAACAAAACAGATTATTACAGAAATACAAAGAGGTATCAATGTGGTAATGGATGGATAAGTAGGAATGGTCCTCATTGGTTTATACATCATGGCATGGTCACCCAGTGACAATTTGAGGGTGTCTTGTCTACTCTTGCAGTGCCTGTCCCTGGCCTTAACATATTGGGTGATCTTTGACGTTGGTGTACAGTAGGGCTGCAACGAATACACTATGAGGCGAATACGATTCATATCACGAATATAGGGTAACGAATACGAATATTAATTCACAATTACAATAACAAGTCAGCAGTTTATGTATTATTTATTATATTCAGTGAACCAATAAATTCATAATTTATTTGACATGGTTTGTTAATTATTGATAAATTATACATTTATATACTGCACTTATCCAGGTACTAGTATCTGCTCAAATGCGAAAATGACCAGTGAAAACAATACTATCAAATTAAATATTATTAGAGTGTTGTCAATTAAAGAAATCTATGCATATAATATGTTGTTATGGAGATTTTTAGGTACAGGGTATGTAAATATACATGATAGCATATTCATAAATATTTAATTCTAGTGGCCATGAATAACGAATTCAATTCATGAATGGTTACGGTTCGATTCACCGAATACGCGAGTGAATCGTTACAGCCCTAGTGTACAGGTCCCCGAACATCTCCCAGACGTGTTCTCTCGGGGAAGGTCAGAACTCATGGCTTGCCATAGCATTCTGGTGACGTTCTGCACCTGGAGGTAGTCGGTTACGATACGTGCACGTGGACACAGGCGTTGTCTTCTTGAGAGACAAAACCCTGGAACAGCATGGCCTGTAAACGGCACAACTATTAGAGCCACTTGTTTGGGCTCGATTACTTAAAGCCTGATGTCTGCTAAATCGACAATTTTCATAATGGTAACCATGTCTGTATTTTGAGGGCAATACCTACCTGATTCTTTCCTCCCACTCTGTTTCAAAGAGACGCTTCTTTGCATCGCCTCAGAGCTGAAAAAGATCTTTCTGCTTCTGCACTACGGATGGGAAGAGTGAAAATAATATTGGGTTTAATGTAGTAGAATCTGTGTACAAAATGTTTTCTTTCGTTTTCTAAAGATGGACAAATAAACAAATAATGAAATTCATCACCTATGTCAGATAATTTGCAAAGTTGGCATTTCCTTTCGGTTAAAGGTATTTTTCTCCATCTCCCAGTTTCAATAGGTAGATCATGATTACAAGTTCTAAACTTAAGTAAGACTCGCCACTCGACGGATCACTGACTGCCGAAAAACAGAATCTTATACTTATGAACTCACACAACTCAAAAAAAGGTTTGAATGTCCATCGCGTCTTGCACAAACCCTTCAGTACTTTGACTTTACTTTGAGAACCTCATTTGTCCCAAACAAATTAAAATAACCTTCTTTTGTGTTACGTTAAAACAGAGGTGCACCTTTGACAAGCACTCATCATGTTTCTGATTGCTGGCATCTTGAGGGATGAGGCTATGCTAAGGTTCAGAACATGACTACAGCAGTGCGTGATGAGTGCCAGCGGTTTTCTCTTCTTTGACTGGTGTTTGCAAACCTACTTTTGAGGTAAACATGGATGCAGCTCCACCATACATGCCTGTCCTCTGACATCGTTAATACCAAGCCATGTTTTCTCAAGCCATCTTTGATACCAGTTGCATTGCCTCACCACTGGTTCTGTCCAAAAACATAAAACGCTCTCTGATTCAAGAATCGAAAGAGTTTTCTACAAAACGGAGAGGTACACTCAAAAACTCCTAATTGGTTGTCTGTGTAACCTCATCTACTATGACTGAAAATACGTACACATTCTTCTTCATGCAGGCTGTATGTGACTTGTGATCTGATAAACTCATTTTGGGTGTATTCTTTGTGTAGGTTGCATTCTTTTTACAGGTGATTTTGATTTACATCAAGAACTGCCAGGAAGCTGATTTTACTAGAGGTTGTGTTTGTATCCCTTAATGACTTTCCACGTAACATTGCTTTCACAATACATTCGAGAATGTGCGTCCTCTTTTCCAAATGTTCCTTGTCTACTTTTGAAAAGTAAAGACTGCTTTGGTTCCTCGTGGACAGAAATACAGTAAACTACGTTTATAACGAACACGGTTATAAGGAACTGACGGATATAACGAACACGCTTATAAGGAACTAAGGATATAACGAACATATTTTTTGGGTCCCGGCAATTTGCTGTAAATATGCTTCTAACGAACTACGGTTATATCGAACTAATATCAGTGGTCCCTTTGAGTTCGTTATAACCGTAGTTTACTGTTTTTCGCCTTATGAACATAAAGCATCTTGTCATGTGTTACTGATACTCCTTCCTTTCCTTTGGATTTTGAAAACGTCAGAAACAGACGCCTAACAAGCATCGTGTTGAGGAAACAAAACACAGTATTAACAGAAAAAGACACGCTTTGGGATGGACTGTATACCATATTGCCGAGGCAACGGAGTTAACTGACAATACATGCCAGTGGAAACTGGAGTTTTATAGTCTGTTAACGATCTTGGCTCGGGGTGATGACTGTATTCCAGCCATTAATATTTCTTCAACCAGAAGTGAATGAGTAGGGTGGATTTAACGGCACTTTGAACAGTATTCCAGTATCCCGGCGTGTGAGCTTGGTGTAGGACGTAAGCCCGAATTGATGCAGGTCTTAGGCTGTTACAATTTTGGTGAAAGCCCAATCTCATTAAAATCAGATCTTAGTTCTCGCTATCGCTAAACAAAGCTTTGTTTAGCGGTAGCGAAAACTAATATCTGATTTAATGGGATTGGTGAAAGCCACGAGCACGGGTTTTGTGCTCAGAAACCTTGAAACATAACTGGGGAACCGGGATTTCTACCCCACGTTCATACGTTTCTCGTCTCTTGTCTCGACTTTGGTCAACTATATCCAGTACATCAAGTGATAACAACATTGAAGAAAGAGAGTAGCATCGTGATCAGTACAATTCTTGGATACTAAGATACATTTCTGACATGGTCAAGGTGTGTGTACGAAACCGAATTCAGAAAAAGTTCTGATGCCAGGAGTGCACGCAAGAAGGATGACAAAGAACAATCTCCACACAACAGAAATACACAGTTGTAGAAACAGTTACCAATACATTTTGCTTTCAAGGCAAAGTATCCATCCTCGAAGTCACATGACAATAGGGCATTAGTTAGATTGTCGGTGGGAAATGTTTTGAAATCTGCTTGATTTATTGTCTGCATAGAGAGGTTAATCTCATCTTTAAACCCTTGGAAAATATCAATAGCCCCGCTTATATTATTCTGATTGATACAGTCCTGTAGATGTGTGAGATCGGTCATATTTACTAAAATGTCAATAGAGAAGTTCCAAGATGAAAACTAACAGGAAAACAGAATCAATGCAAGCAGCTTCGGGAAATAAACGTTCAATCAGCGTATACAGGAGGGAAACACAAACCAAAAACAAATAAGTAAGCTTTAAAAGTATATTTGGGCGCGAGAATGCTCAAAATACAACACACCAGAATTTATTACTATTATTGAACAGGAATATTCACTTAATTCCAGAGCAAATTAAATATTCTAAGTTCAACATGGACGTCGACCTAACCCTTGTTTAGAAATAAAAACACATTTTCTTTGTGTTATATCTCAATATACGTTTAGAGTAGTTATATCAACAATTTGGCCAAACAAATGGCCGGGGAAAAAAACAGTTCGTTATATCCGTCAGTTTGTTATAAGCGTGTTCGTTATAAACGTAGTTGACTGTACATAAATACAGAATGACGCTATGATACACTGGATAATGGAGGGTGTTCTTGTGCCTTCGCTGATCAATTGGAATAAAGGCAACAAAAAACATTTCCATGGCCTCAAGAAATCTCAGCTGTAGCAGTCATTGTCATGTCATTGGTCTAAGGGCGGTTACTCTAAGTTTGCTAATCCCTCTTGGAAAAATAGACTGTTCCGGAAGTCAACGTTAGGTTGGGAGATTCCAAATGTAGGGGATTTCCAGTCACGAGTTGTGTATGACAACACGGAGGAGGAAACTAACTTTGAAGGAAGAAAATCGAGTCATAAACAGCTGACATACTTGCGAACTTTGGGCAGTCATGGGGTATAGTAGAGATAGGTAAGATTTAAAGTTTATTTTGTGTTTAGTTTGGAAGTAACTATGTGAACTATCAAAGTAATTATCCGCTGCTTGCAGTGTTGCTGTCGACTAGTCTACGAGGTTACAACTTTTGACAACAATCTGTCTTGACGTGAGTCGAGTTAAAAATAGAACACTGTTCGACCTCACAAAGACCGTCACCCCTGTGTCAGTTCAGGCGGTGCCGTTATTCTGATTATGATGATGGCGTGTGTTTCTAGTGATACCATGGATGACATCAGCTTATTCAAATGTTAGGCCACTAATCGACAGTGATGAAATGGTTGGCGATATTGTAAAGCTGGCATGCATCTTCACGCGTTCAAAGTTAACAGATGGAACAAAATATTTCAGATAAGACATGAGGCATGTAGAATCATGTTCATCTGAATTGATCCACAGAACACTTGTCTGCCAATATCCAAATCCCCATCTCATCTGTAGTATTGGTACAGCTTGGAGTCTGCATACTGACTGTGTCCATTCACAGGACCATGTAACTAATAATAATAACAAACACACTTGCAGGCGAGCCCGAAAGCTGCGAGTTTGTTTGTTATTGTTATTAATTACATGGTCCTGTGGTCCATGTTAAACTGCTATTTGGTATTTCAATGGGCTAGCCCAGCACAAGCAGCCCTCCCTATAGTATATGACCAGTCCCTATATAGGCCTTATGTTCAAATTTTATGGTCAACTTTTTTATTTAAAAAAAATAGAACTGTGTCAGTTTTTCATGCCAAACATGCCTGCCGATCAGTATTTTAGAAATAGAAAACTCTTAAACCAAGAAATCACAGATCTAAGCTGCAGTGTGTATAGTTTCAAATTGTATGCAGTTTGAACTTGCTTCGATGTAATTAAAGAAAGGTATTGTTAAGTTATTGAAATGTTCAGAGGAATGGCGATGGTAATGTCACTTCCAAAATGAAGCTACGGGTGTGAGAAAATATTGCTTCACATCACATAAGCAATCCTACAGCCACTCACAGCGATGATGGAATTGAGGCATAATACCCTGGATAATCTAGGTTGTAGTATACATCAAGGACACTGCCAGGTACCTAAGTCTTTATTAAGTGAATGTATTGGTCAGTGATCCAGGTAAATACATTTTGAGTGTTTACTCACATGTTACTATTCACATTGGGTATTTATAGTTTTCTTTGGGTATTCAATAAATCTCATTAAAATCAAATCATAGTGCGCCCCACTGCTTCACATAGTGGTATCAAGCACATAAATCTGATTTTAAGGACATCTGGTATTCAATAAGAACGTATTAACATTTTCAACTGATTGTCATCCAAAATGTTTGTAAGATATTTTATAAATTTTGATAATGATATAAAACAATGTTCTATCAAAAGCTTGTCTTGTAAATAAGACACACTGAAAATTATGAAGGAGGTATTAACCATCATTAGCAGGTGGTTCATTAGAGATTATCAAATTGTTGGAAAACAGATTAATGTGAGTACCAGGTGGTGGTTGTGTGCTCCAGGTTGTGTAGAGTCACACTTGAAATAGGATACCTGGAGGCTGGTTTTGTGAAAAGATGTGTCTGATATCACATTTCAAAACAGTAGGTGGTCTGCAGAATTTATTGAAGTTCTAAACATTATCAGAGGGCTTTTTGTTTGAGCACATTTATCAGTTAATGGATGTGATGTAAGTGATTTAAGTGATGAAACCCCCCATGGAGCCCAACTTAAATTATTCCAGATATGATTGTGAGCTAATCCAGGAAGAACTGGCAAAAACAATTTGGTGCCAATTTTTTACCCAGAATGCGCTGAAGGAAATTTAAATTCTTGTTGTATTATGGAGGTTTGAATTGATTCTGTGGCCTATTTTTAAGATTCTGCACCAAACACTCACAATACCCGTTGTGAAATGTGAAATTTTGTTACAAGAAAGACTGGCGAAACAATGTCCTGTGACAAGAGGGTTAAGGGGGTCATCGAGAGTGCATAAGCTACTATCAGTGATGTATCATTTCTACATGCAATGTCACTGATAAAGAAGAAGAAGATTCCGGGGTAGAATAGGTCTTCAGCAACCCATACTTGCCGTAAAATGTGACTATGCTTGTCGTAAAAGGCGACTAACGGGATCTAGTGGTCAGGTTCGCTGACTTGGTTGATGCGTGTCATTGATCCCAATTGCGTTGACCGATGCTCATTATATTAATCCCTGGGTTGTCTGGTCCAGACTCGATTATTTACAGACCGCCATCTTATAGCTGGAAAAGTCCTTAGTGCAGCGTTAAACAACAAACCAACCAAGTCACTGATAAAACCCAGTAATGTTGAGCGGTTTCAATATTTGTTTAAATATAGCCGGCAGAGGTGCATTTTAAAGCAAGCGACAGTTTATGACATTTATATTCGATAGATATTTTTTTCACTTTCATTCTTGGGGATAAAGGGATTATTATTGGGAACTAATAAGCATATTTTGTTTGTCCGATTCTGTAGTTTTCATTGATATGCATAGGAATGCAGTTGTTAGGTATTTGTTTATTGACGCTGCACTCCTCCAAACACTACAAACTCTATCTTCCGTGTGACAATGAATCAGTTAGGTTTGTGATGACAAGGGACCTGTGAAGATATGAGTTAGAACAGGTCTTCAGCAACCCATGCTTGCGTGGTGACTATGCATATGCTTGTCGTAAGAGGTGACTAATGGGATCGGGTGGTCAGGCTTGCTGACTTGGTTGATGCATGTCATTGTATCCCAATTGAGTGGATTGGTGCTCATGATGGATCACTGGTTTTTCTGGTCCATACTCGATTATTTACAGACCGCCGTCATATAGCTGGGATGTGGCGTTAAACAACAAACAAACAAACAAATGTAATGACAAGGATGGATACGAGCTGTGTAGGGGCTAATGGGATGATTGTACCCCACTCACACAGTTACACACTGGTCATGTTGATATGTATCACATATATATATTTCATGTACTCATATTTACCAATGAAGTTGGAAAGAAATTCTGTGGCTTGCTCCTTGTCTCCCTGGTATTTCCTGGGGAGACTTCACTTCCAACCCTGCAATGATCAACCATTCCTTTGATCTGTAAATAATTACACATGCATTATCATCAATGTGCAACATAGCCAAGTATTGTTATTTATAAGGAAAGATTCTGAAAATTTTAAATTATGTTCTTTTACATTCAATTGCTGGAAAATACAGAAACAAATAACACCTTATTATGATATGTGATTTATTGGTCGGAACAAAACAATGACCAATGATAAATTATAACTGATGCTTAACACTATGCCATGATACAGCTGGATATTGCTTAGCCTGGCATTAATTAACATTCACTCACCTTCAAGTTTGTGTCATCTCTAGTCCGTAGATTGATGCTCATGATGTCAGTCACTGGATTGTCGGGTCCAGACTTGATTATTTACAGACCACCGTCATATAGCTGGAATATTGCTTGTGTGGCATTAAACAACAAACAAACAAACAAAATACTTTGATGCCTTGCCCATCACAGTGTTTGTTACTTGCAGGACATTCCTGGGTTACCTCAAGCGCTTCCAGCTGCGGTTCCTGCTGGTGATTGTGGTGTTCCTGTACGTTGTCGTACCGCTGCTGGTGTGGCTCAACCCCAGCATCGTCAACATTTTCATATTCGGAAACTACTGTGAGTTCAGCGTCTTTTTCAGTCATTTTCAGTGAAATTTTGATCCTGATATTTAAACAATCCAGGAATCTTGCTATAAGTTACCATGGCTACTGTCAGATTGTTATCGATATAACTCAAATCATTAACAGGGCCCCGTTCCACAAAGTATTCTTAGTGCTAACTCCTATACTTTAACGTAGGCTTACGATAGTCGGAGCACTAAGTTCGCTTTGTACAATGTGGACCTGGCCAGCAGATCTAAATAACACCATCATGATCAAAGGTCACTAGCCTTCAATGATTCAGATGACAGGTGCCCTAAAACTCTATCGACTATTTCATCTGTTCCCCCTGCAGTTGTGCTGCCCTTCTCGGACCTCTCCCACCCCAGCTCCTATGGCTTGCACGATGCCCGCCACCTCCAGATTGTCAGTGATGACGGTTTACAACTGGGGATATGGTAAGTGAGTTTGTAGTAGTCTGTATATCTTTTTATTTGAAATCTTAATGGTAAATGGAGTCGTTTATAATCCAGTGATTATCCAGTGAATCTCAATTCTTTTATGATATATACCCTGGGCTCAATGGCCTCACACCCCACCCCCCACTACTACACAACTCTGGTACTCCCACCATCACTACCCAGCAATGCCTTGTGGATGAATAAGGGGTTTTGATAATGACAATAACAATGAGTCTGTGTGATATGTTCCAGGCAGCTGTTACCAGCCTCACTGAGTGGTCAACCTTTTGAGCAGGCTTTGGCATCAGGAAAAGAGATCATTCTTTATTTACATGGAAAAGGTCAAAATAGGTAAATACTCACTTCTCACTCCAGTGAGTGAGCGAGGATGGTTTTATGCCGCTTTTAGCAATATTCAAGCAATATCACCAGAAATGGGCTTCACACATTGTACCCATGTCAGGAATCGAACCTGGTTCTTTGGCGTGATGAGGGACGCTTTAACCACTAGGCTACCCGACCGCCCCTCTCACTCCAGACTCACTTGCTCCCTTTTTCACTGACTCACTGACTCACTCTTTCTTGCACCTGGATTAAACTAAATCTCATATTTGACTCTTCCATTAATGTTCATCATTTTCTTTGTTAAAAATAGTAAAAGTTTGTTTTGAATATTTGTGTGATATATTTTTCAGAGGAAGTAAGATTCGTGTAGGCACATACAAAGCACTCACGCGGATGGGCTTCCATGTCGTCACCTTTGACTATCGAGGTAGGCGTTAGACACCTGGCATCTTGTACTTTACCAGTATTGGAGAATATTTCCTGCTCTTGTTGCTTACATGCTCTCTTACTGTTACAATAATTACCCAGAAACTAATACCCCGTTCACATGCACCTCTATAAATATCTGTGTAGATTTGCATACATGTGTAATTATACATACATGGGTACACTTGTCATGTGGACCTGTTTACTCCAGCATGTATATTTACATGGTTTTACACCAGGAGCAAATTTGCACCATGTCTGGAGCAGGTGATTTATACCCTGTTTACATGCATACATTTACTAACGTAAGTACTTTTGCACATGAGTAACATACGTGTGTATATGTAAATTTACTATGCATTCACAGGAAAATCAACTTAGGTGTGTAAATAAAGTATGTAAATTGTGTAAGGCGCACATATTCGTCAGTCTGTTTACGACTTTCAACACAAAACAGGTTGTTTTCCAATCAAAGTTGAATGAGAAGACAGTTACTTCACCGAAAATTTTCAGGTGAAGCAACATGTGTTTGATTTAATTTGTACACAAAGTTTTGACTCCTTGAAACCAAAAGAAAACACTGTCCACTCAACTCTGTATGTACACATATAAGTTGGCAACTGTTGACAATTTGTTTGGTGGCAAAAGAACAGATATTAATTAGATCATCCTCTTACGTTGACATAAACGTTGACATTGCAACATATACACAAAGTGAAAATTTACATTTACATTTGCACCTGCTCCAGACATGATGCAAATTTGCTCCAGGTGTAAATATACACACATGAGTAAACGCGTTCACGTGACAAGCATACTCACGTATGTATTTCTACACACATATGCACATATACACACATACGTATAGAGGTGCATGTGAGCGAGGTATTAGACTGTTGTGGACTGAAAAATCTTTATTGTAATTTACAGACCTCTGTCAGGGAACAGTCCTTGCATGTCTAAGGGAAATAAGTGTTGGGTTTCTATTTATCATTGTTATGACATCAGTAAGTTTTGCAGACATTACACTTAGCTGAGTTATAAAAGTAGTCTCAGTTAGTGAGGTGCCATACTGTGCGGGTATTTAATACAGTGTAGTCCTGATTGGTTTGATTATGGACCCATGAAGATCCGGGGTAGAACAGGTCTTCACACACCCATGCTTGCCGTAAAAAGTGACTATGCTTGTCGTAAGAGGCAACTAACGGGATCGGGTGGTCAGGCTTGCTGACTTGATTGATGCATGTCATCGTATCAAAATTGCGTGGATCGATGCTCATTTTGAGATTTGATTATTTACAGATTGCCGTCATATAGCTGAAATATTGCTGACTGTGACGTTAAGAACAATCAGACAGAACATTTTGATTCTGGTAGTAATATCATCATAATAGCTGCTTCATATCCTGATAGATTTTACCACATGATTCAGTGTCATGTCTGGAAATGTTTAAATTATATGAAAACTTAAATTTATGATCAAGAATAATTTCATTTCCTACTTTCACTCCTCCATAAGACAAGGACCTGTTGTCATGGTAATGAGGGATCTCATTGTGTGTTGTATTTGACTGAATCCAGTGTTTTCTTGTTAGTGTAGAAAACACGCTCTTCTCAAGTAAGCTCAAAGATTGATTCTTTGTAGGGGTTCTTTGCCTTTAGGCATTGTAGTCTATGGCGTCAAAAACATGCTTCTGACTCTGTGCCTGACTCTCTGTTTCTGACCATGCTGACTGTTTCTGATTGTGAATGATTCTGTTTATGAGATTCAGTTTCTGATTTTGTGAGTGACTGTTTTTGAATCTGTGAATGATTCTGTTTTGGACTTTCTGAATGATTCTGTTTCAGACTGTTTTTGAATCTGTGAATGATTCTGTTTCTGACTGTTTTTGAATCTGTGCATGATTCTGTTTTGGACTGAATGATTCTGTTTCAGACTGTTTTTTGAATCTGTGAATGATTCTGTTTCTGACTGTTTTGGAATCTGTAAATGATTCTGTTTTGGACTGTCTGATTGATTCTGTTTCAGACTGTTTTTGAATCTGTGAATGATTCTGTTTCTGACTGTTTTGGATATGTGAATGATTCTGTTTCTGATTTTGCCAGGCTATGGTGACTCCACGGGTTTCCCGACTGAGGACGGCCTCATGGCCGATGCTCTCACAGTGTACAACTGGGTAAAACGGCAGTGCCAGTCTTCTCCTGTCTTTATATGGGGGCATTCTCTTGGAACTGGGTCAGTATTTACCTCAAATCAAATCTACATGGTCAGATGTGTTCTCGATCAATATATGAATATGTCGAACATAAATATTTTTCATGATCTGTGAGGAACTCTTTTTAATTTTTTCCCTACAAAGAACACTAAGTAACACAACTATCCTCACACTGAACTCGACTCTTGAGTACAATGTGAATTGTCAAGCATGGCTAACACAGTTTGCTTCAGAGGACAATTTGAAATTTGAAGAATATTTTTTCATGGGCATTACAAATGACTGACATGCAGTATTCAAAGCCTGTGAAACGTTTCCAACCATGGGAAAGTAACCATAGTTTGGAAAAGGCAGTGGCAGCTGTGGTGAATGTGAACTTTGGTCATCTTTCGGACAGATCAGACATGACAAGTGTTGTTCATTGTAAAATCTAAAAGATTTAAAATTTAAATTTGTCTTCTTTACCATTACATCACATAGTTGTTTGTATGTGTGATATGCTTGTATGCTGTTTGTTTATGTACCGATATATAAATGTGTGTATTTGTGTGTTTGTGTATTTGTGTGTGACTTGTGTATTTGCATCATAATATTTGCAACAGTATGTACAATTAGTCTAAATCTATTATTTTATGTACAGTTTACTCTTATTAATTGTTAAATGTCCTTTGTAGGGAGAGGTGTTTAAATAGGTTTAAACTGTTCACCAATCCCATTCCTTTTTCTTGGAAATAAATATTGTTTACATCACAAGTGCTGACAATATCATTTCAGAGTAGCTACCAAGCTGGCCAGACACCTCAGCTTAGAAGGTATGTTGACATGGTTTATGGGTGCTTTTCTCTTAGGAAAATCTTTTTCATAAAACTTGTGTAATGACATTGTCATGTGTATCAATTTGTCATATTTTGTCAGCATGACATCTTGAGCTTTATGATATTGTGAGATGTAAAAACACAGCGTTTTCACTCATTCATATGTTGTTTTCAATAACAAAATTGCAAGACGGCATGTCATGAAACAAGCCACTTTGTTGTCACTGTACTAAATTGGCTTCTCTCCTGTTAATCCCATTGGCTTCCCCGTTACCATGGTTACAGGGTTACCTTTGAACATGAATCCTACCTTGTGTAAAATTCTTGCATCAAAATTCTGTGATGTTATATTACAATTTCATTAAAATCAGATCTAAGTTCTCGCTGCCGCTAAACAAAGATCTGAGGCCATCCCATAACGGGTCAGGTCAAATAAGCTGCTTTAATCAGGGATTATTGTGATTTGTTAACCTTTCGCATATTCTAAAAACACAGGGCAGCATCTGGGGTTGTACGTTGAGTTTCCCTGCGTTGTTACTCTGTGCAACTGTCTGTCCATCAGTTCTCCCATTTAAACATTTCCACTCCTCAACTCTGGCCTTCGTAATATTGTATATTCCATTGTCCATGTATTTGTCAAGGCAAAACAAACTGAGCTTTTCATTTCCTTTCACATTACCTACAAGATTAACATTCCATGTTTCCAGTTGGCAGCTGTGTTAGATTTGACAGTGTTTGGAATTGAAAGGGCAACTGATCATGTATGAGAAAGATGTGCTTTCCTTTAGGTGATTTTTGTTGTTGTTGGTTTTCGGACCCACTGACATGAAAAATAGCAAAACTTTGATGGTATAATAATAAATAAAAAAAGAAGTTAACTTCAAATATCACACAAATTAGTTTCATTGCGAAATAGGCGAAGTGTTAACCCCAAAGTCTGACCGATTAGAGTTACGGCCCTTCAATATGACATATCTGGTTGTGCAGTCATTTAGTTTGTGAATTGATTTACGATATTACATGCCTTATGATACTGAAAACAAGATTCAATAAGCACACAATTGAAATAATTCAATTGGTTTTTAACTCTACCTCCAACATATTCACTTGAAGGCATTTTTTTTTTTGACCACCGACATTGTAAGAACAAACTAAAATTCTGTAAACCAACTAAAAAAACATTAATCCCCTTAAATATCGGCTCCTCCTGAGATGCGGCAGCCATATCAGCTGTTTCAATCATGGTTTGTAATTGTGATGTGAAACCTCTGACTAACTAATCATAATTTTTCAATGGTAGAATTAACATTACCTGGGTGTTACTGTTGTCATTATAACATGATGTGTGCTATGTGTTCCAGGTACACCTGCACTGGGCGTGGTCCTGCAGAATCCCTTCACCAACGTCCAGAGTGTCATGGACTACTCCAAAATGGCAATGGTAAAACAGGATTTTTAAATAAAGTAAAGATTTTAATGCCGCACTCAGCAATATTCCAGCTATATGACAGTGGTAATAAAATAAGAGACCTCTGCAGGCTAGATAAGTGGATGTTTTATGAAGGTATGAGATTTATTCAGGCTAGATAAGTGGATGTTTTATGAAGGTATGAGACCTCTGCAGGCTAGATAAGTGGATGTTTTATGAAGGTATGAGACCTCTGCAGGCTAGATAAGTGGGTGTTTTATGAAGGTATGAGACCTATTCAGGCTAGATAAGTGGATGTTTTATGAAGGTATGAGACCTCTACAGGCTAGATAAGTGGATGTTTTATGAAGGTATGAGACCTCTGCAGGCTAGATAAGTGGATGTTTTATGAAGGTAAGAGACCTATTCAGGCTAGATAAGTGGATGTTTTATGAAGGTATGAGACCTATTCAAGCTAGATAAGTGGATGTTTTATGAAGGTAAGAGACCTATTCAGGCTAGATTATTGGATGTTTTATGAAAGTAAGAGACCTATTCAGGCTAGATAAGTGGATGTTTTATGAAGGTATGAGACCTCCGCAGGCTAGATAAGTGGATATTTTATGAAGGTAAGTGACCTATTCAGGCTAGATAAGTGGATGTGTAATGAAGGTATGAGACCTCTGCAGGCTAGATAAGTGGATGTTTTATGAAGGTATGAGACCTCTGCAGGCTAGATAAGTGGATGTTTTATGAAGGTAAGAGACCTATTCAGGCTAGATTAGTGGATGTTTTATGAAAGTAAGGGACCTATTAAGGCTAGATAAGTGGATGTTTTATGAAGGTATGAGACCTATTCAGGCTAGATAAGTGGATGTTTTATGAAAGTAAGGGACCTATTCAGGCTAGATAAGTGGATGTTTTATGAAAGTAAGAGACCTATTCAGGCTAGATAAGTGGATGTTTTATGAATGTATGAGACCTCTGCAGGCTAGATAAGTTGATGTTTTATGAAAGTAAGGGACCTATTCAGGCTAGGTAAGTGGATGTTTTATGAAGGTATGAGACCTATTAAGGCTAGATAAGTGGATGTTTTATGAATGTATGAGACCTCTGCAGGCTAGATAAGTTGATGTTTTATGAAAGTAAGGGACCTATTCAGGCTAGATAAGTGGATGTTTTATGAAAGTAAGGGACCTATTCAGGCTAGTTAAGTGGATGTTTTATGAAAGTAAGGGACCTATTCAGGCTAGATAAGTGGATGTTTTATGAAAGTAAGGGACCTATTCAGGCTAGATAAGTGGATGTTTTATGAAAGTAAGGGACCTATTAAGGCTAGATAAGTGGATGTTTTATGAAGGTATGAGACCTATTAAGGCTAGATAAGTGGATGTTTTATGAAGGTAAGAGACCTATTAAGGCTAGATAAGTGGATGTTTTATGAAGGTATGAGACCTATTAAGGCTAGATAAGTGGATGTTTTATGAATGTATGAGACCTATTAAGGCTAGATAAGTGGATGTTTTATGAAAGTAAGGGACCTATTCAGGCTAGATAAGTGGATGTTTTATGAAGGTATGAGACCTCTGCAGGCTAGATAAGTGGATGTTTTATGAAAGTAAGAGACCTATTAAGGCTAGATAAGTGGATGTTTTATGAAGGTATGAGACCTATTAAGGCTAGATAAGTGGATGTTTTATGAAGGTAAGAGACCTATTAAGGCTAGATAAGTGGATGTTTTATGAAAGTAAGGGACCTATTCAGGCTAGATAAGTGGATGTTTTATGAAAGTAAGGGACCTATTCAGGCTAGATAAGTGGATGTTTTATGAAGGTATGAGACCTATTCAGGCTAGGTAAGTGGATGTTTTATGAAGGTAAGAGACCTATTCAGGCTAGATAAGTTGATGTTTTATGAAATTAAGGGACCTATTCAGGCTAGATAAGTGGATGTTTTATGAAGGTATGAGACCTATTCAGGCTAGATAAGTGGATGTTTTATGAAGGTAAGAGACCTATTCAGGCTAGATTAGTGGGTGTTTTATGAAGGTAAGAGACCTATTCAGGCTAGATAAGTGGATGTTTTATGAAGGTATGAAACCTATTCAGGCTAGATAAGTGGAAGTTATGGATATTCTTTGTCAATATGGCAATCTTTGTCGATAATAATATAGAAATAGTACTAAGAACATGTAGAAATCCTAGCTCTCCAGTATCTCCCCATCATCATCCTATTGCATGAGATGAACTGTTAAGCTTGCTTACTCCCCTCCACAGCCGTACCGGTTCCTCCCCTGGTATATGCCATATTTCAAGCGGTCTCTCAAGTCAACAGGCACATCATTTTCCAGTGACGTCTAGTAAGTATCACAGGAAGCAGCTGACAAGTGACGGTGATCTTGTAGATCTGAGGGAAGGCAGGACACCAGACTGGGGGCGTGCTGACCTCTATGCTGACCTCTATGCTGACCTCTATGCTGACCTCTTTAGTCATCATTATTTACAGGTCGCTGTCACGTAGCTGGAATATTGCTGACTGTGATGAATTGAATGCTTTATGAAACAAGACCCCCCTCATTGATAATAGAGGAGTGTTGTCATGTAATAATGTGGTAAATGAACATGTTGTTGTGTAATAATGAGTCAGGTGGACATGTTGTCATGTAATAATGAGGCAGGTGGACATGTTGTCATGTAATAATGAAGCAGGTGACATGTTGTCATGTAATAATGAAGCAGGTGGACATGTTGTCATGTAATAATGAAGCAGGTGACATGTTGTCATGTAATAATGAAGCAGGTGGACATGTTGTCATGTTATAATAAAGAAGGTGGACATGTTGTCATGTAATAATGAAGCAGGTGGACATGTTGTCATGTAATAATGAAGCAGGTGACATGTTGTCATGTAATAATGAGGCAGGTGGACATGTTGTCATGTAATAATGAAGCAGGTGACATGTTGTCATGTAATAATGAAGCAGGTGGACATGTTGTCATGTTATAATAAAGAAGGTGGACATGTTGTCATGTAATAATGAGGCAGGTGGACATGTTGGCATGTAATAATGAGGCAGGTGACATGTTGTCTTGTAATAATAAGGCAGGTGGACATGTTGTCATGTTATAATAAAGAAGGTGGACATGTTGTCATGTAATAATGAGGCAGGTGGACATGTTGTCATGTAATAATGAAGCAGGTGGACATGTTATGTAATAATGAGGCAGGTGGACATGTCAGGTAATAATGAGGCCTGTGACATGTTGTTATGTGATAATGAAGCAGGTGGACATGTTATGTAATAATGAGGCAGGTGGACATGTTGTGATGTAATTATGAGGCAGGTGACATGTCAGGTAATAATGAGGCAGGTGACATGTTGTGATGTAATAATGAGGCAGGTGACATGTTGTGATGTAATAATGAGGCAGGTGACATGTTGTGATGTAATAATGAGGCAGGTGACATGTTGTGATGTAATAATGAGGCAGGTGACATGTTGTCATGTAATAATGAAGCAGGTGGACATGTTATGTAATAATGAGGCAGGTGGACATGTTGTGATGTAATTATGAGGCAGGTGACATGTCAGGTAATAATGAGGCCGGTGACATGTTGTTATGTGATAATGAGGCAGGTGACATGTTGTCATGTAATAATGAGGCAGGTGACATGTTGTGATGTAATAATGAGGCAGATGGACATGTTGTTATGTGTTGATTGTGGCATGGCTCTGTTAACCTTTCCACAATTAAATCAAAGTATCAATGTTTACAGGCAATATATGCATCTTCTCTGTTTCAGCATCTGTGAGGTAACATCACCCGTCCTCATAATACATGCAAAAGATGACAGAGTTATACCTATAGAATTGGCATCTAAGGTAATGATTGAGTGGACATGGTGGCATGTTCACTCTGTGGGTTAAGACTGAGAACTCTCTCTGTGTATCCCTTATGTCTTACATAAGGGAGTGACCTGTGAAGATCCGGGGATCTAGAATAGGTCTTCAGCAGCCCATGCTTGCCGTAAAAGGCGACTAGGCTTGTCGTAAAAGTGACTAACGGGATCGGGTGGCCAGGCTCGCTGACTAGGTTGATGCATGTCATCGATTCCCATTGTGTGAATCGATGCTCATGATATCAATCACTGGATTGTCTTGTTCAGACTCGATTATTTACAGACCTCCGTCATATAGCTAGAATATTGCTGAGTGTGGCATTAAACAACACTCCAACCAACCAACCAACATAAGGGAGTTAAATTGAAAATATTGATGTCAGCTATTGTCTGTAACAAACAATCACTTACTTTTTAAGCCAATTGTGTGAATGGCTGGTGCTATCGCTAGAGTGCTTACCTTTTTCGTATTCACGTTGTGTCATGTGATCCATACAAATGATTTCCACCACTATTTTGCCTGGAATCTGTTTTTGCAGATAAAGGAAACTGATTATTCTCTGTCATTGATGTTATATATTTATACTGACAAACTGTTCTGAGGACCACATATGACAAATCAACTTGCCTCTCCCCAGCTGTTTGAGACGGCCCAGAAGACACCGGCCAGGACAAACATTGTCACAGAGATGGTCGTGATGGATGGATGCGGACACAACAATGCCTACATGGATCCAGACTTTTCATCAATAGTCACGTCAGTAACAATTTCAATGCTGCCTAATTGTATTATCTTCCAGAGGCAAGGGAGTTAACTGACTGTAAAAATCCAGTTTCCACCCTTGCCGAACTTGGCTGGAATTTCTGGGCTCAATCGTAGAGTCCCACCTATTGACCAATCAGATTCCACCTCTCATATCACTTGCATTTGCTTCAAACCAATTGGCGGCAACCAGTGAAGATGATCTGACCGATAATTAAGATCTATGTTGTGATAAAACAGGTCTTACTTAGCCAAGTGCATCTAATCACGTGAGCAGCTTGATTAAAAACATGAAAAGATTTGGAAAATATCTGTTGACACTAAGTTAATGGTACACATGCTTTGCAAATCCTGCAATTTGACTGAAATCTGCATGGCAGTTTAGGAAGCAAATGTCAATTACATTACACAATTTTGATTGGACTGTGCCTAGACTCGTAAGTCAAGCCTAAATATTACTCCATAATTCCAGCCTGTTTCGAGAAGGGTGTAAACTGGACATTTTCGTCAGTTAACTCCCTTGCCTCAGTAAGATGAATTGGTATAAAGAGGTGTAAAGTTGAAGTATGGACCAACTGAAACAAGAGTATGTTAGCGACACTTGTCTGCTGCTGCAATGCAAATATTTTATTACATGTCTTCACACTTTGAAAGTGCAATTCATAATATGTCTAATTCATTCGGTTCAATTTGTTAGGATGTATTAATAGAAATCCAAAAGTTGAGAAATTTGATAATTATCGTACATGGCTTAAAAAATTAAAGAAATTGGTTCTCAGGCAATGACTTTTGAAAATATGGTGCAGGCAGGCGGTGTTTTTTATTTTTTTGGAGCTTGTTCAAACGAGTATGTTACCAAATAAACAGTTGTGTACCGTCAACCTGGGAAAGGGCCTTCCTTCGTAAGCAAACAAACAAACTCCTATTGCTGCCATTGCAATAACACGAGATGCGCAGCAAAGCGATGGCATATAAAGGGAAGTAATATATTGAAACACATTTTTTTAAAGTATCAGGATTATTTTGATTTTGTTGAAAATGGAAATAAAAACGAAACGTGCGGCAGACTTTATTATGATGCGGGTGGTGCCTGAGAATCAAGACTATTTTTTATTTATAGCCTAATCATGTTGAAAATATTTGTTCTTATTATCATAATTATGTATGTGTTTTGTTTTTTTCCAGAAAATTCACATCTTCTCTTCTGCAAAACAAGAAGACGGTGTGACAGGTTATGATCTCTGTTGCTGCTCTGTGATGAGGAATACAGAAGGAGATGCCCGTGCCTTGCTTTTACCCTGTGTAACATCCTCAGCTAGGTGATGCTTTCTTTCCTGTGGTGGCTGGACTGATGGTGTAGAGCACCTTTGCGACAGGACACTTTTATCATGGTTTCTATGTTGTTGCTCGAGAGATGATGGCTACTGCTGTAGTGTAAGATGCTTTCATGTACTGGTATTTGTTTGTTTCATCGTTATTGAACAAGGCAGTTTGTTTGGATTGATGATGAAAAGAAGACACACTCCAGGATTCTCTGTCTTGTTTGAAGTATTGATGGATTGATGCTGTAGGAGGCTGACATCAAGATCCACAGGCTTGCTCCACGGATTGATGCTGAATGATATATGCTGATATCATGATTATGTACCATTTTGAACATGAGTAGAAGTTTGTGCTGAACTTAGAAAACAGTTTGCATTTATTTGTCTCTCGTACAACACATTTCCAATAATCTGAAAAATCATTTCTGATGCCAAATTCTTATCTGTGATATTTATGGAAAGGATTTCGAAATATTAACAGTTTTTATTAAATATGGAACAATTCATCGTTATTTTCAGTGGTTTGTTATTAAGCAACAATTATTGACAGCTTTTCTTATCCAGATCTGATGTAATTATGTTGTATGTCAAAATGGCCAAGTTAAGGGATGATCTATTGCACAATGGCTTATGCTTTTGTAGCTGGTCATTTATTTTTGTTCAGCTTTATTTTGTTGAACAGTGCTTCATACATTGTCTTCATGTTTACTGATAACTCGTGTCTTCATTCCTGACCATAATTTTACAATTCTAGTTCAGTATGCTCAAATCATAGAGAGACAATGCATCATCAGAAGGAGGGGTGAGGGTTTTGAAAACTAGAGTCTAAAACTATAAAATGCTAAACATGCTGGCTGTCTTGGAAAGAAATGTGTAAAACAATTCTCCTTCAGGTTTTCCTGTCACAGAAATAAATGTGTGTGATGAGTCAGTGACTGAAGACAAATACTCCATCTCTTATAAAATTTTGAGGTCCCCCATAATATTAAATGGTGGGTCCTCATCAGGTTATCTCAATTTGATAAAGGGCATTACAGGGTCACCACACTGTTGAGAGCATGGCCGCCTTTAGTATTGCAGTCCCAAGCAGGGACAACTCGTATAGTGAACTCTAGGTTACAGCATTTCACATGTTATTATCATTACCACAGATTTATCATTTTTGCATTTATTGGGGTTGTGTGTTTTTTAAACAAACCAATTCCAAAGCTGGGATATTAATATGTAATATTTTCATATTGTCCATTTACACAATGAGGCATTATCTAAGTTACATTGTTACTGGCGCGCGTGCGTGCGTGCGTGCGTGCGTGCGTGCGTGCATGTGTGTGAGGTGCATCTGGTCCCATCTGGTCTTGGATGAAACTGAAGTTGATAGGATTGATGTGAATGGTGTATGTCACACATTGCCACTGATACAAGATACAATCATGGTTGACTTGTCTTGGTACTGATAATTCTGTACCATTTATCCGCTTGTTTTAATAAATTAGAAATGCCAAACTTACAGTTAATGGTATATGTTGTTATTCTATGAAGACTATTTGGTGTTACCATAAAAGACTCCCAGAATCAACAGTTCCTTCCATTGATGCTTCACCTGTCAAACTGTTTCAGTGCACATTGTCAGGTGTCAACAATTGGTAGCCAGGAATGAAATTAATTTTAGGTTCTTGAGACCGGCAAGATTTTGTTTGATATATATTTCCTAAAAAACATCTTGAGGTAAACATCGTAAAATCTGACCAAAACATTTAACAATTGGTTTTCATGTAAGCATACTTTGAATTAAATATCAAATGTCCATACCAGAGACTAATCAGGCGCTATTATTTGCCAAGACAGATTCCCTTAGACGTAAAAGGTAAAATAGTAATGATAATAATATGAATGAAAATGCATTTATATTTTTGTCTGATGCTAAATTTAGGTCAAAGATACAACATATTTCCAAACAACATGTTTTTGTGTACTGTTTCTGTTTGCCTTAGACATGAAGTATGTTATGTTTCCATAGTTTATATGCGTGTTATGGCAAATGTAGCTTGTAAATGTGTAAGTAGATTTTCTTGAAGGATCGCATCATGGAGGTAATCTTTCTCAAGGAGTAGTGTCAGCTGATGATCTTTGTATTGCTTTTGCTAATTTAGCAATATTGAGTCAAACTTGGTTTTCTTCGTGTTATGCAATGACACAAACCAAAGGCCCACCCTTAATACCCTTAATGTGATTTTCCTGAGACTATTTTCTTGACATGTTGTAGGATAGGTTATTTTCTTTGCAATAATGATATATATACATATGTTTTGTTTTTCTTTGATACTTTACTTTCATCATTACTTTTTACATCTAATGTTTTATGTTTTTTATTGTTCCAATGATATTTTCATTCCTGTCTTCCCAAAACACTTTTCCCAGGGATCCAAATAATAACAAAACAGTAACTGTCATGCACATATTTACCATCTTCCCGAGGCAAGGGAGTTAACTGACTCTAAAAGTCCAGTTTCCACACTTGCCTCACTAGGCTGGAATTTCTGGGCTCGATCGTACTGCCACCAGTGGCTATTACGAGTTATGTCCATTCTATGCTCCTCTTATTAGTTTCCACCTCTCATATTTGGTTCAAACAAAATGGTGGCGCCCAGATTGATGATCAAAATAAATATTGTAATAAAACAAGTCTTACTTTGCGAAAAGATTTGGAAAATATGTGTCATTGTCCAGTTGACGGTACACATCTATTGCAAATCCTGCAGTCGACCGAAATCTGCATGTTGAAATCCATGTTGTTTACGAACCGGATGTCAATTTCGTTACGCGATTTTGATTGGATTGTGCATAGTTTCGTTAGTCCAGCCAAAATATTACTCCATAATTGCAGCCTAGTTTAGCAAGGCTGGAAACTGGACTTTAACAGTCAGTTAACTGCCTTGCCTTGGGAAGGTGCATATTAAGACACATGTGACACATATTTAGTATTTAAGCTGAGTTCCTGATTTTACTTATTAATGTGCATTGCCCATGCACTTTCCCTGCAGGATCATGTCACAAGTTCAACAAGGCCAAAAAATTAATTCTGTTTTGTCTGTTAACGGTGTGCTTATGAATTGCATATTTTCTTTTGAAATTTATTAAGTTGGTTTCACAATATGCTTTGACAGGCAAATGTTACTGTGACTATGTATGCTTGACGTCTCAATTTCAATCAAAGGTTTAGCATAAGCACTAGTGATTGACCTGAGATTTAGTTATTGAAAATAAGAACTCTTGCAGATGAGAATTGGCCCTTCTTTCACTGATGTTTCCAGCCTCATTGAGCTATTTGAAAAGAGTCATAGCAGGAATGTCCTAACCTTATGCTGCTTTGTAAACACCTGATTTTTTAAACATTCCAAATGGACCAATGGGAGTGGACCGAAGTAGAAGATGCTCATGACATTAACACATGCTTGTGGAGTGGGTCATGCTGGTTGTCTGACACATCAATAGTGAGCAAGTTGGGTTTAACACTGCTTTGAACAGTATTACGTTATATTACAGTGTGTCAGCTTGATATGGGAGGAAGGCCCGAAATGATGCAGGTCTTAGACGTTTAATACTTTGGTGAAACCGAGCAATGGTATGGTGCTGACAAACTTAGAAATATAATCGGGGCCACAATCATAGGTTTCAGGCATACCCAAGGGAAGTAACTCTGCACAGCGAATTGTGGCGCCTGTGATTACAGGGCCACCCGTGCCCCCACATGTCAAGAGTGTTTGTCCAATAAGAATGACATTCCTTGCTATTATACTGCTATCTATCTTGAACACTCCATCGTTTTCTCACACCCATTCCACACTGCTTGACAACATATTCTTTTATTTGTAAACACTGTATTTGTACAACATCCACAATGTATTTCCAGTGTCAGTTTAGAGTGAAATGTATTCATTTGACAGTGGTTTACACAACAGAATACGTTCAGACAAACAATGTATCATTTGTTTCTTGCACAAATCAGCAACATCAAAAGGTGACAATACTCAAATGTCAAAGCATTCTTTAACCAGATATTACTTGAAATACTTTTTATATGATTTAGAAACTGTCTGTTGCCATGTAACATCAATGAATATTTCTGTCCAAATATTGATACCTTTATTAGGCTTAAAAAAATACAAGAATTGATTCTCAGGCATTAACTTTTGAAAATATAGAGCGGGTGGCTATAGTTGTTTTTTGCTAGTTCATACTAGTATGTAACTAAATACAGTTGTGTACCATCAACCTTGGAAAGGGCCGCCATGACCATAACACAAGATGTGCAGTGAACATGTAAAGGGAAGTAACTGTGTGCTGTATTGGATCACATTGTATTTAAGTATTAGGATTTGTTTATTGTTTTTTAAAATGGAAAAAAAACCCCGAAACATGCGGCAGACTTTATAATGATGCGGGCAGTGCCTGAGAACCAAGATTATTTTCTTTTTTTAGCCGAATGTTCCTTTCTTGTCAACTGAATCTCAAGTCCTGCCCAGAGATTTAGATTGGGCCCGAAGTCTGAAGCAAAAATTACAAAATTAGAAATAAATATTTCCCAGTTCATGTCAATATTGTTGTGTTACTAACTTAATTTGTTTTTCATATTTGCCTATCAAGGGCAGTTAGTTTAGAATCCTGGATACATCACTACTTCCAGTGATGAAGATGAGATGAGTGTCAGACTAAACCAGTTCATGATGAGGCTTCATCATCGTATATTATGTTCTATGATGTTGCTATTTGTAGATCAGTGACGTCCGTGACGTTTTAATACAGCCATTAATCTATACTGCTGTTTGTTTTGGTCATTGTGGGATTAACTACAAATTCTGTCTATTTTAACTATAATAACGGAAATGCTATTTTTCAGGGGATTATCATTTACAGAAGCCCTGTTAGTTCATCTGCCGTTCTTTTTCAGGCAGTAAATGGCAGTCATTAGGCTTCTGCAAATGTTAATGCCCTGAAAAATAATGTTACCTTCGTAATGTTTATGCAGATTTACAGATATATGACAAGGGTATTTCATTATCAAAACTCAGTTTATCAATATCAATTTTGACCATGTTTGAAATGATATGAATGAGTCATTTTACACAGTATTTTATAATGACAAAGCTATCTCACTATACATGCTGTACATTCTCACATTTTATGGCAATGTTTATTGATTACCTGTTGAATCTCAACTGCTTACATTATTTGTGTCTAGTCAGCATAAACACATGCCATCTGTGATCATATGAACAATGCAAGTGGAAACATACATTTAACATCCGGGATGCTATAAAAGGTTTTATTCTACTAGCTACTGGTGTGTGTGACCCAGGCTAGATTTAGGGTCAGGATGGAGCTGGAATTGTGTGACATAAACTTCTGGTGTGTGTGACCCAGACTAGATTTAGGGTCAGGATGGAGCTGGAATTGTGTGACATAAACTTCTGGTGTGTGTGCCCTAGGCTAGATTTAGGGTCAGGATGGAGCTGGAATTGTGTGACATAAGCTACTGATGTGTGTGACCCAGGCTAGATTTACAGTCAGGGTGGAGCTGGAATGATGTGACATAAGCTACTGATGTGTGTGACCCAGACTAGATTTAGAGTCAGGATGGAGCTGGAATTGTGTGACATAAGCTACTGGTGTGTGTGACCCAGACTAGATTTAGAGTCAGGATGGAGCTGGAATTGTGTGACATAAGCTACTGGTGTGTGTGACCCAGACTAGATTTAGAGTCAGGATGGAGCTGGAATTGTGTGACATAAGCTACTGGTGTGTGTGTGACCCAGGCTAGATTTAGAGTCAGGATGGAGCTGGAATTGTGTGACATAAGCAACTGGTGTGTGTGACCCAGACTAGATTTAGAGTCAGGATGGAGCTGGAATTGTGTGACATAAGCTACTGGTGTGTGTGACCCAGGCTAGATTTAGAGTCAGGATGGAGCTGGAATTGTGTGACATAAGCTACTGGTGTGTGTGACCCAGGCTAGATTTAGAGTCAGGATGGAGCTGGAATTGTGTGACATAAGCTACTGGTGTGTGTGACCCAGACTAGATTTAGAGTCAGGATGGAGCTGGAATTGTGTGACATAAGCAACTGGTGTGTGTGACCCAGACTAGATTTAGAGTCAGGATGGAGCTGGAATTGTGTGACATAAGCTACTGGTGTGTGTGACCCAGGCTAGATTTAGAGTCAGGATGGAGCTGGAATTGTGTCACACAAACCCCTTATACTTCCCCCACTTGGCTGCTTGTTGATTACCTGACTACAAGTCAAGTGAGTTTTGGGGCCATGGGGTTGCATAAGACCCAGGTTCCATTACCCACATGGGTACAATGTGTGAAGCTCATTTCAGGTGTCACTTACCATGATATTGCTAAAAGCAGCGTAAAACCATACTCACCCACAAAAGTGAGTTTTAATCAGGTCATGATTGTCCTTTGTCTTCATTCATTTTTGTCTGTAATGGTCCATTGATGCTGATATTGGCATACTTGTTCTCACCAATGTTGATACCTGAATTTATTCAAGATGATTTAGAACCTGATTTTCAATATGTCAGCCACAGCAGCAATTTTAAAAATCTCATCTATGGCCATTACCCAGACACTTTCTAAATGTAATTAAATTTTGTATATATCAAGTTTGAGTTTGTAGAGGGCCTCAACACACAACTTTTTGTGGGGATATTTGTAACGTTGACCTTTGACCTTTGAATTTTGAAGATACAACTGAAGTCTAAAAAATCACTCTTTTACTTGGAAACATAAGCTGAGATTTGCATGTTGCTTTAACTGGACCATAAAATCAATTTTCATGAATATCTTAACATGCTTAAACATAGTATTTTCAAAAAACACATGGCATAGAAAACTGAGACATTGTTTGATAATGGCCATGAGTAGGTTCAAGTTTGCTGATTGAAATTCTACTTTGGTGCAGAAGATTCGGCATACACTACTTTTCTCCTCTGTTTCAGTATACATATACAATGCGCCAAAAATTTGATAAATCTTAATATAGATATAGGTTATGATTGAAGTATCATAAAGTTATCAAATGCAAACATGTTGTCATGCCTGTATGAGCTCCCTTTTTAGGAACCAGCTTAAAGTAGCAACTATGTTCAAAACAGGAAGTGAAGTTTACCTTATTAGTTAGCAAAGGACTTTCATGTCAAATTCATGAGGAATATGAGTGGTAGTAGAGCTGTGGAACATTACTACCGAGATATATTGTTGAAGCAGTAACTGCCTTAAGAAAACCTGTTTTACAAACAAACAATCGAATTTGTATTGAGATAAATGTTCATGTGTATGTAACATATTATTATGTTTTGTATCTCTGTCACTGTCATCTTATACAATAAACGGTCTTTCTGTAAATGCCGGTTTGTCTTTACTAGGCTAAGATATATTCGTATAGGGAAGGGTTTTTTTCCTTGGTAGTCTTTTTATGGTTGTGTTCTCCACATTTTCTTGCAATGTTACCTTTCCGTTCATTTCATTTAGGTCATCCTCGCTGTGCCGATTTGATGAGAGTGCTTTCCCTTTCACTGTG